AGCGTCCGCAGCGGAGAGTACGTGCTGGCGATACCGGATTATAGCCATGAAGCTCGGTACATGGCCGAAGCTACAGCCCAGGACTTGGAAAGCACATCCACTTCGAGCGACCTGAAGAATGCTGCTCATTTCAAGAAGGTCGTCATGAAACTTTCTGGTGACGTAAAATGGGCTGCCGGGTTGGTGTTCGAGCGCAACGTCGACGATGATCAGCGTTCATTCGAGTTCAAACCCCACTATGAAGTCGTCCTTCAAAATCCTGTCCATATTGACCCTGCGCAGCGAGAGGTAGGTCGGAAACTATCGTACGACGATGTACGCGGCTAACTTGGGGCAGACCTATGATGCTTATCGCGGGTTCCGTAGTAACCACATTCACCTGTCAATATCAGTTGTTGCTCCAGAAAGCAAGAATTGGTCCGTTGATACTGTCCAGCCATCGGCAAGCTACAATACCGTTCACTTGACCCCTCGCTTTTTCACCCACTTCTTCAACTGGTGGTCGCTTTTCTCGGGTGTCATGTCACTTCCTGTCCGGCAAGGACCCCTGTGGCCCGGCATTACCAAGACAAGCAAGAAGTTCAACCGCCATCTGGCCACTGTCAAGTACCAGTTGCTTTTCGCTCCCTTGTTTGTGGCTCACATTTACAAGCACAAGGATCGCGAAGACTATGCCGAGGATGTTGTGACCGCAACAGGCATTAAGGTCCGCCTGGATAGTCTGAAACTCGATGTCCATCAGAGACGAGAACAAGTCAAGACCCAAGCCAAGGGCCGCCTGAAGCAAACCAAGGCAAGCGCAATGCGGATTAACCAGGCCGAACTGGATCTGCAGTCTGCAGATTTCAGGGCCGTTTCAGCTAGTATAGAGGGGACCAATCTCGACGATATCGAAAACAACAAAGACGACATCCTATCGTCCTTCCAGCAACCTGTGGCCTCCGTCGACCTCTCTCGGTTTACGATTCCTGACCAGAATCTGGATTGGATTGACATGGATGATTTTGTGGAGCTGGATTGGATCCTACCTCAGGAGTCGAATCCCCGAACGCAGATCCTGCCGTTAGCGTTCACGCCGCGCTTTACGTATTTCCGCCAGACAGACCATGGCCAAATATGCCCTGACGAAACCGGGTACAGCACCTTTGGTGATGAGCCGACCCATGACTGCCTCATGTCGGGAAATAACGAACCCCGCCGGGTACAAATGGAGCTGATTCGAGAGCGCCTGGTTGCCGTCGAAGCACAAACTCGCGAATGCAATCGTACAATTGGCGAGCAAGAACTTCGTATGACCAGGGATGTCAACCCCGACCCTGCGCTCAAGAGTCAGCACAGCGACTATCTCCGACAGGCAGAAACGCTAATGCGACGACGGGCATTCCTGACCGCTGGGCTTCAGCGGATTGAAAGGCAACTGGCGCGGGAGGAGAAGATACCGATGGAGAGGAACCCTGAGGCTTTTGCCAATGACAGTGCTTCTCGGATGGGAACTGACTCGGACTCGACGAATGATGGCAAGGATGCCGACATGGACGGGTTATACTCAAGCCCCGAGGACGAACTAGCCAGCGACTTCAACAACAGATTCATCATCCACAACATCCAACTGAAATGGAACAATTCCCTGAGGAACATCATCCTGCGCTATATCCATCAAGTCAGCCAGCGGCGTGGATTTGTGTACTACATGTCTCGAAGAGCCGTTAAGTTCATTCTCGACATCGTTGATGAACAAAACAAGAACAAGCATAAGCATTCCAAGCTCTTCCGGACTGCTTCCAGACGCCCATCCGATGTCGGCGGCCTCGTGGACAGCGAAGATGACGACAGTGTCGAGGACCGTATTGAACAGCTGTTGAATGATGCGAAGCGTTTCGTGAATGCCGAAGAACAAGAACATCCGGACCAAAGGAGACCGAGTGCTGCTAAATCTGAGGAGATCAGCGAGAATATCGCGCCAGAATTTACCCCTCAAAACAGCTACCATCTGCGCCTCATCGCCCCGCAGATCCAACTGCAGAGCGAGAAAAATCAGAAGTCCGTGCTCGTGGTTGCCGCCAAAGGTATGCAACTCCAAGTGGTGTCCATTATGGATAAGGAGCGGGTGTCCGACGATGTCAGTGGTCTCGTTCAGCGCCGCTTCAACCTTTGCATGGATGGCGCCCAGTTCTTCGTGGCAACCCAAAAGAGTCTGATGAACCATTTGCAATTCTATGCCGGCAACAAGTATGGCAATCCCCCGGGATCGGCGTGGCCGCCTTGGCTGAACCTTGAGGCGCTGTTTGACTTTGAGCTGAACCCCTTTGGCTTCTCACGGATTATACAGAAGACTTCGGCCAGCTTGCGATACGACAAGTACAACAATCTCCGCCTAAAATACAACGAAGAGGTGGCGAAAGGTCAATCGGACCAACAGTATAGTATGCATGATGTGGAACCGAGAATGGATCACATCAGCGTCGACTTTCCTCACTTCCGTGCCATTTGCGACTCGGCGGAGTACTACTCCATGTACATTATTGTTCTGGACCTTCTTCTCTACAATGAACCTCTGGAGAAGGTCCGGAACGAACGCCTGGAGAGAATTATGCTCACATCCGACTTTAGTGATCTGAGGGGTGCACCGGAGATGGTTTTCAAGCTCCAGTCTCGCATCCGGCAACTCGAGGAGATCAAGGAACATTTCCAAATTCATGCCAAGTATCTGGATAAGCAAGGCTGGGAAGACCGGCTGGTGCTCGAAAATGATCTTACTCAATGCGAGGACGAGTTGTTCTTCCTGATGAAGGCCATCACCTCTTCACAGAGAAAGATTGACCCGAACATGTCCAAGGCACATGGAGTCCTCCGCTGGAACATTTCTGCAAGCGAGGTGGTGTGGCATCTGATGAAGGATCAAACCGAACCGCTGGTTGAGTTCCAGCTCCGGAATGCCGAATATGACCGTACAGACAACAGTGACGGCTCAAACCACAACTTGGTTGCTGTCGAACGATTGTATGGTCTGAACCTTCTTCCGGATGCGATATACCCGCAGATCATCGTGCCTTATCTTGACCAGGCCCGGGGTCTCAGCGGCCCTGATGATTGCATGATCAAGGTCAAATGGCATATGCTGGAGGCCGTTGCTGGTATTCCTGTTCTGGACGATTTCGAGGTATCGCTCTTCCCGCTCAAGGTTCAGCTGGAGCGGGAGCTGGGCCAGAAGGTGTTCGAGTACATGTTCCCTAACGTCGGTTCTACTGCGTTCGAGAATGGCGGATTCTCACCCTTCATGATCAAAAACATGAAGCCGCTCGACGAATCGTCCGACTCGGATGATGAGGAGAGCCCGACCTCTCAGGTACACCAGGAGCCGAGCGATCTTTCGACGGACGACTTGCCGTTGAAGGGCCCAGGGGCGATTGAGCTGAGGTTGCAACCGACACTGTCACTGTCCGAAGAGGCCAGACCCAAGTCGCATCACCGCCAGCTCCGAGGTCTCGCCATGACCCCTCTTCACAAGGATACCAAGGACAACCACATACGGCCCTCAACGAGCGGCGGATTGACCAAGAAGAGGTCAGTCGACAGTCTGCGGATGCTGTCCAGGCAACCTACCGAGAAATCCGTGGTTAACGGGTCGGGCGCTTCGTCTGCCAACGAAGAGAAGAAGAAATTCGCTCTTGGAAGAATACCAACCAAAGCCAGCAAGTCCAAAGACACTCCTGATGATTTGTCTCAGATGATGTCGCGTGCGTCGAACTACATGACGCTCGCTCATGTCAAGGTGCATGATGTGGTGTTGTGCCTGAGTTACAAAGGCAAGGGAGAACACAATTTGGAGGATCTGCACGACTTTGTCTTCCGACTGCCCGTCCTGGAATACCACAACAAGACATGGTCGAATCTCGACTTGGCCTTGCGACTCAAGAAGGATGTGATCAAGGCTTTAATCTCGCATGCGCCCGCCATCCTTGGTAACAAGTTCTCACATCATCGGCCTTCGAAGCAGCAGCAGAAACGGTACCGCGAACTAGCCAGCTCGTCTCAGGTTATGCACCAATCGGATAGCGCAGTGAATACGTCGGACAATGCCCAAAGCATGACCAGCGTGGACTCGAACAGCGAATATTCCGAGTCTCAACGATCTGGGAAATCCGGGACGTCTCCGCTGGTGCGGTCCAACTCTCTCGGATCGAGTATGCTCCATGAGCCCGGGGGTGTGTTATCGGACTCGCGTTCTGCGAGCGAAGTTGATGTGGATGCTCGTTGGGAAGTATGTTTGATGAAGCCAAACCGGATGGATGGTCGCTAATAGATTTCTAGCAATCTCGCAGAATTGTCAACCCTCCTACTCGGCCCATGACGTCGGGAAACGCAATGCCTAGGTCCCAGACGATCAAGACCTGGGACGAGCCCGAAGAGACGTGAGTGATCCCAGCTTGCTTTGATTGCAGCGTACTGACTTTTCCAGTGCGAGCCACAAGACGTCGATTCGCAACTTTGGCCGAAAACTGATCCCTTCACGAAAATGAGGCTTCGACTTTCCCTTTATATAAACCTGTCCCCTTTCTGTTTTTGTTATTTGGACATTCTGCCTCGCATTTTGCCGGTGATACCCCCAACGCAGTGGGTCGTATATAGGCGTCAACGCTTTTGGTTTCCTGTCTCCATCGCGCCGTCGATGTTTCCAGGTGTTCCAGGGGTATAGTGTGATTTACATCCTCTTCTTGTGCAAAGTTGGCTTTGGCTTTGTGGAAAGACTTATTAATCTTAGTTACGTGCTGCCTTGTCATGTGTTGTGAGTTGGGTGTGAGGGATTCAGAACTTGACTGAGTGCAGTGCGCATGGACATATTCTTGGGTGTGTTAGTATGGGTACATAGATAGACGGTGCATATGGATTATTTCTATTCTATTTTCTGGTGGTTAACCGTATGCAGTATGCCACTTGATTCTCTCCCCCCTCCCCCGCCCAAACACACACATATAGAGAGAGAGAGAGAATTGATACCCCTACTCCAACCCCTCAATCACCCCCTCACACAACCGTCTGATCTGTCCCCACCTCTCCAACAACATCCCCAACTTCTCCCTCTCCCACGCCCTCGACCCAATCCTTCCCCCATCCCCATCCCCATCTTCATCCCCTCCATCCTCCCCCTTCTGATTCGTCTTCAACATCCCCTCAATAATCCCACTCGTGACCACACACTCGGAACGATACTTCTCCACCCACCCGCGGATGATCTCGTTGGTTTTCTGTTCGTTGATGCCTTGGCACGGGCGTCCGGAGATGTAGTTGCGCCATTCGCGGCGGGGGAGGTATTTTAGGGTGCTGGCGTAGTGGATGTTTGATGTTGATGTTGATGCTGATGTTGATGGGGATTGGGATGGGGATGGGGGGAGGGGGAGGGTGTAGTTCCTAGTTTATGGTTAGGATTTTTGTTGTTTTTGGTGATGTGGATGGAAGAGTCAGTGGAATGAAGGAATTAGGGTGGAGTGAGGGAGCTGGGGGTGGGGGAGGGAAATACGTACCCGAAAATCCCCTGAGCCGCGAGTTCTTTCTTCTGGGCTGTGGTGAGATCTTGGAAGATGATGTCGTCGAGGTAGATTGTGTCGGAGGGGTTGGTGGGGAGGGAGAAGCCGTCTGATGCTTGTTAGTTGACGTGCTTAGGATGAGTGGTGGGGGGGGGGGGGGGGGGGGGGGGCGCGTGTAAGGATGGGTTTTTATGGGAGTGATGGGAGTGATGGGCAGGGGATACGGACATTCCACGAGGAGAAAATCGTTCGAGTGCGAGCCGTAGCTCATGAAGATCTCTTCGCCTTTTTCTGCTGGGGTTAGCTTTCGTGCTTGGTTTCTTTGAAGGATGGATTGGTATAGATGGAGGTTGGGTACCATATCGACGAGTGGCTTTGAAGGTGTATTTCCTTCCGTCGAAGGTCACGTCGCAGGCCTGAGAGTATCATAAGTATTATAGCGACACCAGTACAGCAGCAAACGCACCGCATCATCCACATGATTAAAGTAATCCGCAAACGGGACCATCCCAATCGCATCATTCCAGTCCTCGGGTTCGTCTTTCCCCGGGGAGACATAATAGAAGCTCCGCGAGTTGATAATACACCAGTAATAGGCAAAGGTCTTCCACTCGGTCTCCGGGTAGACCGTCACCACGTGCGCCCAGGCATCTTGGAGTCGTTTCTCTTGCTGGCTGAGGAGATTCTGATATCTCGTATCGTAGTCCACGCCGAGAGGCTCCTTGGCAAAGGAGTTCCATTTGCCGGAGATGGATGGCGTGAGGAGGACTTTTCCTTCTGCTGACGAGGAGGAATTGGCTCCGTAGCTGGAATTGGATACGCGGAGATGTTCCGGCCAGAGGACCGGCATGCTGTCTTCGAATTCATCGAATGAGGGCCAGACTTTTTGCCAGGGCTCGACGTCCCTGAGAAGAGATGGATCGCCGTGTGTGAGAAACGCAGCGAGGATCCCGTGGATGGATGTCCCGGATGGGAATTGCGAGGTGAATGATGATGGGATGGAGTCGATGGTTAGCATCAGGTTGACGGGGACAGTGAGCATGATTTCATTGTTCTGGACTATATTAGTGCGGTATTCCCACCCATGTACTTCCTCAGATGAACTATTCTGTAGATTCACTCACTTTTATCGTTCGAGTCGCTTTCATCCCCAGTCGTCGGCCGGGGAATCGGGCGGGCGTAATGCCCTTGATCTTGATCCCTGCGCCCTCAGCCCATTGCATGAACGCCAGGTGCTCCTCGCCGGGTGTATCTTCCATCCTTTTATTCTGTATCTTCGCTAACTCGAACAGGTTGCAGTGCTGCGTTGATGGATGAATGTGCGTGGATGGTGTAGTTCTCACGCTGATTAGATAAGCTGATAATCTCGATAAGGGAAATTTTATCCCGCATCAACACCGCGTCGACTCCCTCGCAACCCACCGCTTCATCCTGCAGCTGTACTGCAATAGACACAATCCACCATGGCCGACGCACAAACAACCTCGACGGACGCGCCTCCCGATTCCCACATCGACCATGCCGCCTCCCTCCGATACTGGAACAGCGTGGCCGCCAACTCCAAAACCATGCTGGGCATGCTGGGCAGCTACCCCTGGTACACGCGCATCGATCTCCGGGGCTCGAAGATCTTCCTTTCCAAAGTCCGGCGCATGATCCCCAATTGTCCGACGGAGGGGAAGCTCCGACTCGGGGTAGACTGCGGGGCCGGGGTCGGACGCGTCACGGAGGGACTTCTCAGTCAGGTCTGCGAGACGGTGGATGCGGTGGAACCGGTTGAGAAGTTCCTCGAGGTGATTCGGCAGTCGGAGTTGAAGCGCACCGGCGTGGTGGGGGATATATATCCGGTGGGGTTGGAGGGTTGGGTTCCGGAGAAACAGTACGATTTGATTTGGACGCAGTTCTGCGTGGGGCATCTTACGGATGTGCAGTTGAGGGAGTACTTTGTTCGGTGTCGCGAGGCGTTGTCGGACACGGGCGTGTTGGTGGTCAAGGAGAATCAGTCGACGGATCCGTTCGGGTTGGATATGTTTGATGAGGAGGATAGTAGTGTCACTAGGACGGATGAGAAGCTTCGGTTGTTGTTTAAGGAGGCTGGGCTGGGGGTCGTCGCGTCGGAGTTGCAGTTGGGCTTTCCGAAGAACTTTAGGCTTCTGCCTGTGAGGTTTTATGCGTTGAGACCGTTGACTTGAGGTTGGTTGGGGTATGAGATGATTGAGTGATCCGAGTGAGGTCGTGGGCTCTTTTGCTGACTAGGCTGAGATATGCACCTGGGACATGCGGACAATGGAGCTGAGCCGTGATGCTTCTTGTTCGGTCACTTCCGGACGATTACCATGCATTGTCTGTCTGGAAGTGGAGCAGCAACTCGTGCTAGGCTCTGCAGCAACCGCGAGTCCTATGTAGCGACTTCGCTGCTTCAACTTACGTACGGTATGATTGACGACCGCTACGACAATTGCTTGTGCTGTTAATTGGATGAGATTCCGGGAGTATGCTGCACTCCGCAGGGCTCGTCGCAGATCAACAGCCATTCCGGGAAGCATGATGAAGATGAGAAAGGTTTCATTGATAGGTATCACCAGTATCTATCCAACCCCGAATCTATCTATGTGAGCTGCAACAAATGATGTCAACGCCAAGATCATAGCCCCAGTTATGATGCAATCAACAAGATTAACGTGTATGTGATGGCCATGCATCACGAGAAGCCAGAAACCACAAGGCAGGAAAAGAAGGAGCCAGTGGTGAACAGAAGGAAGGGTATCAGTGTATAGTACATCTGGCGCTAGCCGTTAGAAGCATTCATCATATTAAATTTTCGTGTTTCATCATGCGATGAACGTCAGTTGCCACCCTGTATCTTGGCAGAGTCGCGTACCCACATGGATCATTGGTGGATTGATGGGTTCCAGACGTTGCAATCGATAGGGTGACTTGACTGACATGCTCAGCTCGATGGGGTAGACGGAGGAGCCTGCTTCTCTCGGAACCAGGGCATGAAACTTGGCAGATGATCCTCAATAGCCTCGAGCCTGGTCCGAGCACCACTGGGCGCATTCGGGTCATCGGTGTACGGAATGCCCCCTTGGCCTCGGTTCTCCTTCCAGCATTCTTTCTCGCGACGAAGATCGCTTTGGACCCATGGTATCGTGATTAGTGTCCAGAGCCCAGCCCAGGCAAACGGTAACGTCCATCCCAGCTATGCATCTTAGAATCAGAACATTCGAACCTTCGCCTTAGGGATAAACTTACAGTGTATGCAACTGGCTGTGAGACGGTAAAGACGATCGCCGTGATAGCAGCAGCGACCACGACGGATCCCCCAGCCCAGAAACAATTCATCTGGAAGAGCATTCGCCGAAAGTACGGGCTGGACAGGTACCGGGTGCGAAGAGCATATCGATAGATCTGACCACCGCCTCCATCAACCGCCACCACATCTTCGATAAGAACGTATAGGGCTGTGGGCATTGTTGAGCCTTTGGGTGTGGAGGAAATTCGAAAGGGCGCTTTGACACCGCAGGCACGGAGGATATCGAGGGCTAGGAACACGCTGCCGAAGTAGAACATCACTGTCGGAAGGACCATGGCGACTAGACGCACTGTTGAATCCATTAGCCTCAATGATAGATGAAAGGACATACGATAGGCTTACCATATGGCTCTTCAGGAACGGTTCCACTGTCATCATATTAGTCCAGTCCGGAGCTCTGCAGCGGGACCACCTACACAATCAGCTCGACCGCCAGGATCAACCAGACGAGGGTGAAGTTGATATGGAAGAAATCCAGCCATCCCTTCCTAGCATTCAATGGCCGGGCTCGTGAATCCTTTCGGAACAGGTGGTAGAGACGATAGAAATATTCGAATACCGAAACTCCTCCTAACGAAGCCGTCACGATACTAAAGACTAGAGACGAGTGAATCAGTCATATGACATAGAGGAAAAGTGCGACCTCACGTACCGACGTTATGCGAGAGATCCGTGGCATACCAGAGCGCCCAGTATAGGACGAGCGGCTGGGCCAGAGTATCGATAACAAACACCGTCCAGAAGATAGCGATGGACTTCTTTCTCGTGCGCAAGGAGTAAGGGAGCGGCGGAGGCTCAGGACACGCAGCGGGCCTCGTTTCTTCGTCCATCGATCTAGCGGGAGTGGAGTGGTGAGATGGGAAGTCTAATCGGTCGGTCACACGGTCTGCGATTGACGGGGTCTAGATGGTTCGAGGGACGGAGGGATACATGACGGGGAAGCGAGGGAGGAAAGGAACAGGAAGGATGGCGCCAATAGCCAAAACCGGGACCCGGGGATTATGAAGTAAAACTGAAAGGCGAGCGATAAGCCCCAAAGCCGGAAAGGACGGCAGGGGCAGCTCGTAACGATAAAAGAACTTCTGGATTTTGCCATCGGCGGATTCGGATGGCTGCCGTGATGCCTGACGTAACCGGCCGTGATGTCATGCCGTCTACACACGTACATACGGATACACCGTACTGGTATCAACACGTGATTGATTCTATCCATCATCGCTTTGTTTTCCTGTCTTTTCATATGGTCACAATTTTCAGCTTACCTTCGTTAATATAATACCTGCAAAGCTCATCGATAGAAAGGCTAACGGACAATTAGATCGGATGTCAGCGAACAACATGATGCAGAAAATCATATCCGTCACGAAGCTTTCGCGGCGGCCAATTTCATGCGACAATATAAGCTCAGCTAGTTGCCCCCAGGTACTATGGCGACTGCGGATTATCTGTTAGCCTTGTGGTATGTGGCTGCGAATATCCATTTTACTGTGACTGGCGTTGAGCTAGCTACGATACCAGGTATTAGTATTTCATCGATTCCCTGGTTTCTGAGCGCCAGTGTACGCCTACATAAGAGGCGACCCATTTAAGTCGGGAAACGCCAATTATGCTTGGGGGGTGTGAATGATACTGGCGAGCTGAAACGCAGAAGGTGGTGTCACCTCAGCGACGTGACATTACTGCCAATGCATACATTATCGACACATGAAGCGAACAGGCCAGTCCCATGCCACGTGTAGTGAGATTGACCTCACAACGAGAGAAGACGGGGAGCACTAAGCTGTCTGGGAGTACTGCGTCTCCTCTGTCTGGCATACAACGCTATCCAAGACCAAGACTATATGCATTGAGATGGAAAGACGGACATTTCCAGTAAGGAACAGCATGAGCGGTACGGACGGTCAACTGCAGTACAGGCTGGCATCTGAGCCGCAGCCACCGATGGATCAGAGTCTGCCAAGAGGACATGACGCACAGAGTGATCTTGGGATTGCTTTGACACCGAGCGGTGAATCCGGCTCTCAGCGCCCCTCTCTGGCGAGATGCATGGCCTACGACTAAAGTGTGCTGGGCTTGCGGCCGACGAGTTCGTGTCGGTAACTGGAAGGTTCGGAGCATTGATAGATGTCAAGGCGACTACCGCATAGATCATAGAGGGCATGACCCTTCTGGCCACTGGTGTAGAACGTATCAATATGTCCCAACAATAGATTGCACTACTACCGTTCTATTATACCTTCAGCGTTCAGCCTGTATGGAGTCCATAGCAGTATCCATGTCCACATCGAGTTCGGCAGAACGTTGTATTTTGCGACGAATCATAAACTCATTCGCTGAGACCTCCTGGCCTAACCAGGAGCAGTGCCCCAATCTATTGAGGGAGCTAAACTTTGGGATGAGAGAGTGTGATGAAAGTGCCAGCGGAACACGTGATGATGTCGCAGCGGCCACCACGTGATGCCCCCGCCACCCCCGCCGCCTTCGGGCTCGACCTCGTTTTCCTCCGCGACGCTGGTTCGAATCGCGTCGCTGGCTCTGCATCCCCTCATTTCCGTTGCACACTCTGCTCCTCCCTCCGTTGTCTAGGCGATGGATTGAGGTCGAAGCCCGTGGGACGAATTTTGCAGACACGGTCTGGACGCCGACCCGGCTAAAGATGGCCCCTAGCTTACGAGAACTGATTGATTTTCTCCTCGCAGAGATTGCTCTCTGTGGTGATCAAGGTCAGTCGCTTTTTTTTTCTCCGGTCGAGACTAGCGATGGCACCCCTGCATGCGGCCTCCGTCTGATTGGACCCCGTGAACATTCAGCTCTGATACTTGCACTGGACGGAGTAGATAGTCTCTGCCCGCTGGATACCTGCATAAACTCAATCGACCTGTCATGCGATTGGCCTCAGAACCATCCCAACAGCCAACTAACGTCCACCAGGCGCTACCCCAGCCGATATACTAACCTTCATCGATACCTTCTATGCCAAGGCTGCGCAAGATGCAGTCCGCGCCCATGTCGTGGACCGTCGGTTCCAGGAGAAGGTCTGGTCCTGGCTGATGAGAAACCCAGAGGTCTCGGTGGGTAAAGACAGGGAAGGCAATCATCTCAGCCTCCAAGATGCCGAGGGCCGTAGGCATCGTCAAACTGATGCGGAGGCGGATCAAGTCACTCGCGGAGTGTCGGGCGCTGTCCGGGTCTTCGTATCAGAAGAGCGAACCTGGCTCGCAGTCACCGGTCATGGACCGGACGAAACCAAGGTCTTTCCCACAGAATTTGCTCTGCTCTCCATCATTGCATCGCGGAAGCACAATGGCATTGCTCAGACCGAGCTAGTCAAAGTTAGTGGTCAGGACAAACGTTCGGTTCCCAAGCGGACCGATCTTCTGCAGAAAAAGGGCTACATCGAGAAACGGGCAATTCAAGTCAAGTCCACCCGGACAAGCCTTTGTACCCTGCGCAAGTTCTTGTCACCGGAGCACCTCAAGGACAGACAAGCTGGTCAGGATTCAGAGACGGCGCAAGGGGAGAACATGATTGATTTCAAGGAATTTACCGACCACCTCTTTCAGATCCTCCAAGAGTATCAGATAATTTCCCGCAATGACCTCAAGGAGAAGCTCGGGTTTGCAGACCACTGGCGCTGGAGGATTCTATCCCGGGCGCTACGGAAGTTCGAGCGCATAGGAGTCCTCAAACGGGTTCGGGCCTTGTCTCAATATGCACATACGCTGAAGAAGTTCCATCCTTGTGTCATGCTGATCCGCGAGCCAACTGAAAGAGACTTTGAACTCTTCAACGAGTTTAGTCGAGGCATACTATCCAACCTGGAGCAGGAAGACAATGTTGATATCGAAGATGATCTTGAGCAGGATGACCCGTCGCAAGACGCATTGCAGCCAGAGTATGGCACAGTCGGCCTTGTGAAGCGTGATGCCGTGGAAGAGGCTGGCCGAATCCTTCCTTCTTGGACCGCAGATAGGAATATCCACAATTTGATCGTCGATACTGTTGGTCAAACCGGGACCAACGGGATTACCAACCAGGTAAGCGCTGTCCGATGAGCCGGAAGAGCAGACCAGACATTGACCGAGCAGGGGATCTTGAGAGCTTGTTTTGGCGGCTACTTCCGACGGCCTTTGGAGAATGCAGTGAGCCGTCTCGTGGAATGCTGGCAGTTATCGCAGCCTCCCCATCTGCGCCATCTCGCAATCGTCAGAGATACGGCACTCCAGCGGACCATCACGCACTATGTTCATTACACCGCAACGAACTTCAAGCAACTCGTGGATTCCGGGGAAGCATTGTGGGAGGCGGTTGAGTTTGCCCCGAAAAAGCTCAAGACAAACAATGTCCGGGTCCCTCCTGTTGATGCTGTCCCTGAACTGGATACGTACGGACTTCCCCTTGAGGTTCCCAGGAAGGAGGTATTAAAGAATGGGCATGCTACTCTTCTCGAGTGTATCCTGGCAGTGAAGCCGCCAAATTACGTCTTCTCCGGCAGCGATGCCTTAGCGGCACGTCTGGAGGATGGAACATACGTAATCCAACAGCGCATTCGGGGCTCTGACCATCCTCTACCATACCCTGAGGCTACCCCGGTCAGGATGAAGAAAGAACGCCGAGATGCATCCGATGCTGAGATGGGTGATACACCTAGTGTGAAACCGAAAGGGCGACCACGGAAGACGAAGCACCCTGACGCATTCCGAGGTATGTCTGAAAAAGAGAAGCTCGAGGCTCTTGGACTGGACGAAACATGGACGGAGTATAGTGTCCTGCTTCTTGAACGCACCGGTCCGGGCGTGTACGTCACCACGCGTGGACGACGACGACCGGCTGGTAGAAGGCAGGGGCGTCCGGCGGTCAGCCGGATCGCGGTATTCAAAACACCAGCCCTAGCTTCTCTCCCTTGGTTCCAGAAGGAGATTGGATCCGATGATGATTCAATGCTTGCGAGAGAGACCCCTCTACAGGACAGCACACAGCCTCAGATTGTCCCTGTAACTGATGGGGATGCTGCCCCTCCAGTAACCACACCAAACAGTCCTGCCAGGGGGTATAAGAGAAGGCTGCGGCACCTTGACTCAGATGCAGAGCTTGGAACTGGAAGTGCTCTAAAGCAGCGTCGTGTCGAGGAAGTTAATGGAGACTTGCAAAATGATGTGCCGGCCGAGGAACAAGAGCATGAACCAGGACATATGCGGGTCTCCCCCAGACGAACAAAGAGGAAAAGGGCCGTGTCACCACAGCTCCCAGAACCAAGCCCAGTCCCGAAAGGTCGTGCTGCACATGTTCCTTCGACTGAAACTCTGCCGCAAGGCCGCAACGATCAGCCGGCCATTCGCAGTGCGGGCGTCGTTGAAACACCATCTAAGAGAACGCGCTCCGGACGAGTCCTGCGAGGTGATAGCACATCGGCTGATCCAACTGCGGCTGAAACAAACGACCCTACATCGACGGCCGGCCGGCCCCGTACATCCGTGGCCAATGCAATTTCTGAGGTTCCCAAGACAGACGATGCAGTCCCTTCTGTGCCCCCTTCCGAGACAGCGCCCGAGAACAAGACCGGAGCGGCCTCAGAAACACCGGAGACGTCGACCAAAAAGCGACGCATCTTTGCAGAAAAGGGTGGGTCCGTCGCTGTGCTCCGGAGGTCGATTGTGATGGATATCCTCGAGCAAGCTGGTGGCGCCTATCCTATGGGTACCGAAGTCTGGTATCCATTCATGACGGCATGGCAGAAGAAACGGCATAAAGAAATACCCGACCTGCGCACCATCAGGGCAGTCGTGAAAACCATGATCGACAGTGGCAAGGTCCGCCAGTTGACCTTCAGTGGGAGAGACAGCAAGGGAGTGATGGTGACCAAAAGCATCATGTACAAAGCCGATATGCAGCCCGACGACCCTCTGATCCAGGACATGCAGAAGAAAATGCTGGCCGCCACTCGATGCTACTTCCCTCCCAATGTTGAAATCGACCCCGAGATCTCAAAGAATGGCAACCGGAATAGCCTACGCCGAGACATGAAGCAGCTTTCTCAGCTGCCGGTTGAACGCAGCGTTACGGTTCAGCTACACCAGAAGCCCGCCATGGTTCGGGCCGTGGAACGACGCCGACAACACATGTTGCGAACCGAACTGTTACAGCGGCTGAGTATGGGAGATGACTATGAGTTTGATGCCACTGATGGGTCAGAAATCGTCCGACTCATGACCCTTCGTCGTGGCTCTGCCAAAGACAATACACAGGGACTCACATCCATCTCCCGTCCAGGGCGCATGGGAGATGGAACTCGGCAAGGACAAAGACGGCGGGCCGAGGCCGGGCTGGCTTCCCTTCGCAAGATGAGGCGACTCTGGTCCTCCATCGCGCCGTACACGATGCTGATGAACACGAAGTCCTCGTTCCACGCCACCACTGGAACCTTTGGTACGGAGGCCGGGATTCCGGCTCTGCAGGCTGCCAAAGAACGTGCGAAAGCGGCCGCCAGAAAGAAAGGTCACAAGGTACCATCGGGACTGCCGCATTCGCTCGACGACATTTTCAGCCAGGCGCGGAGACGAACCATGGATTATACTGGCAAATCTGATCCCCGATCCCGTCGGTTCTTCCGGGACAACAATGTTATTCTCAAGTGGGAGCTCAGCAATGAAGATTTACTCCGTCGGAAGAGCACAGACCTCCTGTATATCAACCAGACGGTCCAGGACATGGAGACTCCTGGTATCGAAGGGAACATTCGGTTCGACGTGGATGAGGACACCGGGAGAGTGGCGATCCCACGGACTCCCATGACCACCCGACAGAAAGCCCGACTGGAAGGCGAGCCTGCTCCATCGCGGCGACGACGTTCCGAGTCTGCTCTGGAGCCCAAGCACCGCCGTCTGGCCAAACTGAACGAGAGCCTGGCCGCCGACGAGAATCGGCTTGCTGCGACCCAAGCTGGGCCACGCCAGCCCGCCCGTCGTAGCCGTCTGGTCGCGCAAATGCCGCAGCCCCTTGTCCAGCAATTCATCGCAGCCATTGTCGCTGTGCGTAGTCTCGCCGGGGGGTCTGATGCTCGTTTGATTGATTGGTCCCTTCTCTGTTGTTGCTTTCCAGATCTGGAACCCGCTTTTGTGATTGGCAGAGCCAAGGGGATTCTTACCAAGTACCGGCTACAGATCGCCAAGATGCAGAGTGATTTCCAGGAGCGGTTCATTGAAGCCTACGCCAATGACCAGGTCCCCCCGATCGATTACGACAACCTCGAAGCGTATGACTGGGAGGGGGTGATTGAGTGGGCGAACACGCAGCTGGATGCCCCCCGATCCGAGAAGCTTCCGGACCTGCCAGCAACCCGGGAGCAGTTCGACAGCGTTTTCGATCTCCGCGAGGAAGCCGTTGTGCCGCTGGATGAACTATACCAAGCCACCCAGTCGGTCACGATGAGTCGTAAGCGGGCACTCATCGCCAGTGTTCCGTTCGCCACTCCCCTGCCCGACCATTCGACACGGCCTCCACCGCGCCGAGATGAACTCGCGCGCTTGGACGTCGCGAAGACTTGGGTGCGGGCCAACGTGGTGACCCCGCAAGAGACGTATCGGCCCGCCGACGCGCGACAAGCCTTGGAGGGCTTTGGCGAGCATGTCGTGCAGCAGGCGTTGCAGTCCTTGGTGACAGAGCGGGCCCTCTCCATGGGCAACCGGGGCCGCATCACCCCTGGCCGGAACTACGACGTGACGGAACACTTCCTACTCACCCTCGGACGACGCCGTGTGATCGAAAGTACCGAGCTCCGGCGCGCACCGCGATTCAAGACGGAGACCCTGGATCCAGCCCTGCGCCGACAGGGATATTTGGACATCGACTACAACGCCGAAGACGGCGACATGATGGTCGCAATCAACCTGTTCGCCGCGGGCCGTGTGGTGCTGCAGCCGCGCGACGCACCGCGGGAAAAGTACGGACTGACCGACGGCGGATACCTCACGCGGCAGATCGACAAGGACAAGCTGCGCTTCTCCGTGGAGGTGCGGCCGGCCAAGTCGTACGTCTACGGGAACCCGATCCAGGAGCAGACCAACAGCCTGGCAGCCCCGCGCCCACCGGAGGACATCGACCCCACCACACCCCTCCCAGCAAAGGTTCCGCTCTGGTACGACATCCACGGTGCCTTTGTGCGGGTGCTATGGGAGCTGGCGGTGGCGGCGGTGGTCGGCTGCGTGGCGACCCGGCCGGGGATCAGCGCGAAGGCGATTGCGGGGATGTTGAAACCGACGATGGGCGGCTGGGAGGTGCAGCTATTATTGGAGTGGCTGGAGGGAGTGGGAGTGGCACGATTGGAGGGGGATCACGAGAAGCGAACGGAGGAGCAAGCGGGATGGGTGGTTCAAGAATGGTGGTGGATGGTATTAGGATAATTTGTATAGTACTCGTATATATAGCCGATTCGTTTGACACTGTATAATGACAGATTGGATGTCAGTTGATAAATGCAGTGAAAGATAGCATACTGTCATATCCCACATCTCGACTCTGGCCAGATCATCTATAGACCTGTACTATGTACTACAAAGTATGCCACTGAATCATACTAGCATATCATCTCCTCATATATCCCTCCTTTACCCATTACTACTAGTAATCACCTAGCACGACCCCAAATCCAACTGATCAACCCTCATCCCATCAATCCTAGACTCTAAACCTACCATCTAAACCTGGTAACCCGACCCTTTCACATTGACATCAACTCACCCCTACACCGAACCCTCCAATTCACATAGTATTCAATTCAAATAGAAAAAGATCAAATCAATTACCCATCTAAACTCCGGATATAATACCATACATAATACAACTGTTTCCCTAACCCAGACCCCACATTAAATGGTAAGAAGATGATCGATACCTCAACGTCAACCACACCACGCTCGCTTGCTCAGATAACAAGATAAATAGAATGAGGTACTGTGAATCAGATCTTTTGTGCCCTTGGAATGGAAGTGAAAAGATGATAAGGAGGTAGGTAGGTGGTCATTCCATGTCTTCGCGGGCGAGTCGACGGAGAATCATTACTGCCAGAGCGATGACGACTCCGATGATGGCGCGGTCGAGCCAGGGGGTTTCTTGGGATGGGGGGGTTGCCGTGGGCAGAGGGTGTTGTTGGGGGTGGAATTGGGGTTGAGGGTGTGGTTGTTGTGGAGTTGTAGTGGTGGTAGGTGTCGGTGTGAGTGGTTGTGTTTGTAGTTGTGATTGCTCTTGTGGTTGTGTCTGTGTCTGCGGTGAAGCAGATGTAGCTGTAGCTTCATCTGTAGATGCAGACATATGTGCAGGAGCAGGAGCAGGAGCAGGTGCAGTTGTAGACGTAGGCGTCGGCGTCGATATATCCGCATTCGCATCCCCACTCCCCATCTCCCTCTCCATCGCATCCCCCTCCGTGACCCGCACCGAGGCTTCATTCTCACTCTTTCCCCCCTCCTCCTCCACCAACACCCCCCTCTCGGCACAAAACCCCCTCCACTCCCTCATAACCACCTCATTCCGCCTCCCCATACACCACTCACACGCATCACAGCACCAATCCCTCGACTCAACCGCATACCGCCTCCTCACCTCCACGCCCACATCCAACCCCCCCACCTGCCCCTTCGCATCCCCATCCATAAAGCTCCGCAGCGCAATCAACGCCGTCCGGATCCCCCACGCCGGCTGCCACGTCTCCTCATGATGGCCTGAGATACTGAGACAGATTTCGCGATTCACTTCGAAGCGGCCGGAGGGGGTGAGGAAGCGGAAGGACGGGGGGCGGAGAGGGTATGTGGGCGGGAGGACGATGCGGCCGTGGTAGAGGCCGTTGGCGTAGGGAGAGGGGGATGGTGGGCCTTGGATGGTGAAGTGCCAGTCGTAGAGGTTGGATTCGGAGATGGGCGTGGCGTGGAAGTAGGGCGAGGGGTGGGTCGTTAGTTCGGTGGCTTCGCGGAGGAGGCGTTTCGTGGAGGATGTTGGGGGCATTTTCTTTCAGTTTCACTCTCTCTGTGTGTGGGTGGGTGGGTGGGTGGGTGTTTGTTGGTGGTTTAAGGTGGTGGTGGTGGTGTAGTTGGAGGGTGGAGCAGATGTCAGTATGAGGGGAGGCCAGTTGGCCTCTGGGTTGCTGCCTTCCAATTCAGGCATACATGCCATGGCGCATCATTCATCAATTATCAACACCTTACTCCGTGCTAACTATACATGTACATATTTACCGTGGCCTATATTCCCCGCCTCTAATCCCAGTTCCGCCATTCGTCTTCCCCTTGGCCCCGACTGCCCCCCGCCTCCCCCGCCTCCTCCTCATCGCTCACCACCTCGCCCGGTCGTGGGCGCGGTGACATCGGAGGTAGCGTCTTCATCGATACGCCCGTGTCAGGCCGCTCCGGGTCGCGTACCACGTCCAGTGGCTGGCTCGGCGTCCAGGTCGCTGCCCGATCCGTTCCCGCCCACGCTTGGCTGTTGTTCATATTCCGCTGGTACAGATCTCGCTGGTATTGCTGCTGCCGCGCGGCATCTTCCTCCCGGCGCTGTCGCACCCGATCGCGGGCTTCCATGAACTTCACGCTCGGCTCCCAGTGCCAGCCATCGCCCGAGGTCGTACAAACCGGCACCGGCCACAGCAGCGGACGGTCGCCGAACAAATGCCGCAGGTTGCGTCGCCATCCCAGGTCGAACGCGTGCGGCATCTTTTCACTGTCCTCCTCGTCCAGGTAATTTTGGTACCGGTCGTGCTCGCGCTGTCGCTCCATCTCCGCATACGACCGCGATAGCGACTGCTGGGCCGGCGTCATCCGAGTCTCGGACTGACCGGGCAAAATCTCTTCTTCCCCCTCTTCAGGCCGGGTCACTCCTGGGATCGCGTTGGCATGGGCATCGAGGATCTGTCCCCCGTAGTCCTGTAGCCGGTGGCTCAATCCCTCCCGATCGCCTCCCTCACTTCCCAGCAGCTGGTCGTAGCGGTGGCGATCCAGCGCTTTCCGCAATGGCGACACATACCGCGTCTTCTCCAGACACTCAATCGTCGTGATACCCCGTAGCGCCAGGCTAATATGCCAGACCGTAAACCCTGACAGTACCAGCCCGATGATTCCGCCCAGCACCGCCAACAGCACCACATTAATCGGCAGCATCTTATCCACGTCGATGTATTTACTGTCGTCCAGCATTTCCGTCCAAATCCACAGCGCCGCCACGAAGAAATCCACCCAGCAGAAGATCGACGTGTATATCAGGAACAACAGGAACGCCTTGTAATTGTACAACCCCACACAGGTCGCCAGCCACGGACAGTGGTGGTCCATTTTCAGCACGCAGCGCTTGCACGTCGAGCAGTGATGCGCCCGGTCCGGTTTCGGGCACTGGCATTTCTTGCAGAACCGAGATCCGCCGGTCGAACTCACTGTGTAGGCGGTATACTGTGGTAACTCGGTGACCGGGAGCGCGCTGTATTCGTGTCGACCGCGGCCGCTCGGCGTGAGGGGGGATCCGGGATCGGTGAAAACGGCGACACTATAGCAGGCATTAAGGCAGATGTAGAGGATGATTCCGAGGAGGGAACTGGGTAGACCTATACCATTTACCGACCGTAAGTAAGGATAAGTAACAAACAACTGAAGAAACGTACCAATCCAAGCACTGTCGCACGGCTTGAAGCCCACACTGGCCTCGACATAGACCGCCCATGTCGTCAAGCTGTAGACAAAGGCCAAGGGGAAGAAAGATGCCGCGGTGCAGCAATAGCGTTCAATGCGGAGAGCCCATGCCCGGGGGCGTCGTTTGGGCCATGAAGGCGACGATGGAGGGGAGGTAGCCAGCGTTGCCATGATCGGTAGTTCTGTATCAGTCGATGGCTAGAAGACATCCACGTTGCTGAGCGATGATTTCAAATCATGGCGATCGCAGTGACGGAGAGGTGGTGGGATGTCAACGATGGCGGCACAGGTATGAACAGAATACAGAATATACACAGGAATCTAGATAGCAGCGAAGAAATTCTAGAACAGCAGCAAGGCTGGAATGAGGTGACGAGGTGAGGGAGAAGTGGATGGATCTCGGGGAGATCGAGGCACCAGCGGTACGAATTACCGTACGGGACAGCACCGCCACGATGCCGATCACATGCCTATATTTAGACCGTGGCTGCTGCCTTGTCGACTGTTACCAGCGAGCATACGGAGTATAGAATCATAATGCATTTTCTCATGGGATGCCATCCCGACCGAGTAGTAGTATAAACATGACGCTGCCTTAACTACAGCATAGATCATCTCAAACGCCGCTTAATGTACTGAAGCCTCGATAGAATACCGAATTGCAAGGGATATCCAGAACCAAACCATATGCCAGCCAGTATAAAACAGTGAATAAAATATCCAGATCGATCCCGCTCAGGAAGTCTTTTCCGTCGTCAATTCGCTCTCCTTACACCATCCATTGACAGGCTGCAACAAGTTAGTATGGAGGCCAGCTAGAAACAGTAAGATGAAGGAGTCACTCACCAGACAGCTCAGGCGGTAGCACCACGAGCAGTTGGACTTTGGATACTTGTAAAAGTCGATGATCAGCAGAATGAAGCCCACCAGCACGGCAACCAACGCGCCCGCGCGCACCAACCACCATGCCCACCAGAGCGGCTTGCGGCCTCGGAAGAAGTTCATCGGGTTCATCTTGTTGTCGGCGCCCGCCCCCGTGCGTGTGCGCCGTCCTTTCAAAAAGTCAACCAAGCTGGGCCCCGAAGCCACCTTCTGGGTATCCTCCGCCGTGGGTGTGCCAGCACCGCCACTCATGGCAACATACGGGTTCCGCGCAAGGCCAATCCGCTCGCGCAGTGCATTGGGAGAGCGAAGAAGGCACAGCCCCAGAGCCAGTCCCATGATGAAGCCTCCAATGTGAGCAAAGTTGTCCAAGCCGGGCAACAGTCCCAACACAAAAGAAACGGCAATACCCAAAATCATGATGATCAACTCGACCCACGGCGAAGGCCGTTCCTTCCACGTATAGAGAAGATCCAAGATGAAAAGAGCGAGGATACCAAAGAGAGCACCGGAGCAGCCGCACGACGCCTCGCCCTGTCCGGCATAGTTGCCTCCCAGCACGAAGCCCCAAATGCCACTGGCCACATACACCAGGAAATACCGCCACCAGCCAATCATCCGCTCCATGTCGACACCCATGGTCAATTGCACAATGAGGTTGAAGCCGATATGAACAAATCCAGTGTGGATGAACATGGGAATGATGAACCGGAACCATTGATTGGGCTCCGGTCGGTCGTCAAGAGATCCCCCCGGATGAGGGTTCGGGACACCACTGAAGCCGCACGCCTCGGACAATGAGCATGCGGCCGTCGATGTGGTCGCATTCGGGCAAGGGAACAGGACGGTTTCATTCGCATTTTGGATGCCAGGAACGTTCTTCATACACGGCGTATACCGCGATCCCATGTAGATTTGCACGTACGGGGAGGGCCCGATCATCACGTTAAACGACGGTTTCGTCTCGATAGGAGAGCCGGTGAGTTGAGCTGCAGAGAGTCAGTAATTCCATGATTTATTCCGGGGTCCTTGCGATCTTCACATACCATTTTTCACCAACTCCACGATAAACACGATGATCTGGACCAATGTAAACGTATACGTCACCCACGCGATCTTCTTGTTGAAGAAACCCTTCTTCTTATTCCTTCGCGCGGTCGGAGCGACCGGTGGTTCGATCTCGTCGGGGGTGGGCGAATAATGCGTGGGTTGGTGCATCCAATTCGGCGGCGGGGACCCATTCGCATACTGATTGCTCTTCAGAGGGATATTCTCCGCATAGTGATCACTGTCGTTCAAGCGCCCACCGGTCGCATATGCTTGGTCGGAACCGAAAGATTGCTGACTGTTGTGAAGTTGGGGGTCGGACGTCGTCGGCTGGTAGGGATGTGTGTTGAAGTCGGGGTGACCTGGGGTTGGTATGCGGTCGATGTGAGGATTGGCTTGCTCGTAGGAAGGAGGATTGCTGCTATATGCGCCGTGATAATAGCTGTTCGCTGCCATATTGAATGGACAGCCGGACGGCGAAAGAGACAAAGGACGGTCGTCTACCAATCAATGCGATAACTGGATGCGTGAGATATCCAGACACAGCTTGCCCGATGGATCAGGTGAGCTCGAGGTGGGATAGGATATTTCTTCTGCAAAGGTGGTTGGCAGGGGTTCGATTGAGATGACGCCGTGACGGCACGTTTGGCGGCGGGAGGCAGGGCTGAAACTACCGCTAAAAAGGAATGCCCCTGACCGGAAAGTAAACACAACGGCCCCCAACAACCTAACAACAGGAAGGATTCAAGTGATTTAGGGGAGAAACGAGGGTGTCCACCAAATCTACCGAGGGAACGAGGGACAAATGAACGAAGAGCCGGTCCGATACGATGTATGAATGATATTAGATCGAGCCGGACGCAGGCAGAGTTTAGGCAGGCGGTTTTCAGTCTCGGCGGGCCACTATTTTTGGGCGCCGATCTCCAGCGCTTCGTCGTCAGCCGCCGCGCCGGGTGGGAGACCCCCGATGACTGAGCACCAGCAGCCATTCATCTGCCCGCGTCCCGCAGGCCACGCACACCCGCGGCCTTCATTCCTATGACAGCATCATGGCGGTGTCCCCTCACTGATCACAATAACAATAAGGCAGGCTGGGCAGTGGGACGGTGTGGCTGGGTGCTCGTTGGCGCTCTCCACTCCCATCTCGTGTTGTCGTGACGACCTTGCCAGCCTGGCCGTCGTGTCCCCCGCCATCAACATGATCAAGCGCTCGTGTCCACGCAGGCTTGGTACACCAGCTTGGGAAACACAGACCCTTTACTGATTGGTCGCGGACATGCAGAGCAGTCAGACGCACTTCATATTTGACATTAAGCATTACTAGCCATTTAACAATACCACATTCACCTAACCCACACGAGGTTCATCTGTACATCGCTTCGCGTGTGGATTCCCTGCGAGGAGATGCTGCCGCACGGCAGATTATCCAAGCCACAAGCCAACAATCGGAGAAAGAAAGCCAAAATCCAAAGTGCCCAGTCTGGTCCAAAGGTCGGGTATTTCCATCTCTATCGGGTTGGAACACAACAGATTCTTGTCCTACACGCCTGGTCCGCGTGTTCGCATTAAAAGTCGATGTCTTCCGTTCAGTTCATTAAGTCTGTGCGCGGCAACGCGCTAATGTTGATCATAGTCCCGGAACGCCCGGCAACGCCATCAAATGAATCGAATATACAACGAGGATCTGTCTCGGTCCTCGCGCGTCAGCCCCAATGCACCGGCTCATTCAGTCAACTGTCGCTTACCATAACAACAGACCCTGTTGCCGTATACCAAAAAGCAATGCAAACCAAAAGGAACGAAATACTATAATCATGAGGTGGTTTCCACTTTCTCGGCCAACGTTCGCGCCTCAGCTAGAGGGCGTGGATATCGTGTTCACGTGGGACTCGAGTATCCCCAAGGCAGCTCCCATCTCCTCGCTGCTGTGGCCGGTCAAAAGCCATACAAGACGGCTGAGCTTTTGGTACAACAGCGCGGGGAAGTAAACGAGCAGGGCCCAGAACAAGAGGGACAGAACAACGATCACGAAAGTGTTGGCCACCAGCTTTTCCCCTGGCGTCATCACGTAGAGTCCGAACGTAACCTCGTAGCGATAATACTCCAAAAGGATGCGGTCGGCAAATCGCTGCACGATGTTGCGGCGGGGGTTCTTCATGGGCAAGTGGCTTGCACCGGGTGAGGTCGAAGTTGTCATGGTGGAAGAGTATTTATTGATCAGTTCGTCCACTGCAGCCGGCGCGTGGGAAGAGATATGTGTGGTTGTGGGGGTGTAAAACGACTGCATTTCCGTTGCCATTGCCGACCGATATTGTAGTTGCAGGTGGCCGTCGCTTCCTTGCGCTATACCTGTGGTTCCGGAGCACCTTCCTTTCTTGCAGAACTACCTTGGTGAAAAGGGAGTCGAATAGGCGACCGCTTGTTCCCTTCTTCCGTATAACTAACTGGAAAAGCCCGGTCAATCTGGAGCGTTCCGCCTCGAGACAACGGGCAATTAAGTATTCTCGTGGCTATCGGAGATTGAGGTCCGACGCGAGGACTAGTCGGAGTTGAGGGGAAATTAAACAACGAAATTGACAGTCGCTGGAGGATACGAATGCGGGGTCAACTCGAGGAGGAATACAGAGTAGCCGAGATCAGGAAGAAGAGGGAGCAGCACCAGACTAAAGGCGCCAGGGGAGGTGAAATGAAAGTTGGGAGAGTTGCAGAGGAGAAAATCGGTAGGGCGCGGATCGAGGAAAACCCGCCTTGAAGGATGATTGGAAGGACGACCGTCTGCTCAGGCAATAGTCCAACTAGCCCAGCTCAAGGGCGTCCTGGCCAAGAATTAATTCGAACTAAGCACACGCCGATGACTCAATTTTCTGGGAAGTGCAGACTGCAGAGTGCTGGATCATCGTCATGAAATTAATTTGCAATGCGACAGTGTCGGGCGCGACCTCGTCATTGGCTGCAAACGGCATCCGGAAGTCATCTGCTGGAGCTCGGCTCTATCGGCATCACCCGATGGTCCTGGTGGATGTGAGTTTTTATTTTTTCTTTATTTTTTTCGTGTCTTCTTTGCGCCCTCATCATTAGCATTTCTCTCTGTTCCCTGTTTTACGGGAAAGACATCATCCCGATGGAGCCTAACCTCTTGCCCCGGATTTTCCACCGAAGAATCCATAATTGCCCCTAGCATATCTCTCGTGCGATAAGAGCGGCCGGTGTCCACGAGGATCATATTGTGATTGTCCGTGATTGCCAGTTGCTTGCATAAAGTTCATAACGCGTTCACGAATGGTGCACGTCCCTTTTGCTGGGTGAGGTAAGCAGCTGCGATACCCGTGGGAGACCCACGGGAGGATTGTTGGGTCGAGGGGTAGCGATGGCAGTGACTTCAGTGACTTGCAGGTTCGATGTTCAGGATGAACAGGAGAAAGAGACCTGCTGTAAGTCGGAAGTTTCGCTTTAAAAGCAAACCAGCCTCCCCGTACTTTGTGTAACTCTCGATGCTGGAACTCGGATCGGAGAAACGGGGGTTGCACCAATAACATCAGCTATCGGTACAGAGTACTATGGATGTACTCGTTAGAGAATGTAAAAGGCACAGAAGATCGTAGAAGGCTGGCAAGAGTAGTAGTAGGAATCTATCGATGGGATGCTCAAGGGCGTCAGGCTGGTGAAAGGCCCCTGCAGGTCTTTGGCATGTTTGCATGTGCTGGGAGATAACGGACAATAACGGTAAGGCCTATCAGTCGCCGTAGTCTGCTTGCTTGCTGGTGAAGTACGCTTGACAGTTCCCGGGTGTCCTTCCAGTATTGCTCTCGAAGATATAAATCCACTCTGCATTAGCGCAATATCTCATGGCGTCGCAACCACAAGTTCGCGATGGCGAAAGAAAGAGAAGATGAGTGCCGTCTTTCCATCGTAGGGTGTGAGGGACCTACTTGTTTCACTACATGTTTTTGGAAACCTTTCGGAGAGACTCAGTTTATGATGTAGACTTTGTTGACCAGCAGCGTGCCCTGTTAATGCCACTATCCAGATACGCATCCTGGGGCTAGAGCTTCGCCCAGGGTGAAGAAATGAGACTCGATGCTTGGTGACTACAATCCCAGCCTACGGTGATCTACTTTTAAACCGGCCAGAGCAGTCTATCTCAGTCCTGGAGCAAGAGTGTTGTGATGATGATGATGATGATGATGATGATGATGATGATGATGATGATGATGATGATGCAAATTCATTATCAGAACATTCCACGCGCGGAATATTTGGTTGGCTAGAGTCAACACGGTATCCAGCAGCTGAACAAGCCATATACTAGCACCCATGGATAGACTTTGAAAGCCTCGATGATGAAGAGGTGTAGGGGGTGAATCTAGTACCCTTAATAAACAGATACTCGGAAGTCGATCGAAAAGTGCTGAGTGTGCTTGTTCAAAGTCTACAATTCCGTGCTTGAGACGGCGCAGCACGGTTTGCTGCAGAGGTGCAGTGACAACGGTCACCCTTGAAGTATGAACCATCAAGCTGTTGCGGGGACATCAGATTCTGGAAGTTTCTTCTAGGACCCTGCGTAGTCATGAACCCGTGATTGACAAAGCCAGGTGCGCATCGACATGTGATGACAATCGACTTGTAAGCGGGTTATACGAAGTAGCACGGGTATCCTTCCTGTAATCGATGACACCTTGATCAACTCTTCTATCCATACTTCGATCCCGGTGGATCGACGGCGTCTTGGCTGCCCGAGAATTCTTCCCGCCCGCGCGCCTCACAATTGTTTCGTCTTATCACCAATACAGCTGGAGGTCTCACATAGGCCCTTCTTATGTTTCAGTGATGTTAAGTGCTATGAGCACGATCGGAACGATGCTTCCGCTCAAACAAATAGGTAGCAATGCTACAAGTCGTGGTGGCAGAAGGCCTGCGTGGCGGGTATCACGAGGTCGCCATGGCCATGGCTGAGATCACACTGACTTCCCTCTTGGCCATCGCAGACATTCAGTCATCGAGATCTGGACCGCAAAGACAGCATGTTGCCAGGATCAGGGGTCGAACCGGTTCCTGAGCCGAGCGGAGTAGGATGAATTGGATTGAAATGCCATGCAGTGAGCCGGACGGAGGGCGGGTGACATCATGCGCCCCCCGGGGCGGTGCAGTACATTACGCATTATCTTACCGGCCCTCAGTGTTTCGGGCGTCCCGCCTCGACCCTCTCTTTCCTGCTTGCTGCGTCTCTGTCTATCTGTCATCTCATCCATAACCTCTTCGCCTGGTCCATCGGTTGTCTTACGTTGCAATGGCCGAGGAAGAAGATCCCCTCATCCAGGCTCTGCCTCCTGCGACCGACTACCTGACCTACCTCACCCTCCTCGAATACCAGCTCACCCCCGCCCGCCTACCCACCCTTCACAAGCTCCTCCAGGATGAGGTGCTCACAACCAACATCGGTTGGGATCTGGTGCAGTTGTTGCTGCCAATGCTGCCCCAGTCCACCGATTGCCTGCACGATATTGCCCGATTGGGAAATCCGAGGGAGGTGATTTTGCGAGTTTCGGATGCGCTCATGAAGCTACAACCCGAGGACGAGGATGAAGATAGTGAAGATGAGACTGCTGAGCCCGCTGGGCTAGGGAATTCCGGTCAAGCGGGGGAGTCATCGCAGAATGCTGCGGGTAGCGAAGGGAGGCCCTCTGCCTTGCCTCGCCATGTCGTACAGTTCAATACGCTGGTCGCAATGCTGTCGGTTCTTCACTCCCGCATCCAAACCAAGTCCCCCAGTCGTTTTCTTGCGACATCGTTGCAGGCCGTGCTGGAGGCATATACCCTCATGCCTACGAGTGAGACTACAATTGCGCTGCTAGAGTTCTTCAGAACTGTGTCGCCGTCAAAGAGACCGGCGCCGCCTCCAAGAGTGCCCAGCGAGTCAAGCGTGCTGCGTCTGGCGGTAGCAACAGCGCCCGACCCAGAAGCAGAGGTTCAGTCACCATCCCCGGCAAGTGATGAGGAACCGGTGTTAGTCCAGAAATTCTTGCAATTTGGTCTGCTAGAGGTCCTGAAATCATATCTTTTGAGCTTCTCCGGTCCCTCGGATCCGGGACTGTCTTGGGCTATTAGGTTGCAAGAAAAACTGCAACCTGGGATGCGATTGATCAAGCAGGAAACGCAGAGTGATCTCTTCGCAAACCACAAGGAGCTGAAAGAGAGGGACATGATCATTGCAAAAATTACGGTAAGACATAACCCAGCTCCTGCGATCTATCTACTAACAGTTGCAGGCTCTATCTCGAGATTTCGGTCTCAATGATAAGGCGCTTCTGGAGATTGTTCTTCAGTCTCCAGGTGACCAGCCTCTCCCTCTAGATTTCGAGGAGCCTCCCAGGAAGGCGGATGAGATTCCACTAGAAAGACATGGATCTCTGCTTCTGCTTGCGGCCCGGGCGGCCACTGCAGAGCTGTTCTCATCTGGCCAGGTCACTCCTATCGCCATTTTCCCCGAGCTGGCACGAATCTTCCAGAATTTCGTCGGAGGGTACAATTCGCCCGACGACGTGGCATTTGGGCAGCCCCAAGTGCTGCTAGACTCGTTGCTTACTCTGACTGTCTTCTCCAATCAACAAACGAGCTTCCCAGCTCCCAGTGAGAAGGACTTTGTCAAGTTCGTTCTGACCTTGACCGCTTGCACAGCGCGCCAAAATTACAGCTCCGTGCGACGGATTCCCGGAACACTGATTCAGAAACACCCGTCGCAAGTGACGCAGTTCAAAGTTATCCGGACCGTCCTGGAAGACGACCGCTTCCAGTCCGTAAAGGACAGTGCAATTGGATGGCTAAAGACGGGGATCCTCGCGGCAGCAAATTCGTCCGAACTGGGCACTCCGTCCGAGCCCAGCATCTTTCTCAACCCGCACTACTTTTCGGTGCTGTTCCCTTCGCTCTTCAACTCCTCCGAATTATTCATGAACGTATCCTCCGACCTCGTGGCATCCTGGATCAAGTTCTCGCAGACCCTCTCTCCATCCATCCATGCGGCCCTCAGTCTCTACTACACCCTCGTGTCCTCGCTGAACCTGCGTAAGCAACTGCAGCTCGAAAAGACCTATGTCTACTTCCGCAACCGGTTCCTGGAGCCTCTCAAGTCCCTCTGCCACGCCTTCGAAGCGGACCTGGTGCGGAACGGTGGGGATGGAAAGATCGAAGCTGCGGTTGGCGAGAGCCTGAGCCAAGTTGGCATGGCGCGATCGGTCGGACTGGTGTCGTACATGCTGGAACAGGTCGAGGACGCCGTCGGAGAGGCTTTTGTGCTACAGGACTCGGAGCTACCGGAGCCGAGCGCGGACGACATCGCGCGGGTGGATATGATCCGAAAGGAGACGTCACCATGAACTGAACTGTAAATAGATGCCCCGGCCTGAGTTTCAATGTGCAGGCCTATTGATACCTCTTACATATGACTGAGCTGGAGTAGTAGTGTTTGTTTATCTATATACGATCTGCTATATTGAAGTTTACATGAACCTATGCCACCATCAACCTAGACTGTCATACTGTACAATACTGACCCATACCCTTCCCGACGCCTACTTTCTTCGAACAACAGACATGGACTCAAGCCCACATACAAAAGACAATGAAATCCCGTCATTTCAAGTAGCTAAATTACATCACACATATGATCCCGCCCACAAAGGACAAAAGAAGAAGGATATACAAAGAAGTCATACTAACCAAACGAGAATAGAGAAGAATAAAGGCGAGCGTTAACCCAAAGTCCACTTTTGACTTACCTCCTATCATCCGCAACTTGAAATGCCTACACATCAACCAGCACCCTTCCCCCCCCCACCTTTCCCCGCCTATCCATACTCAAACCAACCAAAACGAACTCATCCACTTCTCCCTAATTATAATTTTCCCCAAGAATCAAGCGGTATCCCATCCCCCACCTCCCCGAAACCCCCCAACTCCCACTCCCCCACACACGAATAATCCCACTTCGCCTTCTCCAGACTCTGTCTCTGGAGATCCAAGAACGCATCTAACTCGCACCATCCGTCGCTTCGATAGGGACAATACTCGTCGGGAAAGCTACTGTGGAGCGGGACTGTGCGCTGGTTGACGAGGAAATGGATGTATTTTGTCTCTGGGGTGTCTTTGAGGTACGGGTTAGTGGTGGTGTGGGTTCTGTTTGGGGAGATTTGGTGGGGGGAGTGGATGATTTCGATGTTGAGGCGGGCGCCGAAGGGGATGAGTTTGGACGTTTGGAAGGAGTGGGTGGTTGGGGGGTCATGGGGGGTGGTGGAGGGGGAGGAGGTGGTGAGGAAGTCCGGGATAGGGAGGTCAGCGAATTGGCGGAATCCGAACGCTGTGAGGACAGAGACGAGGATGTTGTCGTGGGCAAAGTCGAAGTAAAGGGATTGGTTGGTGGGAAAGGTGATTGGGTTGGTGTTTAGGGTGAGGTTTGCGGCGGAGGAGGATCCCGGGGTGGAGAAGGGGCGGTTTTCGACCCGGGCGAGAAACTCCTCGACCCAGGTGATGCCGGATGCGCGGCCGATGGGACATTGGAAGCCGGAGTAGCCGGCGAAGGTGATGTCGTAGGCGTAGGAGAAGCCTTGCCATTCGGAGAAGGTGAAGAGGGCGCAGAAGGGGCTGTAGCCGAGGGCGATGGTTTCGTAGGCGCAGAGGGCTTGGGCGTTGAAGCTGTCGTTGATGGTCCAGGTGTATTTGTGGGAGAGATGATTGAGGTGGTTGGTGCGGTGGGAGAGGTAGTGGCTTTTCCATTTTTTGAGGGGGATGTCAACGTAGTCGCCGAAGGACATGTGGATGGCATTGGGGCAGGCGTTGATGGATTGGAGGGAGGAGTTGTAGTTCTTTTCTTCGATCATGGCGAGGAGGTTAACGTGTTGGTCCCAGTCGAGGTGGAAGAAGCCGGAGAGGAAGTTCTCGGCGCTTTTGAGCATGCGGTCTTGGGTGGTGGTGCGCGCGACGATCTTGGTTCCCTCGGTGTAGAGATGGCCGTAGTTGAAGAAGTTGAGTACGCCGCTGTCGAAGAGGTCTTGTCTTCCTCGAGTGGTGAGGATTGCGGCACCGAGAGTGTAGGACCAGTCGTGGAGGAAGGCGAGTTCGTCTTTGAAGACGGCACCGTGGGCGATTGCGTTGGCAAAGTCCTGGGCCCAGTCGGCGAGTCGGTCACTTTCTTCCTTGCTGGGATAGCGAGAGCCGTGTCGGTGCAGGAGGTGCATTTGCGTGATGTTGGAGCCTTTGGGACGGACGTATTCATCCACGCCGAAGCCGTCCGCTCGGGGGTAGTAGGGGCTAGAAGCTATCTAGTAGCGGGTTGGGAGGTAGATGAGGAGGATATTCACCTCAGGTTTCCCATGTGGTGGAAGATGTTGCGGTTTTCGCCTCCGTGAATAGGCTGGGATGTTTCGAGCGGATCATTGACCGTGTAGGTTGCTGGGTTGCCGAAGGGAGCTGGATTTGTCTGTGCCAGGAAAGGTGCGGCCCCGGTAGCTGTGTATCCTGCGCGGTTTAGTAAAGCATGTCGAGAGAGGTTGAAGGGCCATACCATACCTTGGAAGCTCTGTGGTCGTGTCTTGAACCAGTCCGGCTCTGTGGTGGGGGTGGGCACTCTCATCACATACTGCTCGGGGGCTGCGACACACAAGGCGGCCAACAGGAAGAGACCCAGCCAAGTCATGGTGGTGGTCATCCTGGCGGTGGTGAAGTCAACTGTGTACGGAGTAGATGGGAAGGATAATGGACAGGCCCATATTTATGTGGCCGGTGGAGGACCTTGGACGCTACCCGGCCACTAAAGAAAGCATCCCGACGGTGTGATTGGTCCCAGCCCCGCGGAACAGATGCGGAGATGCTGCCATTGAGATCAAACTGGCGTACATTTTTGACTTGACCGTGGTTGATCTGAGCATATCGAGGATGCTATATATCCTGCAGCTGTTGCGACTCAAAATTTCCAGGCTATATGGTTACGAAAGGTACTGTCGCATGATGCTTACACCCTCAGATGGATCTGCGTCATCTCTCTCGTAATGGCCGCCGTTAATCGATGCTTTGTTCTCCCTCAAAGAAACCCGCTGACTTCAGTTCCAAATAGGCCGACTTTTATCGCATTTAGGATCACGAAGCGAGCAAATGACGAACTGTACACAAGGGCACAAGATTATATATATTCGCACGGAATGGCCGTCACTCCTGCGTATGCGGACGAGTGAATCAGCACTTGAACCAACATTGGAACTGAAGTGGCTCCCTTTAAGGTAGCGATGAGCCCCAGGGTAACCTGCGTGGTTCGAAGAGAGCGTGCTGCTTGACATGGACCCAAGTGCAAACTATAGGCCTAAGTGTATTAAATCACCATGGGGATTAGGGATCATCGATAAAGGGCGACAAGCTTCCGAATTTTCCAGCACCCAGGAGTGACAGTCTCGTCATTCAACCAGCCTTCCAGCATCACTGAAGCTTTTTGATGGAAGAGCAAGGGCTAGACAATAGATTCCTGCAATTGTTCTTCACCCAGAAAGCCTTGCAAAGAGCGAATGAGTTGTGTCTACAGAAAGTCACCGGGGAACGAAGCTGGTAAACAAAACAGAAGGAGTAGCTGCAAGTCGGCAGCTATTGCTTTCCAGGATCTGGTGAAGCACACGAAGCCCGCATTCTCCATCGTGATGCAGCGAGTACTCACAAGCGCTGATGAATCTCATCCCTGTGGCTCAGCATTATTCGGCTATTGAAGATGTGCATATTACTGGGACTACACAGCGGGATCGAGATGCATCTTAACGGTGGCTGGCTTCCGATGCTCTGGCTTGACCGTAGAATCGGGGATCAAGCTGGAGGTTGAGTACACCGTCCATTGGCCTAAAACCGTCTCATGGAGATGTCTGCGCTTACAGCAAGCAGAATGTTGGACAGGGTCCACTGCGCGAGGAACTCCATGAAGCGATCCATCCATCTACCTTACCAGTTTGGAGTTCCTTAATTTTGCTCCAGTTGCCCAACAGACTTCATTACGAAGAAAACCTATTCACGGGGAATTAACATCAGCTTGCCAGGCGGACAGGCAACACGAGAATGGAAAATATCCCGACATATTAAAGCTCTCTAACAAGCTACAATTCTATCTGAAGTAAAAATAGCTTTTCCCAACAATCAGATATCATATGCAGAGGCTATTGATAGCATTCAAGGAATCATACGGGATCTGATCTGTCTCCGGAGAACCCGCCCCAACGGAATGCGCACATCGGATATGCTTTGGCGCAGATTCGGTGAACAGTCAGATTAATGGGACAACTTATGCATAGTTATACCGACGATAGATGACGAAGCCTGCATCATGCACCACAACCATTGTTGCCTTTAAGTCCCTTGCCAAAAGATATAAGAGCCGGCTCCTCGCACAACCACAAGCTTTCAGTACTCACCATCGTTCAGTCAAATTGCCAATCGCCCATCATGGAATTTCAAACAACCTGGATCCACTCAACTACGGTTGATGAGATCGAAGTGCGCAAGTTCGGCAGTTTCACCACCCTCCCTGTGAGGATTAGCAGATACAGCGAAATCGCCAACACTGCCGCACAAAAGCTCGGTTGTAGCTGGGATACCAACCTGGGTATGCGTTCCAGCAACTTGATGTCTCTTGCGGGAACCTCTGGGGCCAATCTGTTCGCCTTGGCTCTCGCAGAGGCGTTGCCAGATAGATTGGCTACATCTGTGAGACTGGCTCAATTGGGCCAGTTGTGTGATGGTACTTACCCTCTTCCTCAGCTTGATCGAACGCTAATGGAGTAGCATTCTGCGATCAATATGGCCCGCAGAGCAGAGTGGAAATCTACGAAATGTTGACTCGATGTCTCGATCCGTGCCCTATCGCATCCTCCTGTTCGTGCTCTGGCGCGTGCAACAAGGATTCGGGGGGCAAACAGACTCAGCTGCGAACACTGGCTTCCGAGGTGTTCACTGAAATCGTTCAGGTCGATCGTGAGCATGGTATGCTTGTGATTGACCTCTTCAGGAAGGCCTTTGCAGCAGAACCAATGGGCTTTGGGTGCAGGAAGAGTTCTCCACTTAGGTAGGCCTCGTCAGCTCCCAGATCTAGGATCCTTTTATCTAACAGGAACGGTAGGACGCTATGGCCTATCCTCGAGTTTTCCATCGCCCGTAGACTTAGCGATGGGGACCGCAGCTTCCTTCGGGACATTCAAAATGTGGTTGATGAATGTCTGATCTTGATTGACGAGTATTGGAATGCGAATGGGGCGGGAGGGTGCCAAACGGACTTTAGCCGGATGGGAGGTCTCGCCGTCAATACGGAAAGAGAATGCCTTCGGAGCAAGATCATCGCACTGGAGACGCGCTATCTCTCTCTCCGGGCGGAGCTCTACTGGAAGTATCCTGCGGAGTCGATGCGTCTGCGGCGTTGGATCGAAGCCGCGGGAGTGGTGATGGCAAGCTACAATTACTGGCGGGCTTCCTCCTCTTCAACCAGTTCCTGTTCATGGTCTACAACGGAATTGACACGTTTGAGTTCGCGAGCGTCTAACATCTCCCTCTCGTCTACTCAGACTTTCTCAGGCAGCTACAGTGACAAAGAGGGAGCCGCAGCCTTGACTGCTCCAACCAGCTACATCAGCTCTTTACCACCTTCACCCTCGGTCCAAATCCTCAACCAAGCCCCCTCTGCCCTGAACGCATGGACCCATGCGCCTGCTGCAACCGTCAAATGTATCTCTTCTCTCGTCACGTCACTACACAATGCTACCACTATTCTGTCGGATATCAACGCCGACACCACCCAGCGATACAACCAAGGCGCAGCGCATACCATCTTTGGCACTTCCCAAGCTACCAACAGCGCTTACTACACCTTTATCCAATCGATGACGGATGCGCGCACCCTGAGCAACCCCTCTCTGGCGACTGATATCCTCCTGGGAGGATTCAACCGTCTGTATGCGGGGCAGAGCCGGGAGCTGAACTGGATGTTCAATTCTTATGTGCCTTCTGAGACCGAGTATCTCTCGGTTATCGATGATACCACCGGATCGCTGTATACCATCCTCGTACAGCTCCTGCAAGCAGAACGGTGCATGTGTGGCTACCAGCCCGACCTTGTGCCCCTGGCCAAGCTGCTGGCGCGGTTTGTTCGTGTGAAAGAGGACTACCTCTCTTTCACGAACCGGGAGAGAAAGATGGCGGTATCCTGCGGCGACGAGCGAGCATTCTCCTATCCCATCATTCAACTCGCCAATGCGAGACCCGAAAGCCGGGCGGAAGTGTCGAAGTTCTTGTTTGACCGCAAAGAAGCCAGCAAGAACAGTCACTGCCTGTGCTCCCGAGATTGGAAGGGTGATTCCTGCGGCTCTACCGTGAACTACAACTGTCTGATGCTTCTGCTTACGGACTGCGGGGCCTTGCGGGCAACACGGGAGTTCCTCCGCGATACGGAGAACAGTATTGAGAAGGAAGTGATGCAGTTGGAGAAGCTGACGGGCGAGGTGAACCCGTCGATTCGGTGTCTCATTTCGGACTTGCGGGAAGGTCTGGGGTGCCAGTTTATACCATGTACATGAGTCGGCTATACGCCAGGCAAACAGATGAGACCTCACTCAGTTCCAACTCAGATGCAATCCTTAGAGATAGTCATGTATCTGATGTATACATTCCCACTATATGTACACTGTATCTAGCTTCCTTGTTCCAAACTACACATATAAGACCCCCAGCAGCAGAATAAGCAGCTAATCCAGCAGCAACAAAATATTCAATCTTTGATAGTATAGTTTATCTCCCCACACACCAAATAAACCCAACACCCACCCCCTAACACCCAACCCCTAAACCACCCCCCCTACTCCGTACAACCTACCCCAACAAACAATAGTCCGACTTCGCCGCAGTAGTTTAGGCCTGCTGTGCAGTCTGTGGCATGGGCGGAGATGGCGAAGGTTAGGGCTGTGATGAGGAGGGTGGTGAGGAGGTTCATTGTGTTGGTTTTGGTTTTGGTTGTTGGTTGGTGGAGAGGAGGACTGGGCAATGGGTGATGGTATTTGAGATGAGCTGAGTTTGAGTGATGGACTTTGGGCGACCTGAGTACAATTATAGTTGCTTATTTTTGAGGACTAGTATCTACTTGATCATGTTGCACCCCGTGCCTACGATTCCTGGGCAGAAAGTCCCCTCTGTAATTTGTCAGGGATCTCGGGGACCATCGGCAGCCCGGACACTAAAGACATAGTATCTACTAGTGAGTAGTAGCCAGACAGCTCCATGGTTTCTTCTTGGGGCTGAAGATCGGCATTTTGAGTACTCCGTACTCCATACGGATTGTCGGTATCCCACTGCTTTGCAAGATCTACTAGGAGAAAAATATAGAACCCAATATAAATATTGACTCTAGTTAATCGTATATAATCCCCCCAAATCCCATCCAAAACAACCAATCCATGACCCCCGAATCCCCATCCCCAGTCCTTGAACCAACCAAGTAGAAAACCAAACCACTCTTCCTCGAACAGTCACCTCGACCACAGGTTATATCACATCATATCAAAAGAGCGCAGAATATCACATTTAGATGGGACGGGTTCCGTAGATGATAAAATGAAAATTTGATGATGGGTTCGTTCGCGAGTTGATTGCTACGTGCAACTGCGTTGCACGTCTCCCCACCTTTTTTTTTGGTTTTTGGTGTTGTTTTTTGGGTGATGTTTAAAGCAAAGAGGAGGAGGAGGTGGTGGTGTTGAGATAAAATGTCATGGGGGTCGAGGTGTTCGAGACGGATATTGATAGTGGTTGAGGTGGTTGTTGGTTGGTTGGTTGTTGTAATTTGCAAATGAGGGAGGAATCGGGGTTTTATCTCGGGTTAGGTGCGGTCATTTACATGACAACGCAGCCGCCACCGGGGGAGCCGGCTAGATACTGTTAGTTTGGGTTGATGTAAGGGTGAATGCAGAGTGGGGAGAGATGGGATGGTGTGGGATGGAGTAGTTACCGCAAGAGACAGAGTCCTTAGCAACTTCGTAGGGAGACATGATGATTGATCGAGTGCGTTGCAAAAAGATATCTTTTTGTATGCTTGTTTTGTGATGAAGAAAAAAGACACTGGATTCGGGGGATTCGAGGTCGTTTAAATAACTTTCTGGCCTCATATGTTCTGCTAGGATTCCTTTCAGTTGACCAGATGTAGACTTCGCATTCATGGAGGCAAGGCAAGAACCTGGATGCGATCTAGAGCGTGTAGGTTGATCGAGTTTATTCATCTGTGGCACGAGGTCGACTCGTCAAAGGAGATACCTTGCCATTGGAGGAGGTAAACTGGGATATCAGATGAGTCTGTTAGTGTGCATGGATACGCCTCAAAGGAGAGAAACACACCACTGAGAACGTGTTGAGATTGTCAGGATTCCGAAGCCACCGTGAATGGACGACGAATGATCCCGATGCTTCATATTGTTCCTGGGGGTGGAACCGATTCTACCAGACTTGGGACCACGAATACGACAGATAATGAGTATCAGACTTGACTGCGAGACGGAAGAGAATATCGCCCCCTGGAGGCTGAAGATTGTGGCCAGTATCAATGCAATGCAGAACATTCTGGTCAACCTGACAAACTTTCTAATCTTCCATAACCACTTCAGCCACAGCTAGTCTAGATCGTCCAGACATCGAAGCTTTGAGTGCGAGAATGATCACGGTTGGCGCAAGACCCATCTGCATACTTTCGGTCCCGTGGCGAGCCAAAGTCAAAAATGCACGTTGTGGCGTCCACTCAACACCCGCCGCTTAGTATTGTTCTCGAGAACAATATCAAGAAAACCAAAACTACACCGTCGGAACTTACCCAAAGTATCAATCCTACAGAGTACATTCCATCGAACTTACCCAAAGAATCAATCCTACGGAGTACATTCCATCCAATCTAACCAAAGGAATCAAATTATGTCCTATACGAGAACTAGAAAGAATTCGTAACGCATCCAGATCAAGTGTAGATCGGCTCCGTCAACTCGTTCAGGGTCAATCCCTCCTTCGCCACATCCTCCTCGATCAGGAACATCAAAGGCATCTCCACCAAGGTCCCCTTGACCTGGCTAAGCAGTTCTTTGACCTGTCTGACTCCCTCCGGGCCCGGGGGAAAGTCGTCCCGGACCACATGACCATATCCGTACCGAGCAGGCTTCGACTCGTCCTCGCCGTATGCCTGCTTGTCGGCATTGTGGAAGTAGTATCCGTAGAACTCCTTGTAGGTAGCCCAGTTGCGCACTGTGTCGTCCGGAACCGAGTGGAACACCTTCCGGAACACCTCGGTGTTCGTCCGAGCCCGCGTGTTCCACATACTGTGCAGAGTGTCCGCCAGCGGATCGGCCACGATCTGGCTCTCCGGAGACTCAAAGTCGAGCGTGTTCGGAGCTCCCACCGGCTCAAAGTTGTTGTCCGGTCGCTCCGGATCCTGTGGTGCCAGCAGACCAAGGTGCTTGCGGAAGAGCTGGCGACGCAGGGATGCAGCGAAACGACTGGCAGTCCATGGCTGACCGTTCATGCGCGAGTGCACAGGCGTGTAGTCCTCGATGACAATAGCAATTTCCGAATCGTGGGTTCCCAGCTGAGAACGATCGTTCAGGTTGGCCGATCCAACGATGGCAACGCGGTCGTCAGCGATCATGACCTATCATTGTTAGTTCTGCAACGTCATGTCGTCCACATTAACATACCTTGGAGTGCACATAGAGCTCCTCCGTGACAAAAGCATCAATCTCAGCTTCGGCAGGGCCGTCCCAAGGGACATTGCGAATGTCCTCGCCATTGAGCATATAGCAGCTGCTCACGCTGTTCCACTTGCCAGCAGACTTGCCACTCGACACCTGCTGGGCCGCTTGTTGGTACTGCTGGTAAGGAGCGGTGGTGTCGAATGCCGCCCGAGGAGCACCCGGGCCATATCCGCCAGGGCCACCGGTCGCCACATCCTGTTGCTTCCGCGCATCCTCGTAATTGACGCCGCTACGCTGCTCAGCCTCCCTCAAGGGGCCGCTGATATTGATGCGGTCGTAGTTGCGCAGGTTGTAGAACCGGATGTAGTCCATCGGGTTGAATCCCTCCTTGGCAATCAGCTCCATGATGCTGCTGCCTCCGCGGTTGATGCAGTTGTACTGGAACTCCATGATGGCGCGGGTGCCCAGGGTGGACTCATCGCTCAGGTCACCAGCAAAGCAGGGGACCGACGGGATCACGACCACAATCTTGTACTTCTCACCAGCCCGAGCAGCACGGAGAATACGCTCCACAATCGCAGCGCCAATCTTGTTCTCCACAGGCTTCTGGGCATCGCTGGTGGCCGTGATGAAGAATTGGTTCTCGATATAGATAAAGTGCTGACTGTTGCGAATGATGGCAACGTAGGCATCCTGGATGGAGTGCTCGGTCGGAGTTCCGTTGCTCCATTTCGAGGCGCTCCGGACGATCTGACAGGTCATACCACCCCGGGGCTGACTACTGGTTTGGCGCGCGTGGCCAGAGAACCGATCCTGGTACTGGTGGATCTGTCCTGCCAATTCGCCGCGCAGAGTGTTGCTGTAGCCCATGAAGTTCTCACGCAGACGGCCAAAGCCTCTCTCGGAGTCAGCATATCCACCGTGGTGCTCTTGGACACCGCGAGTTTGCGAGTGCTGCAATTGCTGAGCGGGGGGAGGTGGGTAGTAAGGTGCTTGGTTTTGACTCTGGGTCTGAGCCTGCTGGGGCTGGTACTGGGATTGAGCCTGCTGGGGTTGATACTGGGATTGAGCCTGCTGGGACTGGTACTGGGATTGAGCCTGCTGGGGCTGGTACTGGGATTGAGTCTGCTGGGGCTGGTACTGGGATTGAGCAGAACTCTGGGCGGGAGGAGCACCAGAAGGCGGCGGAGGGAACGAATCGCCGGTATAAGTGTAGTGCTGCGTGGCACCTTGGCCCGAGTAAGCGGGAGGTTCAGAGCTCTGCTGTTGCCAGCTGGGCTTTTCGTGACTGCCCGTTGCTGAATGGCCAGACTGTGGAGACGCATGCTGCCAGCTAGGTGCAGCCGAGTTGGGCGTCTGAGGGTGGCCGCTAGGTTGCGATGCGGCCTGTTGCTGCCAGCTGGGTGCTGGGCCAGTATTGCCACTCGTCTGCGGAGATGTCTGCTGCCAGCTGGGGGTGGGAGGGCCCGGGTTCGCTCCAGGCTGCGGCGCTGCTTGCTGCTGCCAGCTGGGTGCTGCAGGACCAGCGTTCGCGGGCTGGGGCGACGCTGGCGGTTTCTGGGCTTGACCACTCTGGCCACCCTGACCACCCTGGGGCCCCTGCTGGGCACCCGAGGGAGGCCGACCGTACAATGTCAATCGGGAATACCGCGAGTTGTTGCGTGACTGATACTTCAAATCATAGATAAAGTTCCACCGTTGAACAAAGTGTTTCCGCAGATCTTCAACGGCCTGACCGTGCAAGCTGACCGAGATATCGGACCAGCCCATGCGAGAAGTCTTCTTCCGATCCAGCTGGTTCTGCTCCCAGTGAGCAACGTCGTGGAAGTCACTCACTCTGGCGTTGTTGTAATCCTGACCCGGGAAAACAATCTCATTCAGATCCTGGCCGTGCACATCGGCCAACTCATGCTGGTTGGTATCCCAGCGGCCAAAGCACATGTCCAGGCCACCCATGAATGCAATGCGACCATCAATGACGCAAAGCTTCTCGTGGTGTGCCCAGTACAGGATTACGTCCTCGCGCATACCATAGATACCCTTGATGGCGTCCTCTGACATCTTGGCAAGGTTTCCGGCATCGAGAGACAAGCTCTGGAGGGAAGAGCTGATGGAAGCCGCCAATTCTTGACGGTCAGGAAGATGGTCGGGGTGGCGGAACACCGCAATGTTCTCGTGCATGTCTTCCAGGTGGTGCTTCGTGTGGTGGGAAGACACTAGACTCGTTAGCTCATCATTCACGCAAACAGGTCTCAAACATACGGGTCAATGCCTGGGTCACCTCCTTGTACACGATGATGTTCACCCGGACTCCCCGCTGCGCCGCTGCCAGCAGCATCCGATCCAGCCGGTATTGTTCGTTCTTCGCCGGGGGGCGTCTCAGGTAAAGCTCTGGCGAGAGCCACCCTAGTCATAGTCAGCCTCATCCAGCAACCTAAAGTCCACTCGTGGGCACCTACAGTCCAAAATCCAGATATATTCCTTGGCACTCTCCAACGCCTCGGAGACGGCATAGAAGTACGCGCAACCATCCACATGCCACTTGACCTCGTTGCCCTGACGCGGGGGAGCAAAGCTCCCGAACCGGTTCTCCGCCTGCGGCTTCGGTGCGCCATACTCAGCATAGGCCTGGGGATCGAGTGCCGTGCCGATTTTCTGAGCAACCTCGTTGCCCAGCTCCTCGAGCTTGCCAAACAAGCCCGACAGTTTGTCCTGCTTCTGGGGTTTCTGGGCCTGCTGTTGTTGCGGGGTGGGATTCGCGGGGTATTGCTGGGACTGGGAGCCTTGGGACTGGTACGTCTGGTTCGGTTAGTACCGGGGCCGTGATCGGGAACCATCGGTTGACTTACTCCGTATTGTTGGGATTGCTGAGACTGCTGGGAAGAGCCTTGCGGAGATTGGGGCTTGTACGACTGCTTCAGCTTCTTGAAGGCGTCCCCGACAAAGCCCCTGGCGGTGTCGGAAGAAGCTCCACGAGCGGAGTCTTGGTGGTATTGGCCATATGCCAGGTCGTCCTCGGGGCGAGTCATGGTAGAGAGGACAGTACAGAAGATAGGAGACAGAAAGGGGTAATACAGAGAATCCTCACAGAGGATCAGAAAGTTGAAGGCGTCACCAGGGAGGGGCAAGGAGTGGTATTAGTAGGATGGGGAAAGGAGCTGAGATCAGCCCCAGTGGAGTGGAGGGGAGACAGAGGAAGACCCCGTCTGACGACGTGCCCCGCCTCTCCCAAGACACGAGCAGACCAGACCAGACCACACCAGCTGCACCGTGAATCCACTTTTAGGCTGCCATTAATCCCGACCGGTGCATTCTCGAATCTCATCACCCGCATGGCAATAAGGCTGGGATTCCTCCGAGCCCTGGCCCGACATGTCTTCTAGTCTTTATCGGCTAGTGTTGTTTAACGTCTATGATCTACTTGGAGATAATTTGGATCTGGCTGCAGCTGCCGGGCAAGTGGGGATGGCGAGATGCCGCCCGGTGGCGGTGCAGCCACGCCAAGCGTCTCGTCTCGTCTCACTATTCTGGCCGAAAATGCGGTCAAGCCTTGTGAATTTATTAAAATCATTCTAAATTTCCTCCTTCCGTCGGCTCTAGTTCCGTCCCGCTGGCGGTGCTACACCTGACACATGACATCAAACCTCCCCCAATGCATGGGGGATGCGTGTGGCTCAGGCGGATCCCTCGGCTGGCAGCCTCAGCCACCTGTCCTCGTGAATCGCCAGCTGTCCCACGGGACGACCTCGGAATTCCACGGTTAAGGTGCCGTGTGCCTCAAATCTCGGCCTGGGGCCACCTGAACTCAACATGCGGTTCCTAGATCGACTTCCTCGGTCGTTCGGATACAACGACAGAAGTACTCCTTGACTCGGTCCACATTACCCAGTTGCGCGACCATCCCAACATACCCGTCCGGCCGTACCACCACCACTGCCCCCTGACCAGGGTCCACCCCGTAGATCGTGTAGGCGTCCTCCACGTCGTGTCCGTTGTAAAAGCGCATCTCCGCCTGTTCTTTCACACACGCAGGAATGCTGTCCCATTCAAAGTCATTTGAGAGCTGCGGGTGGACGACAATCTGTTCAATGACGCCGATCGGGAACCTTGCCAGCAATGCGGTCACGTTATGCAATGCCCGCGCGGACACACCGTGAGCGTTGAGGAGATCGTCCGAGGTGAGCGTCAGAATACGGAACCGCCCGGTCGATGCCAGGTCTGAGTATGGTCGTGGTTAGCGATGCAAGAGGCAGTGGGGCTGATACTGACCATCTTGGATGTCCCGGCACCATCCGTCTGCGTATCGCCTCAACTTCACATTCAGCAATCGCCTGCCCGGTCGGAGTATGCCAGACAAGTAGTCGTCGCCATGAACGGGGCTTGCCTCCCTGACAACGATCATATTCTCGGCATATTCCACCCCGCAGCCGCTGGTGAAGCCGTTGCCGGTATTAAACGTTTCCACAAACTCCGCATGGGACATGCCGGACTCCTCTGTATCTAGCTGACCGGAGAAGATGGTAGAGAATTTGCGATCAAAGTCAATCAGCTGCTGCGCGTTGGCATGCCGTTCCAGATGGTAGGTCTCGAGAAGGGGGTCCGGCTTCCCTTGCTCGGAAGCCGGAGTGAGGCCATGAAGGTGGTAGGCTAGCTTCCAGGCAAGATTGTAGGAGTCCATCATGGACACATTCATTCCTTGGCCAGCCTAAAGGACGATTAGCCTAGTCATGAGAATAGTCATTGGCAGTACCTTGGGGCTATGAGTATGGCAGGCTATAGACGTTAGCGGTCGAAATTGCTACTGAATGCTGTGAACATACCATCTCCGACAATGAATACTCTGGGAACTCCAGCAGAGTCCTTCGCGAAGAACTCGGGCGAGATCCGTTGGCCGATCTGGTAAGCGGCCCACCAATCGACAGTTGCATTTTTCGGTCTCAAGTAATATGGCTTGAACGCATCCGAAGCTTGCTTCAGGATTCCTTCCAGTGTCACCTTGCCTCGGCGTATCCTGGCATCTTCGAGATTCGAAACTGGGGAGATTCTCCCCAGTGTCACGTCGCTATCCGGTTTTGCCAGTCCTGGCACTTGTACGTAGAGTCGAGTGAGATACTCACCCGTTACGATCCGCTCTCTCGGAATGACCATCACAGAGCCAGCAGGAGAATGAATAGCACACCGTTTGCGGATGTCTGGAAAATTCGTATCCACAACCATATCCACGACGCCCCATATATGATCCAGCGATTGGCCTTCCAACCTCAACCCCATGCACTTGCCAACCGCCGAGTGTGCTCCATCGGCACCAATGAGGTGTTTGGTACGAATCACTCTTCTGACGCCGCCAGTCTCGATCTCAGCGAGAACTGGAAACTCCGGGTCATCCTCCTCAATCTGGACATGAAGCAGTTTAGTATCTCTCTGCACTCCTCTCTTGGAGTAACGCAGCAGATCGGTCTCCATGATTCGTTCGATCCGGCCCTGGTGCATAGTAGCTTCATAGCGAAAGCGGGCTGGCGGTACCACATTTGGGACAACGGACTTGCGCTCAATGGTCTTTGCTGCGTCTGCAGAAGTCTTCCAAAAGGCAAATTGCCACATCTGGCACGCCTCATTCTCAATCTCGTCTGAAATGCCAAGTGTTTTGAACACTTCCAACGTCCGGGGTTGAACACCATCTGCCTGACCGGATTTTAGGGTGCTTGCCTTGGAGTCAATGCATAGTAGGGAAGCGTCATCCAACCCATATCTGGCCAGCAAAAGCTCCATCATGAGGCCCGCCGGTCCGGCCTATGCGATATTAGCATCCCCTGTTCGTGTATATCTATCATGAAAGGCACAGCATCCAGCTTACCCCAGCAACCACCACCTCATATCGTTCAACTCCATCGTTTCTGGTGGGCTCAAAAGGCGGAGTGAGTCGAGGCAATGGAAGAGCAAAGGAAGGGAGAACACGAAGATCTCGTGACTCGGAGGAAAATTCTGTAAAGACGGGCATCTTGAATATGCGACGGACCTGTTCAGTTTCTTGGACTCAACTCGGTCGGATGCACAGAGATTTATATTGTATATGGCGAACGGCAGATTGACTCGGATGTTGGCCAGGTATCATGCGGGGAACCCCACAGGCCGAATAAGAGCGAGTGATGCTTGAGATCCTGCATGAATTCCACTAAGGGGGAATGTCTGGGGGCGATCACGCCGGCTATGTGGAATTGGGTATGTGGAAACTGAAGTATCATGCAGGAGAGGCGTGTATTGCGCCAATCGGACAATGTGTATATGCATGTCAGTCCAGGGAGTGCTCTCATAATGCTTGTGTCATTATTACCAAACCCTTTCTGCGGTCAATCTATTGAGTCACCCCGCCACCCCGCAACATCCCACATTTTTGCGGGACCCGCCAACGGACGGAAAAGAATTTCCTCGGTCGCCACGCTTTCTTTCCTGGGGTTACTTCTTCGCAGTATCATGCATTTATCCGGGCTTATTTCCGTGGTCAAGATTGTAATTCTTCCCGAACTTCTTCCAGGGCGGTGCATAGAACAGTTGCAAAGGTTTTCGAGATTGTCCAGCGTCCAAACCGGTGAAGCAGATCAATCAGTCGGTGTAGATGATTCACATCTGCAAAGGCAGAGTCCCCAAATGCTTGTCCCTGTGCTTCCTGCAGAGCGGTCTCGCTACCCAAAAGCTGAATCTCCGGGGCGTCGAAAGCTTTGAGATCGATCGACTGCCGTAGCCCGATTCTCGTAAAGCAGAGCCATGCAAGAGCGGCAGAGAAGAGAGCCCCAGGAACGTGTATTGCAGGCTCGGAGGATATTCGCATCCTCTCAAGGTAACGTTGGATCAATAGCGCATGAACCAAGCATTTGCTAGCATTGAGGGAGCATGCCCACGCGTAGACAGTATCGTGAGACTTGATGGCTGCTGAATAGCCATTACGGCCAACTGCTCGCTCCAGCAAGTCCATATCAGTGTATAAAGACATATAAATAGAATGCCACAAGACTGGAAGGCTGAAGGGGTCCTCTTCCTCGTACTGAAAGTGCAGGCTATACTTGCGCCACCAATGCACCAACAACCGAGAGAGCTCCTCCGACCTGAATGCAGTCAAGCTATTCGATATGCGAGCTTCGATAACGTATGCATTGATACTCTCCAGGACACTATACACGGCAAATTTTGAATCATACCCAGCGTTGTAGAAGTGGAGGTCGGAACCGATTCTAGGTGCGGTATATGATTGTTTGTATATATCGGCCCATTTGGCTGCTGTTGGAGCCATGAACATAGCTTCAGAGGCGAGTATTGGATATTGGGCGAACCTATGTTTGCGAATCGGCTCATGGTGCATCAAGCTGGCGAGCTCTGCGTCATGGATGTTCAACGCAATTTCCACCCGTCTTCGTTGTTCCACTTCTGCCCATCGGTGCCACTGTTCATTTGCTTCGTGATCGTCGATCCGTATATCGATAGGATGTTCAGGGGCGCTATATTTATTAGATTCCCGCGTCCATCCCATAACGGTTCCGTGAAGGACATCGGCCAAAACCAGATCTTTGGGTCTTCCCGATAGTATTCCATACGTCTGACCCAAAATGGCCGCTTGGACCATCGACAAGGCATCCGGTCGACTATGCGCCAGAATAGACTCCCACGAAGCTAAGATTGCTTTATTCAGCCTCTCAAAGATTCGGAGCCCTTGTGCCACGGCATGGGACGATCCAACGAAAAGGCTGCCGATCGAACAAATAGACAAGAATAACAAGGAATTTTCTGCGGTCGGACGAAAGGTCGGAGCATGTATGACAGGAAATAGGGAGTGAAACCGACTAAAGAAGAGCTTCGCGAAAAGGTTCAATTGTTCGACAGACGGAAGTGCTTCATCGTGTATGCGAGGTTTCAACCTCTGGGAAAGACCAGCCCTATAGCTATCATCGGCATCGATCCTTCCCTGGTGAGGCAAGTCACCAGCACTACCATTGCTGCGATAGACAGTCCGATTTGATTCTGGCGGAGACAGACATGTAAACCACCTTTTCCTCACGATGTCTGCTGGGTGCGATTCCTCTTGATCCAGTACAGAACGCCGTGGCTCTTCCAGGGCAACAGGGCCCAACATACTTGGTGTGGGAGGTATTTGCGCCCATTCTGATATCGCAGATGAAATTGAAAAGTCCAAGACGTTCACATCGAAGTCTGCCCCCAAGAACCATGTGTTGGGATCTACCTCCAGCATGGAGTCGTGCAGGCTCATCCCCGCCGTGGGTTGGGAGTCGCATGGTTCGCTAGCGCTAGATATCGGGTTTGGTACGGTCGGAATTAACAGCGAGGCATCATTCAGTGCTTCCTGTGTCACTGGTGCCTTTTGGGACGAAGTTGTATGTGTCGCTGGGTCTTCTGACACTCGAACAGGCGTTCTGGACATCGATCGGGCCTGTGACAAAGTATTCTGGTGATTTTTGTCGTGGCTCTTCTCGTGTCGCCGCAGCACATCACTTGCAATCATCAGTGTTAATGCAATGGCTTTGATGAAGTAACTGACCTTCGTGAGTACACCTTCTCACAGATAGTACAGGCATACGGTCTCTCCTGGGTGTGGCTGCGGAGATGCCGAGTGAGATGCTCGGCCTTTGAGAAAGTCTTGTTACAGGCGGGGCAAGGGCGGGTTCTCGAGCCATTTGTCTCTTGCCCAGAGTCAGAGGCACGCTTCATTCTGCGACCTTGCAGCGCTTCCAGCTCTACTGATACGCGGGTTGTGAGCTCGGTTGAACCGGTGGACTTGCGGAGAAGCGGAGGAACCCCACACCCGCACTGGCACGTGATGAACCTTTCGCTGATGCCAGACTTTCGAGGTGCTAAGGCGGCACAGTATCATCTGCTCTCCTTGCTGTTTCGTTCTCCCGGCTTTGGCTCCAACAACTGGTACCAGGGATGCCGATCTACTTTACTACTAATCTGCATACAATATGTCCTGTTATCCTGACCTATTAGAGAGCAAATCCTACGGAATGATTGACATAATTAATATGCGTAGAACAGCTTGTTATATTTTTTATAGTTCAAGAGGTGGAATTCACCATGAACAATTATTGTTGGGGCGATATCTTTGGAGATCCGACCTCGGATGATGCCCCGCAGCAGCTTATCTTGAAGGCGTCACGTTGTCAGGATTGCGGATAGCCAGCAACAACACCGTATCTTCTCTCGATGCATCCCGGTATGATAGTAATCTAAAGACCTGCTATTACTCTATGGCCGAGAAGCTAGAGAATAGGAAATCCCTGAGATGCGAGCGTTCTATGAATGCTGCCCCTCACACCAAGCCCCGCAGCCGCACAGCGTTGAGACTTGAGACGGCAAGTACCCCGCACAAGAGTTGGAGAAAGCGGTCCACTACCACTTATTTAAGAATGACATCGCGCCATCTGATAATTTCTCGCTTCGATATTAATCCTGCCCTTAAGGATCGATTTCTACATAACTCAGCTACAGCACCTATCCAACTATAGCCATCATGTCTCTCGCAACTGTCGACGTAAGTGCACCCCCACTTTTCCCGCCACCGGCACCAAATCAGGCGTCCGAGCTCATCAGCTTCGAATGACAGGTTTCCCAACACCCCTACCTCCCGTCCGCATCGGAGACCCTCTTCAAAGCGAAGGCCACCAAAAAGTTGAGCTTCGAGCAAATTGCCCAACATATTGGCCGCAATGAAGTGGCCGCCGCCGCCATCTTCTACGGCCAAGCCAAGGCCTCCCCCGAAGACATTGAGAAGCTCGCATCGCTCCTCGACATTCCGCGCGACCTGCTCGAAGAAAAGCTCAGTGGTTTCCCCGACCGTGGTCGTACCGTCGAGATGCCTCCCAAGGAGCCGCTAATCTACCGCTTGTACGAGATTGTGCAGAACTATGGGTATGCGTACAAGGCTGTGTTGAATGAGAAGTTCGGCGATGGTATCATGAGCGCTATCTCCTTCTCAACCAAGGTGGAGAAGGAGACGGATCAAGATGGGAATAACTGGGCTGTGATCACACTGCGTGGAAAGTGGTGAGTTGTCTGGGATCGTGGTTGTTGAAAAATGCTGACGTTCGCAGGCTGCCGTTTTCGAGGTTCTAAGCGAATAAGTGTCGGGATGAGGGGGTAGATAATTCTGTAGATGATGTTTATGAAAACCTCTTGCTGTCTCCCATCTGTCAGTAGTGAGTTATTGGTAGGAAACGGTCGGTAGTTTCTGCGGTCTTCACTTTAGGATTGAATGCTTGACTCAGTGATCTTATACCTTTAGCTGATCAAGAAGTAGAGAGCAATTTGCCGGGCTCGATGCCTTGAACGCTGGTGCATTGCTTTGTCAGAGACCGCGGGTCGCCGACAGCCAGTCTCTCTGGCTTTTTAGGAAGACTCCGCCGTCTATAAATACCTCCCCTTCACTCTTCCTACTGACTTCACCCACCACCCCTCTACATTTTGCTACCCTACCGTGCTTGTCGACAGATAATTTCTACCCCAAACAGTCATCATCATCTGAGCGCCCTATTATCTTGCTATTTCGTAATTTTCAAGATGCCCGTCCTAGCCTCCCCTCGGGTGCGTTGCACGTTTGATAACTGCGGTCGTCATTTCGACTCCATGCCTGCCATGAGACAACACAAGATTATCGACCATGACTACTGCAGCCGATGTGACATGGATTTCCACGATGAAGAGTGCCTCCTTTTGCACAAGATCAGAAGCGATAAGCATATTGTTTGTGCTGTCTGTGGCAGGGAGTTTCGCAGTGAGGGTGGGCGCGATGCTCACATACGCCAGGTAAGTACCGGCCTTCCCCAGATCCGCTGTTATTTGACTCTTGCTAACTACTTGGTCTCCCTACAGTATCATCGTCCTACGCAGAACTTGGCTTGTACCGGCTGTGGACAGAAATTTAAACAGGCAGGTGCCTTGGTACGTCATGTTGAAGATGACGAGTGTGACGAGATTCCCATGACACGGCTGCTTCACGAACAATCCAAGAGACTCCTCATCAGAGAAGCACTGAGAACTGGCGAAGGAGGTGGTTTGGTCTTCCCTGACCCCGACGGCCCGGACGAGGTCGACGGCGGTGTCAAGCTCAACGCATCTGCTAGTCTCTTAGACATGGATCATGGCAATGATAAGATCATGTCGCCGACCTCGCAACAGAGAAACAATCCTAGCTCAATTTTATCTCCCTCGTTCGCATTCAAGGACAGAAAGGGAGCCGCTGGAAAGAGCGTGACGTCTGAGGATCCTTTGCCTGAGATAAGGCGACTTTCGATCAACCCGGGTGTTTCAAATAACAACAACGGAAGGGCCCCATCGGCTGTCGGATCGTCAAGGCAGCGCAATTCCAATTCTCACGGCGTGAGTCAGGTTGACGCTGGACATACTATTCGCACTTTGGATAAAACCTGGGAGCCCATGAACTTCTTCGATACGTTCCGCGGAAAGTTTGTCTGTCCCTGTGAAGACGAGTTTTTGACTTCCAAGGATTTCGAGGAACATGTCATCGAGAAGACTAATGGGAAGAGGAGCTTGCAGTAAGTTCTTTATCTGAAGGACTGGCACTCTAACACTTCCAATATTCATCCGACTCACTGTGCCTGACAGGTGTCCTGGGTGTCTTCGCATCTTCAAGACAGCAGCTGCATTGGTCGCTCACTGCGAATCAGCCAGTACGCATTGTAGTGTCAATACTGGACTCCGGTTTAGCCAAATTATTAATGATGTAAGTGGCGGGCTCGTCAAGGCAGTCGGCCTGAGGGACGGCGCCGTTGAGTATGCAACTGGTGACTTGGATTTGACGAAGAGGACTGGTACCGCCGCCAGGCAGCGGGACATGATGGAATGGTAGGGTTTCTTCTTATTCCTTTGTTAACAACTTCCGCCCTCTTCGAGGTGATTTATTGCCCGTGAACACTCCTTTGACATGCGTCATCGGAAACTCAGTATCTGGTGTTTTATTCGCGAATCTTCCCAAGAAAAGCCAGCAATATTTCTGTCTTTAGCTATCTCAAAATTAGAATAAATCTCCTTGCTTGAACCTTTCATGACGCCATAAGACCTACACTACAAAGCACAATCCATAGACACAATAATCATCTTAACCATTCATATCAAACTAAAACCAAAGTCAAATCATGTAGATACACCGGGTATAAGCGATCGGGCAACCAGCCAATGGGAATCAAAACACCATCAATCCGTCTGTCCATCCATCCATCCATCGAATCATCAACCCAACCAGTTATCCAGATCATTCCAGATCCAGCATCCAGATTGGGGTATCTCTCATCTCATCTCATCTTCATATCTCATACAGCTGTCCAACTTCCGCCCTCCTTGTAGCGATTATATGCAAACGGTGGGCTAATCAAGATACGTAGTATTGTGGTTGGGTATCTAGCAGCACTCTTCACAGCACTCGAAGCAGAGAAGACCGGCGCAACTATTCTCAGTTAGTTATTATTCTCAAGAGGTAGATCGATCATCTACTAGCTAGACGATGGGATGGGGAAAGGAAGAAACATACACTCCGCAGCAAACATCACCGGCACCACCTCCACGCAGGTTCATTTTCATTTCTTCTTGGGTGTTCTGGGGTTATGTTAGCGATGCGATGGATATAGAGTTGATGGTGGAGGGTGGGTGAATGGGGGGGAGTCGTACAGGCTGCTGAGTGACGACGCGCTCGGTGGAAGGAGCCTCAGGGCTGGAGGGCTGCTGCATGGTCATAGTGTTGGGATCCCAGGCGGGTTGTTGGGTGGCAGTGGATTCCTCCTTGTTGGACTTGAAGAAGTTGAACAACATGTTGGTTGGTTGTTTAGTTGTGAGGATTTTTGGCGGAGGGTATATGTGTATGTGTATATGCGTCTAAACAGATGATGTCTGATGATGAAGTAGAGTAAGATTCGATCAATGAAGGAGGACAGCCGCGGTATTTATGTTGATGGCGGGATGGAATGCATAGGACTTGATCAGGATCAGGGGTCCAGGCGGGTCACGTACGTGTTCGTATTGATACAGGTGGGACTGCGGGAAACCATTGATTACGGACTAGCCCAGAGAAGCGGGGAGAAAGGCTGGATACGTTGATGACAGCCACTCATAGCCACGAAAAGGTCCACGTCAACCCGCTCAGCCCTGCCGGCTAGTATCTTGGCACGGTCGCTTTCTGCCTGCGGATTCGCGGACTTGGCCATTTTCTGTGCCGGGATTCCCGTGGCTGGTTGGGAAGGTGAAACGGATGACTGATGGACGGGTGGGTTGCCCTCTTAGGTAGCCAGTTTTATTTGGAGGTGGTATAGACGCGCGGTTCATGCAGTGAACCAGGTGAGGAGGGTGGATGACTTTGTCAGGTTGGGCTGCGGGTTGGAGATGGTGCTGATGGTGGAGGAGGACCCTGTTACGAGGTAGTTCTGTCGGCGCTTATCTTCCGGTCTGTTTGATAGGTAGCATGCCTCAATAGTGCAGAAATTTGATGTCTCCTCAAAACTTTGAATGAAAATTACTGGAGATCGGCATGGATTCGACTCTCACTTCTTAGGCAGCAGACTCATTTTTTGGTAAAGTTTCGTCAGCAGGAATACGGAATCGCCATTACAGGTTCTTTACCGCTAAGCTTTACCTAAGCTTTGTTTGTGAGCTGGGCCAATGGGGGCAGTGCTGGGCTGCGCTATTCTTAGCACTATCGCCTGAAGGGTCCTAGGCAGCCTCATTTCACTTTGTTACCAGACTTCAGTTACCGGACACAATTACCGAGACCGGGATAAAGAAACTGCGGCAGTTTCGTTTGCCTCAGCCGTTGGAGTTGAGACAGCTGTCCTGGACTCCTGTCCCTTGCATGCATGTGAGAGGATTGGCATGTTGTAATCATAGCCAGCCCGGATGTGAAGAAGTCTGGGAGAGTGGTCTGATCATTGGCTGCTCTGGGTTACTATGGATTCGATCAATCGTTATCAATGGCGGAGTAGCCGCCATCAGGTGCTAGCCAGCTGCTAAATTAGCTCCGTGATATCCATGCAGTCAATCTAATAAAGCGCTTTAAATGGAACATTGTGGCTGGGGCTGTGTTTCGGAGTGCTACTTAATATGGACCGCTGATATCAGTCAAAGCCACAGACAGGAACCGTCACAGATTGACAAAGGTGTCTTACAGTCAGCTACAGCAAGACTAGTTGATACATTGAGTGCACCGAGCCCCAGTCATTAGCTTATAGGCTAATTGAGAAACGGCTCTGCCTATTGATGTGCTTGTCAGACGGTGGCATGATTGGTTATGATGAAATGTCTCACGGAAGATCTACCTGCATGCTCAAAGCCTGTCGCAAAGCTCGTTCATTCGATGTGGGCAGAGTTTATTGTCAATAATAGAACGAATGTCTTGGGCATTCGATAGCCACGCGAGATCAACCAACACGAAAGTAAGATTGCACACCGCTCAATTTATAGTTCCATTATCGGCTGGTAAGTCATTGTTGACATCACAATGTCTTTCTTCTACACCGCGCGATAACTCCGAGGGGTTTCTGAGGGTGTTGTTTGTCGTCAAGTCGACTACTTGGAATAAGATATTGCTTCAAAATTGCAACGCAAAGACTTGGATGATGGCGACGTTAGTTAATTGGACGTAAAAAGTATGAGGTTCCAGAATATATCATGGAAGCTATGGTTTTGGGGTAACTTGCGAATTTCTCTGTTGCCTAGTGGCTTGTAAGTTGGGCTGCATCGACTCAACGGAGATAAACAGCATCTTAGCTCATTGGAAAAACACCAGGAAGCTAGTCTATATTCTAGAAGCGGGACAATTGCGAGAAATCCCAAGATTGATGGTTGTGGTGATGGAAATTCTACCGCGATAAGAGTAGATTGCAACGTACGCAAACGACCCCACATGCGGGGCAGCAAACCGATGTCGCTTGCCGCCAGAAATATTCCTCATCGCAACCCTCCCACAACTTTGCTACTCTCACCTTCAATCAAACAACCAAACACCCAAGACAATGACCCCCGTCCAAATCCTCGACGGTGGCCTCGGCACCTCCCTCCAAGACCACTACAACGTGACCTTCGACTCCTCCTCCACCCCGCTCTGGTCCTCCCACCTCATCATCTCCGACCCCGCCACCCTCCTCTCCTGCCAACGCGATTTCACTGCCACCGCCGGCGTCGACGTCCTCCTAACAGCCACCTACCAAGTCTCTCCGGAAGGCTTCCAACGAACTAAAACCCCCGCCCACCCCAATGGCATTCCCCGCGACGCGATCGCTCCCTACCTCTGCACCGCCTTGGACGTCGCCGACCAAGCCGTCCAGGCGAACTCCTCCGCTGTCGCATTGAGTCTCGGTCCCTACGGCGCATGCATGATTCCCGGACAGGAATACAGTGGTGCCTATGACGCCGAGCACGCGAATGAAGAAGCGCTGTATGAATGGCACTCGGACAGACTGCAATTGTTTAATGAGGCCACGGAAGGGGCGCTGAGTACGCGCGTCAAATATATTGCGCTGGAGACACTGCCGAGATTGGATGAAGTGAGGGCTGTTCGCAGAGCGATGCGGCAATCTGCGCCGGGGATTCCGTTCTGGATTGCTTGTGTCTTCCCTCGTGAAGGTGAGGATACGCTGCCTGATGGCAGCTCGGTTGACCAGGTGGTTGAGGCTGCGCTTTTGCCGACGGAGGATGGGGCTACGCCGTGGGGTATTGGAATCAATTGTACGAAGCTGCATAAGTTGCCCGGGCTGATGAAGGCGTTTGGGGATGCTGTTGGGAGGTTGTTGGAGGGTGGGAGGGTTGCTGAACGTCCCGCGTTGGTGTTGTATCCGGATGGAACCCAGGGGGAGGTCTACAATACGACGACGCAGACGTGGGAGAAAGTGCATGATAAGAATGGAGGGGCCGATACGGTAAGAGAATGCTTCTTGTGTGGTTTGCTTAGTGGTGCTAACAAGTTCAGCGACCTTGGGAGGTGCAATTGGCAGAGGTGGTCAATGACGCCCGTGCAGGTGGCCAGTTCAGTTCGGTCCTTGTTGGCGGGTGCTGCAAGGCCTCGTTCAATGATATCAAGAGGCTTCGAAAGCAGTTTACAAATGAGTAATGTGCACAAATCTATATCAAGGTTTTCTATAAGCGTACTATACATATAATCACCGTATAACCCAACCTGACCGTTTACGACGTCTTGAATACTACGCCTACTAGAGAAAATAGTCACTAAAGGCCCAGCAGAAAGTCGCCAGCATCAAGGCTAGGTATCATTGCTTTCTTTCCTGAGATTCCTTCTCTCCTTTCTCCTAGCCCGAAGTCCATCTCATGAATACCACCTACCTTACCCTTCTCCTTTTCTAATTCTTCATTTTCCGCCCATCCAAATCTTCTTATAGCTAGCTTCTCTTGCACGACCTAGTCTCTGACTTCTAAATCCTTCCCATCTATAGTCTGAATGTATGCTTCCCTTGCTCTCTATAACTCCGCCTAAAACTCCACCACCTGTCGACTAAGCATTTCCGAACTTACTGCACATGAATTTTTGGGATATGTGCTTTACAATACCCTGTCCGATAGATGCGTGGGTGAAATGGTTTAGTAGAGTATAGAACACACCTCTAAGAAGAACAGGGTTCTCAAGCTTTCAAGATAGTAGTGTGCTTAGAAGTACTAGTAAGATAACGAGAAAGATACTATACAGACAGCGATTCTGAAGCGCTGAAAATCGACTTCTCAGCACATGAGAGGTCGAGCTCGAGGTCGGAGATGGAGAGCTGGATGGTCATAGTTGGCTTTTCCAGCAGGGCTACATCGGAGGGAGCTTTTCTCATGTTCTGTAGCTGATTGAGATCAACACTGCGATTGTATGGCCATGCATCGAGAGTGCATTCATTGCATTGCTTCCCCGAGAGGACATTTCCAGCAGGCGGTCCGAACGGCTGGTGCCACGCAGTAAGTCAGGTGATGTGATTCGTGCCCTACCTCAACGCTGTCTTGGAGCGAAGATTTCTGAGTTGGTGGATTCTCCTCTATCCCCTTGACGGTTTCACATCTCCTATGAGGACCTTGGTTGAAGTATTGGTTGTAGATGACATGCTACGCTGTAATTACTGTGGGTGTGCTGTGATTGATGGACCCATGGGGTCGTTGGTTCCATTACCTAGCTGTTTGTCGGCATAGTAGGTAGAGCATAGGTTAGCTTGAGAATATGCTTACCATGGTCTGTGTACCTCTCCCCTTGAGTGTATACAGTCTTGAGTTCATTTGGAGATGGGTCACCGAGCTTCTCTACCAAAACTCGCTAGACAGTCGCGAAACCGAACCATCAAGACGTGGTTCTACTGTACACCAGCTGCATCGCTCATCGCTCAGCGCTATATCCTGCATATTGTAAGCACGAGTCAGCAAGTCTAGCCGGTTCCTGCCTCCGCTGACAATGTCCCCGAACATGGTATCCCAGCCTCCGCCAACTCCCATACATTCCCATCGCCACCACCCCAACTCTACAACTCTACACCATCTACATCATCTACAAAAAAAGACACACAAACTGGAAATTTTTGACTTTTTTCCATTTTTGTTTTTTCTTTTTTTTTTGGTTTGATTCCACAACCCCCCCATTTGGGTTCACGATCAGGGAAAACGTCCTCTTTCGGTCTTTTGTCTTTCCGATAAGAGGTCAAAACCTGACCAGGGTGGGATAGTACAAGACAACATACAGACAGACTGACATCCCCAGACAAGAAAGAAAAGAAAGACACGACAACAGACAGACTGACATCCCCAAACAAGATATAAAAGAAAAGACACGACACAAGACATCCCCAGATTTCAGTTTCCTCCGCTTGGTTCCCAGATTCGATCAATTTGCCCAGATTTCACTTTCCTCCGCTAAGTACCTTCTTGTGGTTGGTTTTGTGGTTCGGTGGTTCGGTGGTTCGATGTATTGTATGATGGAGGGTTCGATGATTATGATTGGAGGAGGTCTATCACTTGTTAGTCCGCACACTCACATATCAAATAGGGTCATCTCAGTAGACAGTACTCACAATTAGACATCCGTCATGATAGTATCGCCATCGAGGTCGATCGGACAATCTATCATAATGGTGTCCTCAATTTGTTTGAGATTGATGTTGGTACGAGACAGTTTCTGTCTTTGTACCGGTTTCGAGACTCGGTGGGTGTTTCGATAACGAGGAGGAGGAGGAGGGAAGTGCCTCTTTTGGTTTTGAGGCATGTCGAAGACGTCGACCATGTGTACGTCTTGATCGGTGGTTGGTTGTGGTCTGGGCTGGTGTTGCCCGGTTTGGTTGGTGTGATTGTTGGTATGAGGAGGAGATTGGTTGTTCGGTTGCTGAGGCGGACAGGAGACGTCTTGCATGACTATATCTCCGTCGGAGGAGGAGGAGGAGGCGAAGGAGGAGGGTGAGGTGCTGCCCTGACGGTTGGGCCCGGTGTAGTTGTTGTAACGGTTGTTGTAACGGTTATTATAGCGATTGTAGGGCCTTCTTCTATAAGTAGGCTGATGGTAGTCGGTTCCATCACGAGGATGGTTGTTGTTGTGGTAGGGGGGCCTATTCTGGCCATAAGGAGGAGGACGGTTGGTGAATGTTTTTTGGGTTTGCCTCTGTCTGGCTTGAGGCCGGAGGAAGACGTCGACGGTGCGATCGTCTGTGTCGGAGTGGTGGTTGTTTTGGTTGTTTCTGTGTCTCGGGAACTGGACACGACGAGGAGGACGGGGGCCATTAGGGTTGCGGCCAGAGGGGTTGTAGAAGTGGTTGGAGGCGTGGGCAGACATGTTAACTGCTCGGAGGAGGGTTTTTCGGTAGAGAGGTTGCTGAATGATTCGACTCTCTGGAGGGGGTTGGTGGGTGATCGGATTGCTCAGATGTTTATCGATCGGGTGGACTGGTCGGATTACTCAGATGTGACGACCAAAGAGAGATGATATTAGGATCTCTCAAGGAAGAGGGTTGTTCGGATGGAAGGTTAGGTGATTGGAGAGACTGTATTCGGGTCTCTCGAGGAATGGGGGTACTTCGGATTCAAGTATAGGATGTCAACAAAAAAGCAAACGAGATGCTGTTCGGATCTCTCGAGAAGAAGGGATATTCGGACTTCAAGTTAAGGTGAACAATAAAAGCAAAGTAAGAGATGTGATTCGTATCTCTCGAGGACAAGGGTTTTTTCGGTATTCAAGCTCAGGTTTTTTTAACACAAAGAAATTCGTTTAAGTATCCGATTATTTTTTAAGCGGAGACTGGTTTTCGAAAGGCTTTGGGGGTCAAGGGGCTCTATATACTACAGGGACCACTACGATGTCACCATGCTCACAGCTCAGAACTCTAGAATGACTGTTCAGGAACAGTCATGGACAGACACATGGGATGGGAAGTCGGGCAACATAGGGATATCCTAGCATCATACTAGTAAGATAAGGTTGGAACTATAGGGGTTGACCAATGGCATTGCCAGAGAGGCTGTATAGTTCGGATGGACCGCCAGGAACGATCGAGTCAGCCCTGGCCTAACTCCGGCTTGCATTCCCTTTGGCTACTTGACATTGAGTCAGGGCATGCACGGCTCGGTCCGTGACATCAGTCCGGGGTAACTCCACTTTCGTCTTTCTAATTATATCCCAAATATTTCCGATTCGAAAGTATAATCCAAGCATCGAATCACCCGTTGCAAACCCTCCAAGGTCCCCCACCAAGGCATTAGCGGTCCCGCTTTGTCCCGACTTTGGCCTTCTTTCGAGCATGTTTCGTTATGGTTCCAGGCGAAGAGGCACTTCCATTGGAAGTCATACTATCTCGCTTGCGCTTGTCCGCTTTGGAAGTGCCCCGTTTCTTACGTTGCTCCTCTTTGATCTTTAGCCGTCGTTGCACCTCCTCTGAGATATCCTCGGTCTCGACTGACACAGGCGTCACGTTCATAGCGTCTTCATCAGCCCCGGGGATAGACTTTTCAAGCCGTGTCCGTTTGTGGGAGCGCGTAGAGGGCACCGCTACTGGGCGCGGAGCTTTGGTCCCGGGGATTTCCGCTGCGGTCCCAACGTCTGCTTCTGACTCATCTTCGTTCACAAGTGCGCGCTTCAGGCCTGGTCTAGGCGGTTGTGCTTGGTAGCTTGACGTCGACGTTGATTCTGAACGGCGACCTTGGTTTCCGGGTGCAGTCTCGGATGAACTCGGGTCCGATTTCAGATTGAATGCGTTGAGCTCTATGAATAGTCACTACGATATGCCATGGATCATCCTTTACACCTCTCTCGGCGGGTAAAGGAGTGGTGTATAGACTCACGTGGTACCTGCCAAGACTGTCAACCACACATCCAAAACTAGAAAGAACAAGGGATTGCTACAACTTACAACCTGCCGCTTGAGGATATTGAACTGCGTTACCAATTTATTCGTCTTCTCAAGCATGTTCGATACCAGTTGGAATGCCTGTCCGTCTGGCTGAATCTGACTTTTCAACTGCTGCAGCATCTCGAGATGCGACGATAATATGAAGTCATGCTGAGTGCAGATCTAGACATTGAAAGACCGGTGAGTCAGTCTACAATGTCGCCATGTTTAAGATTTGGGGCACTCTAGGAACGTGAATGGATGGAGGTGCCTATAACCCATAGGTCATCCACCCGTATCGCGGATAATTACACACCTCCGGCCACGCATGTTGAAACTGCTCCGTCTTCGGGGCCCTATCACCCCATCCCGCATTTGACTCATCGTCCCCTTCCTCCACCGTCGGGTTTCGCGGATTGTGACCAGCAAAAGGCATTGTTGCAGAATTCGCAGTCGAGGTGACGTTGGATTAAAGCCGGGCTCTGGCGGCGGTCCTGATGCCAAGACGACCCGCCCTTTGCGGCCGGCTTTCCTTTCGGATTCTATCAGGTGACCTGGCCACGGCTTTCCTCCTCCAGATCTGCGTTCTACCTCGATTCTCTCCATTTTCGGCTGCAAATATTATGACCTGAGCCCTCTAGGTTCGTTGCTTTCCTTCCGCTGCGCCCATATACCTACGGAAACCTGCCAATCACATGCTGACAGTGTCATTTCCCCTCCTATGTAATTGCTTCTCCGGAGTACATCCCATCTCTGTCAAGTCACTCGCCAGATTTTCTATTCAGAAATGTCCTAAGCCTCTCATTGAAGTCAGCACCGGCGAGCTTTCCACTTCCACACGCATGCATTTAGGTTAATAGATCTAACTCGAGGTCATCTTATCTAGACAGACGGTCCATGCCTCCACAATCCCAATTTCCGCACCCTATATGCTGACGAGGTGCTAGCCTCAAATACTCTCTTACTTACCTAGAAGGTTTATGGAAGTTCATTATCACCGTTCACTTAATGAAGTCTGTTGAACTAACGAGATCATCCGGTAATCCGTCGAGCCTTGAGATATTCATAGTCTGGCATAGATTCGATGACGGCCTTTTCAATAAGCTCAGTAATCTCATCCCCAAACTCGGCCCTCCAGTTCTCAACTTCCACCGCAATATCAACGGTCTTTGGCGTCTTGTCCTTGATAATTCCCGACGAGGACTCAACCGTGGAGAGCATGATCGCGTTGATCCTGTGTCGCATGTCGAGAGCCTTTTCATCTTCATTGCCGACACTCGGGCCATTCTCCTTGATTCCCGCATTGCTCCACTCAAACTTCAGTGCATCCTTATCCATTCCGGTGAGCTCACAGAATCTCGCCACCGCCAGCGGATTATGGGTCACGTCGTCAGCATCTAGAATCGCAGGTGAGTCTCCCTGTTCCAGAGCCCATTCATACACCATGCGGCTCCAACGCAACGTCATATTCGTGCTCCAAACACTTCGAATCTCTTTATCGTCCATGCCCCCGATCTTGGAGATCTTGGCCATAGCACGATACATCGACGGCCACGCCAGTGCCGGGTGACGGATGATAAACGCCAGCTGCCAACTGCGGAGGTACTCATCCGGCAGGACGGTCTTGTTTGCTGGGGAAAATGTTTGCGAGCCATAAGTCTCAGACACGCGCAGACGGAACGTCTCGAAGAGCTCACGGTCCTCAATGCCGGTCGCCATTTCGTGCAAGGCCGCCGGGTTGATGAACCAGTACGCGTGCTCCTTGGTAAACATGATTTTCTTTGATTCCCTGGCGCGTGCCGAGAATCCCTCCAGCCGCTCGACACATGCATCGAAGGACTCCTTGACTGCTTGCTTCTCGGGATCTGACCACTGGTCCAGCGGCTTGTCCAGGTATCCGCCCCGCACAGCGGGAATGAATGCTGGAAAGAAGAAATAACCGCCCTCCTCGTTAGTCAGAACATTGGGCTGGTTGTGGATATCGAGGATTTTCAAGAGCAGATGCGATGCCGAACGAGGAATGCTAACGAGCAGAACACGTTTCGGAGAAGTGACAGTCATGGTGAGTAGATGGATGAGGATATCAATGAAATGACTCGGAGTTCAGGTATTGGTTGCTGAGTGTCTGAGAAAATCATCTTAGCACCCGGGAACGTCTCCGTTTATATATCTCGACACCTGGCTCCAAGCCCATTCCCGCCCCGTCAGACCAAACCCGCTGAGCTCGTCTGATCCGAATAATGACCCGGGTTGAGCCTCTCCAGCAGGACAAGGCTCTCATCGCATCCTAGCGGGGAACTATAGCCGCCTTTACCGAATCCGCACTAGAATCCAATGCAGGGCAGCAGGTAACCGAAGCAGCCAATCCCCATCGCCTGTCAGGCTGTCAGCGCTAAAATAGACTAGATACAATCGGTCGGTCCTAGATCAGCCCACCTTACCACACAGCGTCACAGCCACTACCTCCGTCCTCTAGAAGACATGCCAGATCATACCTTGACCCTTAGCGCAAGCCACGTAGTGTAACCCAAGATCTACAACAAGATATAACTGGCTATCAGCCAGCCAGCCACGGTAAGTAGCGAACAAGGATCCCTTTGTCCCTGGCGAATCCTTCTGTGACTTGGTATGTTGCAACTTGCACTGCCTCTACGCTAGCCTTCAGACCCTGGTTTGAGCTGGCTTGGTATGAGGCTCTGTGCGACTTGTTGGTTGGGTGGGGTACCGTTCCGGTTTCTTTCAGTGCAGGGTAGGATTGCTAGTTGCTACGTCGTTCTATCAGCCGCGGTTGTGGGGTCTCTCTTCGCTGAGTTGGGTACCTGTGTTGTCATCTTGGGTGATCACTTCTCTAGATCGAGTGAGTTGGTGTGTTGGATTGACATCCACGATGTCGCTTGCTACACTCGATTGAAAAGAGGTACACTTGTGAAAAAGTAAGTTGGATTATCCTTACAGAAACTGCTAATATCATTCAATTCGACTCCTGCAATCGCCCAAGACGCCATCAGACAAACCCAAGCATCACCCACGTACAAATACAAACTGCTAGATCATACCCAAGATATCAAGTCGTTACCATGCACCAGCGTCAAAATCAAATCGAGACAGTTCTTTTTGCGCATCCTCTACGTCTTTCTTCGCTTTCATCCGCATGTAGAAGATCGGACAGTCCCGGGAAGAGCAGATGACTTCGCAATGTAAACTGCCCTGGCATCGTTGACATTGCGTCCAGAGTCGACCGAAGCGGACCTCTAGGTCGGATACTTTGGTCAAGGACTTGGTGTAGAGCTCTCCGAGGCGAGGACGGCAGTAGGCACACACGGCTCCTTCGGCCTCTTCTTTTCCGGACAAGGGCTTCTTGCATCCCAGGCAGGTTTGCGTCTTCTTGGCGAACTTCATCAGTCCACCCATGGTCGGGGCCGCCACGGCAATGGAACGGGTGTGTTCACCCGTGAGCAGCTGGCTGGCTTTCTTCTCGCCGAGAATGGGCTCGAAGATACGACCGAGAGGGTTGGCAAGTTGGTTGTCGAGGTAGTATTTGGTATCAATGGGGATGTTGTTCTCCAGAACATAGATGGGATCCTCGGACCGTTCGTAGTTCTTGGATCCTCCGGCACCTTTGACAATGACATACGCCACACGGTCGCCCAGCGTGGGAGCCGAACCGGCGTCACGCTTCCTCATACGCTCGGCAAGCTCGACGTGTGCCTGCTTGGCGCTATAGGCCTCCTTGGAAAGGGCCTTGGTGATCACAAGTTTCGACATGTCGATTTTGTTCTGCAGCAGGTCGGAAATGGTATCTTTGACATAGCTGCGGGAAGTCAGTATGAAGCAACCAGAGGCACTTGGAAGGAACTTACTCTTGTGCTCCTTCAATGTCTCGGTCAATCAGGATTCTCTGCAAGACGGTCTCGATAACGTTCTGGACCAGCAGGCAGTTATCGCGACGGACGGTCTCGATACCTTTGGTGTCCATCTTGTCGTATTTCTTCGGGTTCGTCCAATATAGACCGGCGTATCGCTTCTTGTTGATGAGAAGGTAGGGGAAGTACACCTTCTCGAACTCGAGTTTGATCGGCTTCAAGAACTTCGATGAGACGTACTCAGAAGCCTCTTGTCCAAGCTTCATAGCCTCCTCCAAATCGGTAACACCAAACTTGACCATGACCGAGTCAGTATCACCGTAGATGACCTTGGCATCATGGGAATATCCGTTGGCAATGGTATATCTGGCTTCTACTTCCTGTTTGGTCTTCTCGATCATCTGTCGTCCATAACTGGTCGTACTACTTGCGATAGGCAAGCAGGGTAGCTTTCCAACGGTCGCACCTGTGAGACCGTAAACACTGTTGGCACTGATCTTCAAAGCAAGCTGTCTTCCGTTCAAGACAGCCTTCTTGAACGGATCCGTCTCAATGGCGAGCTCCTTCTTCGCCCGTTTTCGGGCGCTGAGAAGTTCTTCCAGAATCTGTGACAGCAGGCCTTTGCGGACATTGGCGGTACAGAACATGTCGCCATTTGGCGTCACAATGTAATCCTCGTCCTTCTTGAGCTTCAGCCTCTCGACACTGTTCTTGTTGAGCAGGGTCGTGTAGCACAAGTTATGGGCCTGAATAATTGAAGGGTATAGCGATGCGAAATCGAGTGTGGCGATCGGGACGCCGTAGTAGCCCCTGATCGGCTCGATAACCGTTGCACCTTCGTAGTCTTGTTCGTCGGTGGATTTCATGTTCGGGATCACTAGTTGTTGCTCTAGAGCCTTGCGGAACAGCTGACTGATGAATTTGACTTGCTGGCCTCGCGACAACAAAAAGTTGAAAGGCACACCCGTCACTCTTGCCATCTCGGTGTAGTTAACCAGACACATCAGCTTATCCATGAGTCGCTGCGGCAGATATGCATCCTTCAAACAGTAGACAGCTAAACGACGCCTAGAATCGGGTGTCCCGTTGTACAGCTCCGTGATCATCGTGTGATGGACATCCTCCTTCTGTTCGCCCAGGAATTCGTAAGAAACCGAGTTCAGGGTATAACTTCGCAGGTGGTAGTCTCGCTGCACCAACTGGAGCAGATCAAGTTGAATGCGACCGTTGGTGTTTGTGGACTTGGTGTCACGATTTCCCATTTGTTTGCTAGAGAAACTGGTTTCTTTGCTCTGCGACATCATACCATTCAATCTGGTCCAGTATGGAAACCCCGTGCATTTCAGATGCTTAGCGCGGTCCAGAAGATACGGGAAATCGAAATTGGCAATGTTGTAACCGATGATGACATCCGGATCGACCTTTGCCACAAAATCACGCCACGCCATGAGCATCTTCGATTCGTCCTGGAATTCTAGAATCTGGGTGTTGACGATCAGACTGCATGTATCCAAAACAAAAACGTTTCGGATGAACGGCTTGGACTCTCCGTATCGAGTCACAACATTGGCGATTTGAATGACTGGATCCTGATTCGGTTCGGGGAAGATGCCCTTACGCCCGGCGCACTCGATATCGAAAGACAAGATGCGGAGCGGGGCCATCTTGGCCCATTCCCCGTTGGGTGCATGGGAAATGAGGTCGCGGTAGTCGATACTGGCCTCGATCTGACAGTTCGACGCCTTCTCCTGGTTCTGTAACAGGCGGTATTTCCCCGCCTTGGCTTCCACCCAGGACATGCCCGAGATGCCCGTATCGATCATGAATCGGAGGAGATATTGGATGCTGTCGAATGTGAGAATCCCGGCATCCGAGTTATTCCAGAGACCCTTGTAGTTCAGACTTTGGGCGCCGCCACTCTCCAATGCGCCCCGGACCTTGCTGATGAATTTGGGATCTGTGACCGTAATCTTGAGGTAGTAGCTTTTCTGGTTGCCCTGGAATCCGTAGATGTTTTCTCGCATCGTTATCTGGACCGACTGGATCACAGGCTGGTACTGGCCGAGTCGGCTTTCCAAAAAGCCTCGGTAGGGTTCGCAATCTTCTTTGGTGAAATTCACAGGGGCAGCAATGTAGAGGTAATGTTGGAAGCCGGTAACATGGAGGAGGACGGATTGACCTGCCTAGGAGAGCATTAGAGCGTGTCTAGATTTGTGAGAAGAAACGCGCGCCTACCTCGGTGACACCGAACAGTCGAACAGCAGCCTTGCCCATGATCTGTCCCTCTTCGGCGTCAATCTGCTGGAAACAGATATTCTCCTTCGCTGGGTCGAATACCCCAAGGGGCGGTCGTTCCCATTGTTGATCCTTCTCGGAATTGCTATCCTTCAACTCGTTGATGTCCTGAGTCAATTTCTCCAACACTTCCTCCTCGAACTGACTCTTCTGGGGCTGGCCCGACCCAGGGACTCGACGCTGGCTACTGGAGGCCGCATTGTCGATCTTGCGCTTCTTGAGGGCATTGGTATCCTTCACGGCGCCGCGGGGGTTATGGTTTGTTGCATCACCCAGAACCCGCTTCTGGGGCGTGGCGACGGCTTCAGGCATGGCGAATGTTCATAGACAAGAAGCAGAGGGATTTCGGTTCATCTGAGGACGGACCGGAGCAAGCTAGATCGTGGAGGGATCGCGGGTCGACATTCGGGGGAATCTCACCAGGGACGATGGCAGGCGCGGGAAACTGCGCTCCCCGGACCAGGTCGTGTTTCGTTCGCGCAGACGTGACGCTCCACGCGTTGAGTGCTCACGTGATGCTGGGCCCCGGCTCCACTGTTGTAGATCTTGCATAAAGATGACTGAGAATATCCAGGCAACTCGACAGTTCAACTTTTGCCTTTTTTTTTATTCGATCCTGAGGATCTCGGGGATGAATGCCGTGTCTTCGAGTCGCCCACTGAATGACGTCATGCCGTATTGGCAGCTTCTCGAGTCAATTCACTGGTAGCTCTGCAAAGCCATATGCGTGACAAATACTCTATATTGAGCATATTTGATCGCAACTGTTCTTCGGGCTATCATTGCTATCCCGTGGCATCTACTAACGGCAGCTAGTGTGGATACAAATCAGGATTGACAGCGCCGGAATAGATTCCTACAATTCTACTCTTATCACAATGCAATTCCATTCGGAATGGCCACCTGACTGGACCAGAACAGTTAGCCCATCAGGTGATAAGCCGGTCGCACAGTTTCAAGCACTGGAAAAAGAACATGCTTAGAACTTCTCAGTCGCATTTCAAGATCAAAGACGAACGACTTCTTTCTACTGGTTTAAATATGCCACATTTGCTTGAAGGACTAATCATGGGACCCATCGCCAGGTCTGTGTCTACTACAGCCAGAAAAATCCAGTTTGAGATGGCCCGAGGAATGAGGGGAGCCCGTCTGGAAGGAATATATTGACTAATAAGGCTCTATAGAAATCTGGCAAGATGCCGGTGATGTACAAAGAAGATAAAGATCTAGGGGCTTCACAAAGTCCCTAACTGCTTCAGCGACAAGCATGAAGGACACGGATGCGTCTTTTCACTTCACAAACAGCTTAGAAACCGAAGCCACCGAAGCTACCCTGGGAGCCATGGCCATGGCCCTTGTGGTGGTGGGGCTTACCACCAGTGGCCTGAGGAGCCGGAGCACCAGAGCCCTGAACAGGAGCGCCAAGTCCCTGGAAAGGCTCATCCGCGGGAGGTCCAGTGGGAGCTGGAACGTTGGTGCTGACCTTTCTCCAGGACCAGGAGCGCTGGCTGGGGACGGCAGAGGCACCGGGGCCAGCCTGCGAGTAGGCCGGCACGAAAGGAGCACCATCCTCGGGGCCGGCACGCTTGGCGACGGCCGAGGTGGCGACCGCGGCAACAGTGCTGGAGGAACCAGATCCGTTGTTGAGCTTGCCAATACCGGCGTTGGAGAGAACATAGGCGACAACCTTGCTCGCAGACCTCACGGTGATGTCGGACTCGCCCGAGGGCCAGCTGCTGAGAACGGAGCTGTCGCTACCGGAAAGGGTACCGGAGCTGATCAAGGTGTTGGCGACACAGGTGCGACCCAGGGCCTTGGTGCAGGTGGAAGCATCGCTGGAGTTCACGGCGAAAACAGCACCCGGGTTGCTGTCGGCCAGGAGAGGAGTGTTGACATCGACCATCACATTACCCTCGATCAGGGCACGGGTGTTCTCGCCAACGTCAAAGGCATGGCCGGTGTTGTTGTACCAGTAGTTGTTGTATGCGTGCCAGAAGCTGTTGAACTCCAACTTGGGGGACCGACCAGAGGTGTGGTGGATGTAGTTGTTGGCGAAGGTGACCTGGTCGTTGTGGCCGTATCCAAGACTGACAAGGTTAGATGGTGCCGACAAATATGAGGAAGGAGGGAACTGACACAGTCCAGTAGTGGTGACCATTGCAGGTGGCAGACCAGCTGGTCTGGCCATCAAATTCGCTGTTGGAGATGGTCACATGGTGGCCTGCAAATCATCAGTACCGGACTTTATCTGATACAGTGTGAAGACATACTGGGCTCATATCCGGCGACAAACATCTGACGACCAATGAGGTTAATTTTCACGTGGTCAATCCAGACGTTGTTGGTACCGTCCAGGGTGATAGCATCACCACCCCAGATGTACTGGGGGTTAAGCTCGGTGATGTGGATGTTTTGAATGATAATGTTGCTGACACCGTTGACCAGACGCAGGCCCTTGCCGCGAAGGACACCAGAGCTCCCCACGCCGACAATGGACTTGTTAGAGGCAACCTCCAGGCCCTCGATACCAGCGTTGTCGTACGTGCATGTGGTGGTGGGATAGCTACCGCACCAGTCGGAGCCATTCTGCTTGACCGCGTTCTGGCCAGAGCTGCCACAGGTGTTGGAAGACGGAACGCAGCATTCACAGTCGGTGCACTTGCCCTCACTGCCCAGGAAGTTGAACTCCTTGTCGATGAGGATGACACGGGGGGTGCTATCCGATAGCCAGGACGTCAGCTCGCTGATGTCGCTGGGCGCAGCGGGGGTAGCATCACCACCACCCGTAGTGCCGCTTGCAAAGCCGAAAGCTGTGCCAGTGACGCCTTGCGCCGCCTGAGCAGAGGCGCTGAGCAAGGCAGTTGCCGTCAGAAGATGACGAAGGAGGGTCATTGCAACGAGCCTCAGCACCGAATACCAAGAAATTGAAGTATCGGATGCGAAAGGAAGGACTGAACCAGCAGCTCTCACGAAAGAAAGGCGTCAAGCTAACTGTGGGAATGAAAAGAGCGTGGAATTGGAGTCGTGATGATAGCTGATTCGTACCATGTCAATGGATGTTATATAGTTGACGACTCAAAGAACTTGCTGTGTCGGTCCCGGCGGCCTGCATGGACGGGAAGTGGAAGCAAATATGGAAACGGCCATGTCAATCATGGCGGAGCGCGTCGCAGATTGATAACGGATCGAATGGTGAAACTCCCAGACGGGACAAACTCAAGCCAGCTGGCTCGACGCTTTTGTCCCGTCCGCCGATCGTGCAACGGCTTGAGTCGTGTCAGCGAGGCCAAGCCTGGCCATGCACGGTACGCCCAGCACAGTCTCCAGATCGTCCGAGACATTGACGATCTTCCATTGCACTTTTGACTCAGATTGACGTGTTGAAGGTGGAAAAACATTACCAGCGATCGTCAAAATAGGCTCCACACTTAATTGACCCCAGCCGATCGTCATGAACTCCTATTCAAACTTGTCCAAACGGCTACTGGTTCGTGGCTTCATAGCATGCCGTGCTATAGCTTTATCGTTCCGTGTGCCGGGGGGAAGGCTCCGCTCTGCTTGTCTCTGCATCGGCCAGATTAATCGACGCGGGATCGCTGACGAGGGCTGCTCCACAACCCGTCTCTGGCGATGCAGTGGATGAAGTGTAGCCATCAGGCCACACTTTAAAGCTGGCATCTTGGATCGGACAGAGGTTCCACTTCCAATGTAGTAAGAGTTATTTGTCGGTCAGAACTTCTTGTGTATATTAACCTCACTCCACCCCATTGAAAACCGGGAATCCTCCTCCACTCGTCATCTCCAACCCGCACTTGAAATTAACTCTGAGGACCTGACAGCGTGGAAAGCCAATTGGCGATTGCCTGACCCTGACACTGACGCAAAGATCGTCTTGCTGTTCCAGATACTTCGGCCGTGTCTCACCCAGATATACCTGCCGCTTGACTTTGGTACACCTTGCCTTGAGGGACCTTCGAAGAGACAGAAGAGACCGGGTTGAATGGGAGCAATGAAGATCTCCATTAGTGTGGACGTCAACATACCCTTGAGGCTCAGGCGTTTAATCCGCTCACCGATGGTGCAAACAAATGAGTTGGGTGCCATTTTGTTAGTCAGACTGCGACTCAAAGCATGGATGCGTCTCGGACTTTATTATCAGTCTCATCAATGGCAGATATGCTGAAGGTCACAGCCACCAGTTTGACACGGTGGTGCTGCAAGACCGTAGTAGACACTGAAGGCATGTCATGCAGACATTATCCAGTGCACACGCGCTCAAATGGTCATTTGCGAGGTTAACAATGTGGTCGGAATGAGGGCTTCTCATTCGAGGAGGTGACAGCAGGTACTTTGATGAGTCAACTTGGCCTCCAAATAGTTACCATTTCTTACGTCCATGTTTTGCAGCGGATTGTCCGTGCTTCCATGAACTGGGCTAATCAGGTATCCCATTCATTGAATGCTTTTCATCATCCTGCCTCGTACTTTGGCTGTTCTCCCACTCTATGGCCATCGCAGCACAGAGTTCGTTAAACTCAGTGACTGCACCATCAAGTCGAATACGATAGCTTTTTGCCCTTGGCTGCTAATGGCGGACCTGGATGCGTCACCTTTCAACATGCGGCTTACTAGCTCCAGTCACTTGGCATCAAACAAGGCATCTAGTCAGCATGCGAGAGCCTTTCAAGTGATCAGCTGCAAAGTACTGGGGTCTTATTGGCTTGAGCTCCTACTTGGAGTCCTGGTGCGCTGCCTGGCCAGAGAGCATGCAAGGATAGTCACAGGGCCAAGCATGGCGTAGGGAGGGACCCTGTGGCCAGGCTGATCTTTGCTGATGTTCCCCAAGGTACCCCGGGGCCGGGTATATCAACATGTCGATCCTCCGCATAAGGACAAGGCACTCACCAGACAACATGGCGTCGTTCGATCCAACCAACGTGAATTTGAATACGGCCAGCGTGGAGGACATCTACTGTTATTTGCAGCTGTCCGAAAATGACTACAATGGACACCTAGGCGCGCGTATCTCATCCATCTTTGTGATCCTGATCACCTCCTCGGCAGCCACACTTTTTCCCGTGGTGGCTAAGCGAATTCCGCGATGGAATATTCCGTATCCTGTCTATCTCTTTGCCCGATATTTCGGCACGGGTGTCATTGTCGCCACCGCATTCATTCATCTGTTGGATCCCGCGTACGAGAGTATCGGCACTACTACCTGTGTGGGCGTGTCCGGACACTGGGCAGACTATTCCTGGTGTGCGGCCATTGTCCTTGCGTCGGTCATCATGGTCTTCCTGATGGACGTGGCATCGGAGGTGTACGTCGAGCGCATATACGGCGTAGAAAGAGACCACGACGCGACCGACCGTTTTCTGGTCCAAGCCCAGCTCATTCAAAGCGATGACGAAACTACGGTTAGCGGTGATTCTGGTGGCCGCAAGCAGCCCGAGTCTCAAGAGACCATATCCCTTGAGTCTGAGCGTTCATTCCGCAAGGACATTGCCGCCTTTCTGATTCTAGAATTCGGTATCATCTTCCATTCTGTGATCATCGGGCTCAATCTGGGAGTCACCGGCGATGAGTTCACCACCCTCTACCCGGTATTGGTTTTCCACCAGGCGTTTGAGGGGCTTGGGATCGGGGCTCGAATGTCTGCACTTCGTTTTGGCCGACATCAATTGCTGCCGTGGATTCTTTGCATGGCGTATGGTCTCACGACGCCGATTGCGATCGCCATCGGACTGGGGGTGCGCACGACGTATAACTCGGGATCCAAGACGGCGAACATTGTGCAGGGAGTGTTGAATGCCATTTCGGCCGGAATTCTGATCTACAGCGGACTGGTGGAATTACTAGCGCGCGACTTTCTGTTTGACCCGGATCGGACAAAGCGACGGTCGCATTTGCTGGGGATGCTCTTGTGCGTATTGCTGGGGGCGGGCATCATGGCGTTGATAGGGAAATGGGCCTGAGGTAATAATAGGAAAGGGGAAGAATGGATGAATGAATGGGCAAGGGACCTTGGCGGAGATCCCTGGCCGTAAGTTACCCGTAATGTCGGTATGACTGCAATACATTTCCACCATGCATGGTTTTTGCATTACCGCATCACTTGGCTGTAGCGTCCATCCTTCCTGTTGTGGTGGCTCAGCCTGCAGCAGAGGCAGCAGCCTGCGGTCGGTATAAAGGGTCTCGCGCGTCATCATCACCGCTCTTCCCCAACCATCCATCATGCTGGTCGAGGTGACCATGGAGCATTTTACCCCAGCATCCTCACATTTTCCAAGAACTGAGCATACATAGACCAAGCCATTTTCATCACCCGATCTCTACTTCAGACAGTCTGTTGCTGTCGCAACCGCCATGGGGAAGCCCAAGCTAACCCCCGAGACCTTCAACTTCATCGAACTTGTTCAGCAAACCTACGACGACTCCCGCATCATCGTTGCCGTCTGCCTGGTCTCCTGGATCGTGGGCCGTCTCGATCTCGGACTCACCTGGTTGCTTTTCGTCCTGGCAATATGTCGAACCTACGCCGTGGTCTCGCTGACCCGAGTGCAGCGCATCATCCGCGACGAATGCCGACGATACCACGCCCGCAAAATACTTTCCCGTGGGGAGACGGTGGATTGGGCGAATGGGGTCCTCCAGCGGTTCTGGCACATGTACCAGGGGCCGATCTGCGACCATATCGTTCGCTATGTGAACAACGGGCTCGCACGGCGAACGACCTCGGAGAATGGGGGCGTTGCCCAGAAAGTGGTGATTCAGTCGTTGGAGTTGATCGACCTGCCTCTCCGCTTTACCCGGGTTTTTGTCCACCACAAACCGTGTTCGCCGAATCTGATCGTCGAAGGCCAGTTCCAGGTGAACCTGGCACCGCATCCTTCGCACCACCACCTGATCGAGAGCTCCGGACATCCTCTGATCGATCTTACGATTGTACACGATAAAAACGCCCGCGATCCTCATAACCGCACTCATGATCTGGCGGTGCAAGTGCGTCAGTTTACAAGCACAGGATCGCTGCGCGTTGAGCTAGACTTGGAAGGCGACCAGCCGGCTCTGCTTCAACCGCAGGTCGACCTCCAGGAGCACCCCAAGATGGACTGCACGATCAAATCGATCAGTCAGCATCATTTTCCACTGCATTTTGCGCACCAAGTGGACTGGCGGCGAGTGGTGGAAATGCAGCTGCGGGAGGGGCTTGGGTGGGCGTTTCATCGGCCACTACCGCTGCCTTTCACGCTGGGAGAGCGGTGGGTGTTCCGGGCGATGACGTGGTGGTGGCATGCTGTGAACTAGCAGGATTGGTCGCAGAAATGGGGACAGAAATGGGGGCAGGGATGAGACGCAATAAAGCGCCGGTCATAAATATAGTCCTCGGCGCAGCGCCTTCATTGGGTGCGGGCGGCCCGGTGGGGGCCCCCTATAGGGCTGAGTGGGCGGCCAACCAGGGGAAGCCAAATGGTGTTGCCTTGGTATTGCAAATACCATCCACAGCGTACTATTTACAGACAGGAGGTAGGGCTACGGAATGTTCCGAACACATGCCGGTCTTCCTTTCTATTTGTAATAATTAGATTCCCATTCTTGGCTGTGGCTTTTCAGTTATTTGGCTCGATTCCGTGAGAGCTGGGTAATGGGTAAATTTTCTTCCATCATCAGATTCTGCACCTGTACAGTACTCCGGATGGAGTAAACTACAACTGACCAGGGTAGTGCTCCGCTGACGTCTGTCTCAAAATTTGAACTGCCGCATGACCGTTGACACTACTCTGGCCAGTGACGCTATCAACCCCGCACCAGAAGGCCAGCTGAGGTGGCAGTGGTTCTATGCCCTGCAGCACCAGCCTACCCGGGTATCCGAGCCCTCTAATTATCCGAGTTGAACCGTGTGCAATGCCTTGTTTGACTCAACAGGCCTAGTGGCTGGTAGATTGTATTAACTTGGACTAGGGGGCATGTCACCAAGATGAGGGATTACCTGATCTAAGTTAATAATCAATCTTCCTCGAAAATAATATTCAGCTAATTCTCGAATGGAATTTCAAGTGACTATATCAGTGACTGATTCTATTAACCATTTCGCATCTTGTAAACATGTTTTAATTCTCTATTTTTCTCTCTTCCTACCTTTATATCGTCTGTTAAATCCTGATAAATCAGCATCTCTACTGGCAAATCCAGCAGAACTCCCATTAGTCTCTCATCATCATCTAGAAAAAAAAAACCAGCATTGCTATTCTCATTGATACCAGCAGCAAGTACTTCAGGATTATTATGAACGGCTCTGCTCCATCAGAAGATACAGTATCTGGCATAAAATGGATCCCTCCTGAGCATGATTCAGCGCATCAAGGAGGATTGTCTTTCCCAGAATAGTCCAGCATAGCACGGCACCAACACTACTACCCGAACTTAAGAGCGACCACGGCAAACTGGCTACGGAACCACAATACCGCCCAGTGAGAGGCTTCCTCTAGACAGACAGGTATATATCCCTCTCTCGATACGACCGCTGCAATCTCTACACCCTTATACCCACGTCCTTAGAACGACAGCCATATCCAATAACATCCCAACGAGTATGCTATCTATCAGCATACTCCACGATATCCGGCGCTAATCAGGACGCTAGGACAATTCTCTTCCTACAAAGTATCCATATCATTCCAGGATACAAAGGTGAATTCTAGACAAGAACTGGAACAAGCTTGATGAAATCAGATGAACATTTCGATTCGACCTCAAGGTTGGAACTCTAAACTGCGATTTAGAACCCTTTCGGGATGGTGTCAGATAGGTACTTTATACCTACCTGCAGACCCTACAATCGGTATAACATTTTACTCCGAGAATAAACAAACGACTCCGTCGAAGAAGGATGACGTGGGAAATTCGTGGGAACCTCGGGGAGATATGTAAAATCCCCTCCTCGCCATACCCAAGAACATGAATCTAAGCATAAAAGGCTTCATCACGAAAAATCCACTACAGCGAGGTTAGAAAAAAGCTTCTTGACAAATGCAAATCAACTTATTTTTATCATTCAATTATTGTGTAATGAGGCAACGCGCAAGGGACCAGGTGACAATCTAATTGTCTTGACTTGTTGTGTCTGTTCTATTCTGTGCGCTGTTATCTCCTGGATCGAGTTAGTTGGTGCAGATCATGGTCTATTCTTGCATTGATACCTGTTAGCTACGTCTACAGAAATGGATGGTATTTCGATACCAGGTCTGATTCTCGGAGAAAGGAGCAGTCAGACGATATACTCATGAACAAGGAGAGAGTTGAAGTGAGAGTGTTCAAATGCCTCCTTTCCTAACCTCATGGTTCAATTGAGAGCAGGGCAGCGTGTCTCGCTTGAGTATATACAAGACTCCAGGTGAACAAAGCGCAGACCAAAAATTCAATTGCGGATAAAGGTATCGTTGTCTCATCTTCCGAGCCTGATGATATACCTCGGATCTTCTTATCTGACATGGAGGAATCAATTCTCGAGCATGTACCTGCTGTCATATGAGCATACATCAACTTCAGTGACATCATCTTAACATTGGATGTGCAAGGAACTCTCATGCAAGAGGTAGTCAGCATCAACGCTGCGATCATTCGGATTGATATGGTATGGTTTGTTACGGTTGCAAATACAGATGGGATATAACCTACATTGCAATATTTAAAACAATGGATGCTGTTCGCAAAACCGCCATGCGGTATTTCTGACTTGAATGGAACTGGGTATTCTACCCGAAAGGATGAACAGGATCGGCATTCACTCATGAAAGATAATCTATACCATATCTCATGACGCAACTGACTCTGCCCGGACGAGACTGTTTACAGGGCAGGTTATTGATCACTCAATACGAAGCTCATCTGACCAGGTCAGATCAAATAATTGTTGGGATAAGACCTATGCTGATCGAAAGTTCTAGCCATCGAGGTGATTACAATGAATCCCTCGCCATTCCATGGGTAAGGAAATGGCTATGACATGAGGTCTGCTACGCATCCCATCGAACTACCATGGGTGCTCACAGATTCTAGAGACAGGAATATCCAGAGGCTGGATGATGACTTGGGAAGCTGTATAGAATCACCACAACCATCCATCGAAAGAACCTACCTGTTGGTTCTTCTTGAGACGCAATAGATGTCAGCCGTTGACTAGATCACCTCTGCCTATTGACAAGCACGACATGGTCACTCCAGTATTCGACTCGGCAAATGCTAGGAGACAGAGGTCTGCCACCCCCTGCAGAACAAGTCTGACCAGCTAAGATGTCCAGTTTACGCCAACCTACTCGTCCCTCACAGCACACAGGGGCATCGGGACCATGACTCCATCATCTTCCTGAATTCTCAAAGTCCCTCGTATTAGTGAAGACGTTCAATTGTCGAAGGCACTTACGCATTGGCCACGGCCTTAATGCCCCAGAAAGGCCATTTTGTATAATTTATGAGAGCTTCGCTAGGGGCCTAGTTCGATAGATGCTCCGATCAGTCGTTTCGGATTGTTCGTCATTCGGATCTGGCCTAATCACTTCTAATGAAAATATCCAGGATTACAATGGTATACCGGTGATGTTGGATATCTATTTGGGCTATCGCTTGCAGGTGTTTGATCGGAATGTAGGAACGAATACTATCTGCCAATAGCCAGCTCTTTATCGAAGAGGGAAAAAATCGATAAGAGTATAGCTAGCTAGAAATATCTAGAAAAATTCTCTAATTCTACCATATTATCAAAGATATCTAAAGTACTATTTAGTTAATCTAATCATCAAACATAGCCCATTTTGATCACATTAGTAGACTAGACCCAACCCAGGCAGTCACCACACCACGATGCCACGCCTTGACTGTTTCGTATGATCAGTTCTGCAAGTAACTTCCTGGACACATCTGCGTCGGAGATCCAGACCTCATGAAAGAATAGTATTTAGGTGCTTTTGTCACATCATATGAAAGAATTTCGAATATGAGAAATCTTTAGCAGACATAAGTTAGATCTGGGATCTTGGTCTAGTTCCTAAGTACAACACGAAAATTAATCGTTCCACCACCACATCAGCAGCATGCCTGCCCTTCATGTTACTAACATGAAGGAGTGCAGCAAAGTGTCGGGCGGTTGTTGAATACCAAGATATAGTGATATATTTTTCTACCTTAGAATTTGGGATCGGTCGTCATGAGAGAAATGGACTTACTCCACTTTGTAGATACGAGGAGTGCTATGATGTGGTGTGGGAGTATCGTTGGGTTTTTCATTGGATCGCGGGATTCAGCCACGCTGCTGATTCACCTCGGGTCATTGGTGCTCTAGATGAACATTTTGAATAATAATGGGCCATATTCGTTAGAACTGATGATATTTTCCATGTGTGGACGACATAAAACCACCTCAGCTGTATCAATGAGACTCGGATTTCTCAGGTGAAGACTCCAACTTGAACATTCTAGGCACAGACTTGAATATTTTTTGACGTGATGTGTCCAGACTAGAACATTGTGATTGAAGCCATGACCCCGACCAAAGCCTCAAGACACCATGGAAGTTTAGTATCTTGTACATCTTCTTTGTTGATAGAATAATGCTCGCCTTAGATACAACCACGTGTCAAGCATGAACCCAATGCTTGCGGAGACTGTCCATGAATCGAGACTTGAGATCTCTACCACAATCGTAAAGATGTGAGGACTCTAGCTCTGCTCGTGTCACTGGTGGTGAGGGAGTTGACAAACTGGAACTGATCTTCGTTGTTCCCCAGAGCCGTTCGAAGTGCCAAGTCGAAGTCGCATTGAAAACGAGGGCGGGAACATTCCTTTCTAAATAAATTCTTTGTCTTGATCGAAGACACTTCAATATCTGGTCTTGGTTGGGAGACTGGCGTGGCCCTCTTTTAGCTTGAATTCGTAGATTCTGTGAAAGATTCCCGTGTCGTATGGCGACAATATGTTGAGCCCGACCCTTCTTAATGATGTAGGTCGTTGTCCGGGTTTATTCTTTCAAGTATTCCATGAGACCAAACCCTGCAAAAGACTCATGTTGGAACATGTCTGATACAGAATCCTGTGGTATGGAAACATCCGAGTTTCAAATCTTGCAGTACGATGACTCTTCCCATCCATAGGATATAGTAATGAAGACGGTTCTTTGAATTCTGAAGCCCGCTTGGTATGTTGACCGATTGTCCGACACCATGAAAGGATACACTATCCAGCATATATAGTCCCCAGTCTGGGTTCGATCATCGGTTATGGACTGTCCCATCTCTATATTGTGCTGCCCATTGCTGCGTTGTCCGCGCCGTGTGTACCTAGCTCGTCCTCGACATCATCGGCTTTGACTGGGCTTCGGAAATGTGGCAGTTTTTTTGGACTTCTTGCTCAGGAGTCATTAATTTGATGGATATTGCCTCTGCTCACTGTACTGCTTACCGCTTCAGCCTGGGGGAAGACCCCAGAATAGATTTAGACTGTACATAGTATAGGTTTGAACTGGAACTTGAGGTGGATTCAGGCTGTAGGTCTGAACAAAAACTACATCGACAGGTGCTGACAAGCTCTTTGGGAGTCCTTGATGAAGTCTTTTAGCGATTTGGGAGCTGTGGACTGAGCCGTTCAATCTCTCTAGTCTTGATTTAAATGCTTTAAATGCATCGTAATGCCTTGGGTAGGGGCTTCTCCTCTTACTACTATGTACGGTGTACTATGTAAGGTGGAATGATGCTTAGAGTAGAATCCGAATGATGGGTGGGATCAGTCTCTAGTACTATGTAGCCAACTGGATGGATCTAATGAAGGACAAATGGCGCCTCCTGCACCGGAGCAAACAATTCATCCACCGTCACCACGCGCTCAATCATCCCCTGCTCATACAGATACTGCACCAGCGCTTCCAACGTCTTGCGATTCGTCTCAATCCCATAGGGCCAACAATCCTCCCCAAATACCTCGACCGTTTCCTCCAACGCCTCCCGCAGCCAGGGCAACATACACCGAATCATCCCCGGCATATACGTCCGTTTCCGCACTAACTCCTTGGACTCATTCAGCGCCTGGAACAAGCTTGTCGCCACCCACTTCTGTTTCTCATACACCTCCCGTCGGATCGCCACCAGATGCATAATCGGGAAGATGCCCGTCTTTCGATAATACGACTTCTCCGCTTCCTTGTAATGCGGAAATAATCGCTGAATCTGCGGCGACTGCTCATTGTCCCATAAACACGCCGGCACCTCCGCCCCGATCGTCGCATCAATCTCCCCCTCCACCAGTAACTGATTCAATGACTTGCCGCTCTCATTCTTCTCAATCCGGGCCAACGGCCCATCATCCCCGACCCGCCGAATCAACACCGACGGCTTCCCATGCGCCCCCGGCGCGTCCATCCGCCCTTCCACCCAGGTTATACTGCCCAAATCGACCCCATATTCATGCATCAGCAGTCCCCGAATCCACACCGCCGCTGTCATTGTATACAGCTGCACGCCGACACGCTTCCCCGCGAGATCTGCCGGCGATTTGATCCGATCCGTATTCACCACGATATACCCGTGCCGAAACGTTCGGAGCGGAAACGCCGGCACGGCAGTAAACGTCCGGTCGCCGGCCACGTAGCGCGTGATGAACTCGCTGCTGGAGAGCTCCGAGGCGTCGAATTCCCCGTTGCGCACCATGCGATCGAACACGTCGCGCGGGTGTTGCACTTCCACGAAATTGAGGTCCAGGCCGGCGGGGCGGATCTCGCCGGTCGCTAGAGGGACCATCCGGTCGTAGCAGGGGGCCGCGAAGGAGAATGGAATGGGCATGGTGGGGTGGTAGATGGTGTGTAGGATGCGAGAATTGCTAGGTGAGGGGGGGACGATCGTCTTATATGACATAGGGTACAGTCCGACTCCGCAACACCGAGCCAACAATGATCACCGAGCAAATGGCAGTAAAGTGTGGACAGCACAAAACGCCCTAACGACGGCAGACGAAGCCAAGCTCCGTCGCTCCAACTCAGCCAGAGGGGCGGGTGGAGAGCGAGCCCCTCGGCTTTAGCTTAGCACGATTGCACCGGGCCAGAATTTATCCGCCAGGGGAAAGGAGGCGTGGTTGATGTGGGATGCTTTTGTGCTCGTCATTTGTAAAGATGCATCTGACACCGGTTATCGGCTCACCAGGTCGATTGGGATAAGCCCGGCCAAATCGGATCGGGTTTCATGAGTGACCTCGGACATCTCGGAGATGTCAGGATCAAGGATCGATGATGAGGTGATCATTCAATCTGGCAATCCTTTAATATAATAAGTAACGCTGATGTCTAAGCTCGCTATTTCACCTCATATACACCCCTGCAGGAGGTCGGACAATTTCACTATTGGAATCGTGGGCTGGACACTGCCATTCCTCATGGACTTGATCGAGTCGAATAGAAAGCCTTCGTCTTTCTTGGTCATCCGCACGATCGAGTTGGCAATTTTCTGATTGGGAAAGTCCCTCTGGAGCGCCCGGAATGCCATCATCGCCGCCACGACGGAATTGTGCAGCCCCTCATAATGCGGCCAGGCTCGCAGGAGATAGATCGCCCGCAAGCGAATCCCTGCGTCCGGGCACCGTGTGGCCACCAGGTACACATTGGCGATTAAAAGGTGATCCATGACCATGCCTGACAGCTTCCGGAATTGGTCGAACTTGTCCTCATGGGCCTGCAGCACAGCAAGGAAATCTGGAATAAAATGCTCGGGAACTGGGCCATGGATGAACAGCATCTTGAGAGCCAGGGTGTGGCCAATATAGTTCCGTTTAACAATGTCTGCGCCCCGGCGCTCTTTTTCGCTCAGCTTGTGATAGTGTCGCTCGTAGAAGAGCTTGAAGTGCTCGTCAAACTGGGCGAGGCCCCTAAGTAGGCGTCCCTGGGTCAAATAGAGTGACTCGTAGTTGGTCTCGGAAAGGATCAGGCTCCGGGAAAAAAGGGGAATCCCCTGTTCCATCACATTTGCCAGAGCCTCTTGTACCTGGCTCAGGCTAGTGAATCCCCCTGAAGGGGCCTGGAACAGATGTGACGACGAGTTCGGCTCCTGCTCCAAACGCAAGATGGGATCACCGGTGCCATACAGCGAGGCCTGGACATCCAAGCGCCGGAATACCGCCAGTAAGGCCGGTGCAACCTCTGACTCAAGCTGGTTGTGGTCCTCGAGCTCTTTTAGTATACGAAGACCACTACGCAGATGCGCAAGTGCACAATCCCAACGTCCCAGGAGCACCTCGGATATTACGAAGAGCAGACAGCATACGAGAATCACTTGACGCAGCTGGGGATCCTGGGAGGCGTGACGTTCATTTAGGAGTCTCATGGTCCGCGTGGCCTCCCGGAGAGAAAAGTAATACCCTTGACTGCGACGGTGTGCCCCTTCCGATAGCTGCATTTCATGCGCCTCCGACTCTTGCTGCGCGGCGCTCAACATGTTTACCGCATGGAACACAGCCGGGTCGGCTCGGGACATCTGCAGGACCAGCTGCTGCCAGAGTGGCGAGTCGAAAAAAACGGTCAGGTTCGCAACAGTGTGGTGCTGAAAGTACGAGAAGCATCGATGTTCGTCCGCGGTCATGGACCAGCCTATGCGGGTGCCCATGTCCCACAGGCCTGTGCCGGCTTTTCGGGGCAACCGGTACGTATCAAGCCCCTCACATTGCCAATTGGCAGCGATGCAGTTCTTACATCGCCCTGGGGTTTCGTCGCACTTAATTCGCCGGATGCTGGGCATCGGTCATCTCGTCAGTACTGCAGATTTCTCCTCAATCCCGCAGTGTCCCTTACCGGCAGGTTCGACACCCCGTTCTAGATCGTTTCCCACTCACTTTCTTACGTCTTAGGGTTAGAGTTAATTGGATATGTGCCATCTTGGTCAGGACCCGAGACGCTGTGATCTGGTATGGTTTTGGGCCGGGGAGGAAAGAAGTTACCATCCAGTGCGGCTCTGGGTTCAAATGCGACCAAGGGGACCAGGATTAAGCCCAGGCTCTAGGCTAACCCCAGTTGTCGCCCCGGCGGTTACCGATGGCCGACTAGCAGCCGGTGGGGGCTGGCTTGGTCCAAGAGTGATCATGTGATACATCAGTCAGTCCCCCAACAATCAGATCAACCTGTGTATCCTGTACTCCGTAGTGAGACTTTATCGTTCGAGGACATTTCTTTCTCCAAAGTCTGACCGAGCTATGCCTTTGATTTCGCTCAGGCCATCCCTAGGGTGTTTCGAAGAGCACAAGCCAGATGGCTTAGCTGTCTAGGCCCTGGATAGTCTGGTGGGACTAGCATGACTGATTCTACTGCAGGTGTGACCACGTCTGCCGTGGCAGGCTGACAGGATTCGTGCGAGCAATACTTGATCACTGGCAACAAAAATGAGCTGGACTAGCAAGGCCCTGGCAGAATCGAATAATCTCGATTGTAACTTGCAAAATGGTGGAGCCTTAACTATGGTAACGGTCTCACGTCAGCACACCCGAGGGGGTGGAGCAGTGTATATCCAGTTGCGGACTCAAGTCAGTCATGGGGTCTTTGGGTTTATTTCCTGTTTGGAGCTGGGGTGATGGGATGGGTTAGTAGCTGATCACAGAGACAACGCGGGGACGGGGTGTGGTTACCACCGAACATATATATCCCCACCACTGGAACGCGTGGACCCCTGGATTGGACCCTCTGGGTGGGAGACATTGAATGAGACGTGAAAAGAGGATAACGCGAGACCCAAGTAGTCCCTAATATAGTACACCGATGATTTCTGATGACATGGATTGATACGGTGATGTTGGTAGAGGGGGATGGCGTTACGAAAATAAGCCACAAACGGTGCGATCATCTAGACTGTCGATGGGTTACCCTTTTTCTTTTTGGAATATATTGCATAAAACCTAAGAAGTTCTCCAACAATTGGCCGGATGGTGTAGTTGGTTATCACGTATCGTTAACACCGATAAGGTCCTGGGATCGAGCCCCAGTCTGGTCATTCTTTTTTGATTTTGCCACGACCGGTTCCTTCTTCCTCCATGTACGATCCCCATCCTTATCCGTAATTTGGCTCTCTGCTCTGGATCTCCCTTGCTGCCTTTGTTTTGCCCCCTGTTTTTCTTCTTTTTCTTGCTCTGCCTTTTACAAGATGATTAAGACCAAAAGGGTGGATGCCATGGCACCCTATCGAACCTCTTCTCCGTGCTCTCGGCCGCGATAAGGCCCCGCGCGGGGTGATAAGCCTTCCAGAGATAGCAATGGTAGCAATGGAATGACGGTGCACTCGCTGCATTCCACGTCACTCTCACTCTCAGGAACACTTCATTCAACTTATCCCTGATTAAACTCCTCATACCTAGAGTTGACGCAAATGGCATCTCACAGCTCGCTACCAGGCGAGTTCGATCGAATCCCCATTATCGACCTCTCCACCTTAAAAAGTCCGCTGCTCAAGGAGCGCAAACAGCTGGCAAAAGAGATATTCAACGCCTGCACCGAGGTTGGATTCTTCTACATCAAGGTAGCTACGCCAAAGTACTTTGAGTTCCAGATAGCTCACTACTCGTAGAATCATGGGATCGCCGAAGACCTCATCGCTTCTCTTCATGAGATGGCGCATCGGTTCTTCACGCTCTCGGACGAGCACAAGCTGGAATACTATATCGGAAAGTCAAAGGCATACAACCTTACACCTAGCCTACGCAGTTGACTGTTCGCTAATTCAGCCAGAAATATCGCGGTTTCATGCCCCTCTTCTCGGAGCAACCCACTGGCACGGATACCACCCCCCATCCGGACCCCTCACTCGGAGCCTTCTCCGAATCCTTCGATATCGGATACGAGATAGCAGCAGATCCCCAGAAAAGCCGGAATGACGTTCTTCCTCCTGACACATATAACCTCTATGGAGACAATCAGTGGCCGGGTGAGGATGTCCCTGGCTTTCGTGAGGTCTATCTTCGATACTTTGCCGAGGCGTTGACCTTATGTCGGGGGTTGATACGAATATTTGCGCTAGCCCTTGATCTACCAGAGGACTTCTTTGACCCGATGGTAACGTACCCCGGGGCGACGTCGAGAATGCTGCATTACCCGCGTCAGCCAGTTACGAATGAGGTGAAAATCGGGCTTGGGGAGCACACGGTAGGTAGACCACAAGGGCGCAGCTTGATATGTGCTGACACTATTGGCGTACCAATAGGACTATGAGTGCTTCACCATCCTGTCACAAGATCAGGTCCCCGCACTGCAGGTCCTCAACGCTCGACAAGAATGGATTCTGGCGCCGCCCATTCCAGGGACGTTGGTCGTGAATATTTCAGATTGCCTGTCCATCTGGTATGAATGATGCCCTTGGATGTAGAGAGGTGATTGACGTCTGTAGGACGAACAAGCGGTTCATATCCACAATTCATCGTGTGACCAACCTTGCTGGACAGGAGCGATATACCATCCCGTTCTTCTTTGGCGTGAACTATGACACGACCGTGTCGGTGCTGCCGAACTGCATTTCCGAGGACAGACCTGCGTGTAAAAAGTCATTTAAAGCCGGACAGGTGAGTTAGGAGACCTAATATTCGGTGCAGCAAAAGCTGACATTATAGTGGGTGCGCCACCAATTGACGACGGCCTATGTTGGGTACGGGCCGGAGCCGTCTGTTGAGAATAACTGAGGGCATGTCGGCAGGGGCTAGATCAGATCTTTAGGAATGATATTGAAGACGGGAGTAAGTCTAAACTGCTATTCTTAATTTTTTGCCCGGGATAATCCCCGGGCACGGATCCATTGTTTAGACATTGGGAATAGTCCTGGTCGCGTACCTACCTCACCGCATATCCTGAACCCACTAGGATATTATTAGTACACCAGGGCAGCCCAAACACTTGCAGCGATAAGGATTGGTTCAGTAAATCGCTCCCTCGGAGCAAGCGTCGGATGCCTGTGCTGCCTCCAAAGATAAATGGACCCTGATCGGTGAATGGCTGCATTCTGGGAATAACCTTTCGCCAGCAACAGGCAGCAAGACATTCGGCTTTCCGCCCAGTGTCATGCTGCTAGACGGATGGGTATGCCACTTAATAGCAAACCTCAAACTTGGGTTCTGCTCAGCCTCAGCACGATCTCATCAGAAAAAGCAACCACCGGCAAAAGCAATTCCATCAATTTCGACGTAAACGGGACGAGTGTGTAGGCAGGCCATCATAAGAGAATCCGTGCTCAGAGGCTACCGTACCCCTGGATCAGAGATCGACAATCAGCTGGTTGCCGCAGCTCGCGCCGTTGGCCTACTGCATGCTGCAGACTTGATCTCGGGTGTGAGCAATATGTTCCCCTGCCTTACTATGGCATCACAAAGTGGTATGATAAATGCCCCAGAAAATGTGGATACTTGTGCTGGGGACTTCCACATAACATGGTCCAAGTTGACTCTTGTTGTGAGAATCAAAATGTTCATGTTGAAACAACCGCACCAAGTATACGCTACGACAATCCTTACAAGCACGCAATCGGAAATTGCTTTTTTGGATTATCTTGTGCATGACTGCCGATCTCCACGGCGCTGAGTGGGATGATCAACTCCGCGGGTACTTCGGGTTTGATAGGAGGTGCCCGACATCATGATATCTAGCCTGGAATGTCCCACATGCTGGGTTATTTCGGATGTCTTTTCAAGGCAATGCAGTATATAAAAGCTGGAGGTTGAGCTCGCCACAACAATGGAGCACATTGCATCCACCGGGCCTGAGAGGACAGAAGCCGAAGAGCTTGAGTCACGGGCAATTCTTGTTGTTTCGGCAGCTTCTATGCTGGGATCAGGATGGGTTATTCTGAGCTTTCTGGTGAGATCATTACCCAAGTGGCTTTCTCAGTTGCTGACATGCGACAGATTGTGCCAACTTTGCGTACATTCCGCCATCAACTGATACTCGGTACTATTAATCCTATCCACGGGAAGACGGCCATCTGACACACCTAGGTCTCGGGATTAGTGAGTTTGTCGCAGCATTGAATGTTGTCATCTCGGCCAGCCTGAATGTCTCGGGCTCCCACATAGGGAGCATATCCCTTGAGCCATTCTGCAGCTTTAATGGGTTCATGGCTCAAGCTTTTATTGTCCAAAGTAAGAAGCGGGTCTTACTGGCGAACATATATTGACTGGCTTATTAGCCGACTACTGGATTCTCTCCATTGCGGTTTGCACGTACCTGATCCTGATGGACTATACTCGAGCTGCCTCATGGGTGCAGAACCATCGAATCGCCTTCTGGTGCGTTCCATGGAGTCTCTCACTCCTTTGGGCAGGGCTCGGTCTCACCATCGTTGGGTACGAGAATACCGGTGGCTGTAGGTCTCCTGAATACACAGTTTGAGACCGCTGTTGATGAAAGCAGGGTGCTGGTTCACCAGTGACCGTGTCCGACTCCTCACGAACTTTATCCCACGATGGATGATCATCTTTATTATCCTATGTATTTACACTCGTCTGTGTCTCTTTCTCTATCAGTCCCACAAATCGATCTCGAGCGATCATGAAGTTACTCTGGAGACTCTCCCCGCAGATCTACACCAGTGGCAGCGTCTGGAGATTGGGAATAGGCCAACCCGGCCCCATCGCTCGTCGCGCTCACTGAAAAAGGTTAGCCGTTGCCTAGGTGTTTGTGATACAGCTAAATGACCAAGCAGGTGTCTTTTCGAATGATGATATACCCCACAGTATATGCAATGATCTGGATCATTCCAACTGCCGTTCGGATCTACCAAGGAACGACAGGAAGGCGGGCTCCCCTGGCGCTGGATATTCTAGAAAAGGTGATCGAGATGGGGTTTCTTCGGGCTCCACTAACGGAGATACAGATTTGCATCATGTCCCAAGGATTGGTCGACGCGCTTATTTACGGTGAGGGTAACCGGAACCATGCTGGCCATCACTAACCAGGACTAGGGTTAAATGAGCGTTCCTGGAACGGCTGGATGGAAAGATTGCAATGGATCGTGGGGCGATGAAGGCAAATCCCCGCTAGGTGACCTGATTCGTGGACAGAGCCCACTTCGTGGCTAACTTTTGTTTTCAGGTGGCAGGGCTAGGGTCCTTGTTACAATGGATGATGCATGCTCCCACTCGAGGCGTCAACAAAGAACTCCGACTTGACCACTGGAAACGTTCCAGTCTTGCAGGTCATGGTACGGAACCAACGCAATGGGCTCGCTAGACCAGGGTCTACCGTGGAAACCATGTACCGATGATGGTCGGGCCAGCCTCCCGGACATTTCCGAGCAGGGAGGGAGCCATCAGGTGGGCCAGATCATTCTGCGCCTCCAGCAGTGCATGCTGGGATTTACCGTATGGATGGTGGGGGATGAGTTGATAGTTTCGGCCAGCAGGGATTGGGGAATACAATGGCAATCGCCTGATAAGCAAAGATTGATACGCATCTCTAGCACAATGGACACTCACTTAAGATCCAACCCGATGAGCTAGCAGAATAATTCTGCCCTCAATTCGTAGGGGGATGGTAATGGGGCTGGGATGTATGGAGGGGCCCCGTGACTCCGGGGTGGCCGGGCGGCTTCCGCGCGCTCCATCGCACTTCCATCTTCTCCTCCCTCCATCATCATCACCCCCAGGCGCGTCTCACACACAATGTCATGATCGGCCTTTTGCGGCTTATATAACCTCGTCCTTGAGACTATCCCCACCAACAAAGTGAGTCACTGACCTACCGCATGCGAACTATCCCATTGACTTCCATGATGTCATTGACTTCCACCTTCTCATGACGCACCGCAACCACAGTTCGGAGTCAACAATGAAGCCCATGACACCACGACTACGCCAATTTCACGTGGCCCAATCGATCATTATTGGCAGTGCGCCCGGGATGGCTTCTCCCCTGCCCGATCCACCCCCGCGACAAACTCCCCCTAGCTCTTGAGAACCACGGTCAGGCCGCATTTTATCCCTCCAACGCGACTCCATGGCAAGAAGCAAGCAACGAGCCGAAACGGGGGAGTACAATGATGTCAGAATTGGTCAGGACTCGGGTTTCAGCGCTCCTCGCATCATCCACCCTCGTGGAGGGATCGGGAACTCATATACCGTCCAGCAACCACGTACGACCGGAAGCCAATTGCTCCCTATGCTTCCCACCATTCGACCCCAAATGATCCAGCAATGTCTTCCAATCACACCATGGGAACCCTTGCTGTGAATGGGGGCACGGCATCCCTCCCAATTCTGCGGGAGACGGTCAACACCGTCTCCCAGGAGTGTCCCACCCGGCTCGGACTGACGGCCCGAGAGATTCAATTGAAAGCCCCAAGCCTGGATGTCTTCTTCGATACCATTGCTGCCGAACGGCTTCGGCGCATGCCTCCGGATGGAAGTCGCCTGGATGGCGCCTTGCGGCGCGCCTCGCGCCTCGCCGTCGCTGTCGGTTCCTTGCGGGACTCGGTTCACAGCTTCATGGACGGGGCTGAGGAAGCCACCCAGATGGTCTGGGGGACTAATCTGCTCCTGCTTGAGGTATGATTCCTGGAAGGATTGAAGCTGTCCCGAGACTGATAATCTGGGTAGATGGGAATTGATCATATCGATGTTCTTGAGAGCCTTTTTGGTCGCTACGGTCGCGTCACGATCGGAATCTCGCTCTTGCTCCAGCAAGAGACCTTCTTCCCGGTTTCTCGCCCCCTTCAACAACAGGTGGCTGAGATCTATGCCCATTTGCTACAGCTGGTGGTTCATGTCACCTCGGAATATCGTCAGGCCATCCGGACGCAGCATTGGCAGACGATGAGTTCCGCCGTGGATGTTGCGTTCTTCCGCTACACCAATCGGTTCATCACCCATTGGCGGCGCATCTTCTCTCTGGTCCTGGAGTCAGGCACTGCGAAGCAACACACGACCGTAGACCTGCCTGCTATCTACCAGTTTCTGGAGCTGCAGGATCGTCCGTTGCAGATGTTGCTCGAAAGTCACAATCATTCCTTGGCGGACGGCTCCTTCTCCTGGTTCGAGCCCCATCTCACCACCTTCGCCATGGGACGTCGTAGCATGATGATGATCCGGGGCAACCCCGGCTGCGGCAAGAGTGCATTGGCCCAATGGACAGTGGAAAGGCTCCAAGCCTCCTCAGAGTATGACATCTGGAACGTCATCCCGGTCGCTATCCGATCCGATGTGCCGATCTCCACCCTGACACTCAGTATCCTCAAGTGCATCCTGATCCAGATGCTCGACCATTGCGTGAGCAGTCGCAAGACCCAGGATGCCATTCTGGTCGCCGTGACAAGCGCTCTGGAATTGGCCGTGTCCGGCGCCTCCGATCCGCAGGTGGAAGGCCAGTTGTGGACCGCGATCCGCACGGCCGTCCAGTCCAACCTGCACTTCATGCTGGTGGTCGACGGGTTTGACCAAATGAAACACGCAGAGACCACAGTCAGCGCGTTCTTGGGTCTGCTCCAAGACACCGTTGCCCATACCCCGTCGAAACTGATCATCTTCAGCCGACCGATGTCGACCGACCTGCTGCCGATCCGGGAGACTACACGCACCCACCAGATCGCTATGAATGCCGACACGACCCTCCAGGATCTCCAGGAGGCAGTCACGGACATCATGCTGTCTGACTCGTCCTTTTCCGGTCTGGAGCCCTCCCAGCGCGAGTCCCTTACTAGATCAATTGTCAAGCGCTCCCAGGGGTGCTTCGTATGGGCACAGTTGGCCGCAGAGGCCATCCGTCACCAGACGACATACAATGACATGACGGCCGCCATCGGAAAGATGCCCAACACGCTGGGAGACCTCATTGATCATCACCTGCACAATATCAATCTGAACCGCGTGGGGACGCAGAGCCTTCTGGCCTGGTTGGCCGCCAGTGAGCGGCCATTGCGCGTGCCGGAAATCGAGCAGCTGCTGGCCGTCGATCTCAAAACCCTCAAGGTCGCACATCGGGTCCCCAACGTGGAGCGTGATGTCTTCCAGCCGCTGCACCGGTTGGTCGCAGTGCGGGATGGCTTTGTTTCCTTCCGCCACCCCATGATTCGCGAGCATCTTCAGGCGCGAGCCCAGATGCGTCAAGAGCTTCCGTTCTCTCTGGCGGACGCTCACTACGATCTTCTGATCCGTTGTCTGGCATGGGTCCGTCGCTCCGTATCCGATGAGATCACCGTCTCCTGGGACAAGATGAACGTTGATGTCCGCGACCGCTATCTGGACGCCTATGTGCTGCTCGAGTATACCGCGCGGTACTGGCTTTCCCACATGTTGGCCTCGCCCATGGCTTCGTCGGACCGGGAGCTCTCGTTCCCCACGTCCTTCCGCCGCGCTCTGCCCGATACCGTGCTGTTTGCACAGCTGGAGCTCACCAATCGGGAGTCGCAGTTCAGCCGGTCGAGCATTATGGAACTGTACCGGCTGTCGGTCGGGGTTCGTCGTGTCGTTCTGGGCAGCGACTCCCCCGCCGTCCTGCAGAGTCTGATTCTGAGTGCTCGAGCATCAGAGAAGGCGCATGCCTCTTGGGCCAACGATCACATGTACCAGGCGTGGACTCTGAGCCGCAGCCAGCTGGGGACCAGCAGCACGATCACCCATGATTTGGAACAGATGCTGGTCGCCACACCGGAGGGAGCTGGTCGCGCGGATCGCGCCGCCGGCATGAAGACCGACACCCTGCGGGACATGGCCCTGTCTGGATGGGGCTCGTCCGACATCAGCTTCGCTCAGCGGCTCCAGTATCTCGATCGACTGGTCAACACGTACCAGCAGAACCAGAAAAACGATGCCGCGTATGATGTGTCGAAGACCTTCTACCGTCAGACGGTAAAAACCTACGGTGCGCACTCGGCGGAGACCATGCAAGCCGCCGACTTCCTTACCAAGCACTTCGACATCACCCCTCCCGACGAGTTGGCACTGGAACTGGCTGCCACCAAGTACGAGACGATGCTGCAGTCGATGGATGCGACCGACCCGCGTCGTGTTGCGTACTCACTGTATCTGGCGCAGCTGTATGAGCAGTATGGCCAAACGGGCCGAGCCGAGACGGTGCTGTCGCGGTTGTGGACCGGACTGTCCCTCCGCGACGTCGACGCGACCACGGCCTGGGACCAGAAAACCAAGGTGGCGTTTTACTACTCGCAGTTCCTGCGCCGCCAGGGTCGCTCGGACCAAGCCACGACCATCCTGCGGGAGCTCTCTGCCGAGCTGGAGGCCGAGGGCGGCATCAAGTCTCCGGAGATGGTGAAACGCGCCGAGGAGCTGCGTGGCGAAGCGCGGGAAATGAACCTGACCGATATGGACCGCGCACTTGCACTCCAGATGTGGAAGTATTACCGATCCTCGGGACAGCAGTATTCCCCCCAGGCTGTGTCGCTGGCGGAAGGGCTCACGGAAGGGATGATTCCGAGCCACGATGCCACTGCGGCCGAAACCGAATACATCCTGGCCGCGCTGTCGCCTGAGGACCACGAACTCTTGCCCGGCTGGATGGATACTCTGGCGTCTGCTGGTAGTGAGCGCGACATGGTGTCGATCCTGATGCTCTCCCACCAGTTGTCCACGCGATGCATTCGAGAGGAGGAGTGGCGCCAGGGCTCGGATTGTTCCTGGGCGGTGCTCAAGCATGCCTGGCCGACGGTTGAAGATCCCCAAGCCAAGGCCAAATTTTCTTCTGAGCTGTCCCCACTCATGTCCAGCATTGCCCTGGACTACGCTTATTGTTTGTTCCGTCGCCTGGACGTGGCGACTGCTTCCACTGTCTATGGGAATGCCTTCAAAGCATCCATCACTGCGGACCAGGTTGCGGTGCCGGCCGTCACTTCCGTGACAAAGACCGTGGTGGAATTCTACGAGACCACATTTCAGTTTGACAAGGCATTGGTGCTCCTGCATCAGGTCAGCGAGTTCTTCGCGTCGCGCCTGGGGTCGCACGACAAGCACACGTTGGACAGCCGCTACTACGAAGCCGATCTGGCTCTGCGGCTGGACCGGCGGGTGGAGGCGGAAGATAGCTACCGCCACATCTACAAGGCCTGCATTCGCGATGGCAAGATTTCCTCGTCCGGTGTCCGTGCCGCCGTCGCCCTGGTGACTTTGTACGAGCAGGACAAGAAATGGGATTCTGCGCTTGAGGTCTACCGCCACCTGTGGCCGACGCTGGTGCGCTTCGATGAAAAGGACGGCTACGATCGTGCTTTGCTGGAAGGCCTGCTTCCCAAGACTTACACAGGGTACATGGCGATTCTGGAGAGCACTTCCCGCGAGGCGGGCTACGCGGAGCGCCGGCAGGTTGCGTCGCAGCATCAGCAGCTGTGCCGTAAGCTGTATGGACCTACCAGCAGTCGGACACGCGATGCAACTATGTATCTGGCTGCGCTCTGTGCAAGCGACGACCGGCATACCGGCGAGGCCATCGATCTGTACCGACAGGTGCTCAAGACCAACGACTGGGTACCTGCTGCGGAGGCCTCGCGCTCCCTGTCGGACATGACCCAGCCGCTGCCGATGGACATTAAGCACCGCATGGCCCAGCTGCATATGCGCAACAAGGATACGTCGGCACAAGCCAGCGCCTTGTACAATGAAGAGCTTGCGCTGTGCAAGCAGCAACAGGGTTTGTCCGCTCCGACCACGCTGATGTGGCTCCGTGAGATTGCCCGGATGTATGCTCTTCAGGATAACGTCGAGTCCCGCCGCAAGGGAGCCGATCTGCTGAATGAACATGTTGACGAGGTAGTTCACGTCACTGCCAACCATGATGCCCTGGTTGACCGGGCCCGTCAACTTGCGGAAATCTACCTCGAATGTGGGTACACCACTGAAGGGTGGCAGCTCATCGACAGCTTGCACCAGCAGGTCATTCATGAAACCCCAGCGGCCCAGCGGCAGAACCTCGACGAGTACCGGCCGGCGGTGTTTGTGGCGTCGTTCGAAGAGGTGTTTGGCCGGACGCGCACGGCTCGCCAGATCCTGGACGACCTGTCTCGCGAGGGTCGGGTGTACAGCGTGTTCCAGCAGAGCCTGGCCAGCCATGATCTGATGCCCACGCTAGCAGCGGGTGAGAAGCTGCATCGTTTGCAGACGGAGCAGAAGCGCGCGGCGGCTGCACAGAGCACCCAGGACCAGCTGTACGAGTACTTTTGCAACACGCTGTCGGTGGCGCAGCCGCTCCGGCAGAAGGATGTTGTTTATCAATTCTATTCCATGTGTCGACGCGAGTCGCTGCACGATGACTACAACATCAACCTTGTAACGCAGACGACCAGCATGGTCAAGGATCTCTGCAACCAGTCTCGGTTCCAGGAAGCTGCCGACGTGACTGGCGTGTTCCACTCGTTCGTCCATTTGACTGATGGGCTGCGTCTGATGGAGAGCATCTTTACGGCGATCAAACTGTGCTTGTACCTCAACGGCTACCAGGTGACCAAGTGCAGTGACGCCACCACGGCCAAGGCGATGTCATTGGAATCGCAGATGCTTCTGCAGGAAATCATGGCGAATGCGCAGGAAAGCTCGATGGAATTTTCCGATCTTCCGTTTGAGGAGCTCAACGATCTTGTGACGGTTCTGGGCGAACACGAAATGTTTGAAGATCTCGAGGTAGCCCTTCCCCCTCTTTTCTTTTTCCACTTCTATAATACTTTCGTGGTATCTGACCAATGATGCAGGCTATTCTTACCGACCTCTGGACCTCCCGGATTGTGCAAAAGACATGGACGCTGCCGGCCGTGGTCTGGATTGGTCGACGACTCGTTGAGACTCGGTTCTGTCGGGGGCATGTCACGGCCGCCACGACGTTGGGCAAGGATATTTGCTACAACCTCCGCCAGGTGTGGGGTAACTCGGATCCAGTCACACTGGAGATGAACAAGTTGCTGTCGGGACTGTACACGGCGTCGGGGAACAACCTCGCCGCGGCGGCTCTGCACGAGACAGCACTAGCGGAGCTATTGAACGACGAGACCGACGACCAGACGGCGGCAGTCAACGCCGTCACGCAGCATCTGGAACTCCTGCAGCGAGCCCAATCGCGACTGGCCAAAGAAGGCCAGAGTGCCGCAATCGATGCGACCGCGGCGCAGGAACGGGTACAGCAGATTGCGACCAAGTTCGGACTCTCGTCCGCCAAGCTGGAAGCGAAATCAACGTCCACGGCCGACGAATCGGTAGGAATGTGGGAACGGCCACGCCGCTTCAGTTTGGACGTGGAAGAGGCCGCCAAGCACTCGAATCATCTACGCCAGTCGAGTGGATCGGCCTTGTTGACGGGCAATGCGGGGGCCAAACGGCTGTCCATTACGGCGTTGTAGCTGGGTTGAGGCGGACCAGATTGCCAGATTGTCCAGATTGATGTTTGTAATTAATGTTCATATGCGAGATGTAATAATAGTGATAATTGAGTGCATTATAGTTCCACCCGCTTGATGGTAGTGATATGTTGAAAGGATAGAAAAGGGATGAGGAGTGGCCTTTTTCGCTGCAGCTTCTAGTTTGTCAGGTCTACACTGATGCCACTGCTGATAATGCCCTTGATGGATATTAAGGGGTCATTGTCTGTCTTTGTCTCGGGAGGATCCGCAAAGAAGAAAGGCAGAGACAAAGAGGACACCACTGGACCGGGAACCTCAAAGAACTGTGAACTCTATACCAGTACAGGGGATGGATCCCTGGACACTATGGAGAGGATCTGGTATGGGGCAGGATCGGCTGCATTATCTTTGCTGTTTGATCCGATGGATCCCGTGAGACATGCATATTGTTGAACCCTGAGTGTAGGCAGTCTACCACTTGAGATACGATAAGGGGATGCGATCCAATTCATATACTTTCATAACCAAGGTGATTTAGACGTCTACCCAGTTAACGTCCGGAACATGGATACAAGTCTCGCAGATGCCCGATGGCCGCTCTGGTGGAAGGCCAGCTTGATGCTTCGATACACTCTACTCCATGCGAAATGACAATACTGGACTAAAGACCACAGACGAAGGAACAGACTCCGGCTATTCTGATACGGGTTCAAGGCAAGTAGATCACAAATGCACCGTGAAATAACCCAGGGAGGTGCCGGTATTCCATGGTATTGGAAGTTTACCTGGAGAGAGGGAAAGAGTAGTCACCGAGAATGCTCAGAACTATTGAACTGTATTCTAGATCAGTTATATGTCTGTCGGCATCCCCAGGGCTTTACAGGTCTCCTACCTGTCAACCAGTCGACTGATCATGCAGCCAGAACAGACAGGGGAAAGAATCTTCCCTGCTTGTGAGAGGGAGTCTCCAACCCTCTTTCAAACGAACCCTCAAGGAAAGGTATAAAGGTGTACCTCCTGTCTTCCTCCCGGTCAGTAGTTACAGATTACATTCAACGGAAGTAATCAGTGATCATACATTAACCTTGGTCACGATCATCCCTTGTATCTTCTCCACATCCTCTCCCAGTACTCCTTCTACAGTCACGGTATCAGCGATATGCCCGTGCAAGATACCTCGTCCATCCCCCGGCTGAGTGCCCACACTCTCAACTATGCACCACCTCCCTCCGCCCCCCATCTGGCCGTCTACGACAGCCAAACCCTGGACATCGACGACGATGGCTTCCTCCAGTCCAGTCAACGGGCCGGGGGGCCCTACCTCTGCAGTTTACCCGCGGTGAATATCACTCCCGACCCCAGCTGGACCCTAACGCAGGAGCACGAGGACATCAGCCAGAAGACCGCCGAGATCCTCACCGAGGCCGACATCACCTGGTCAGACATCCAGGTCACCGGCCGCGTGGCCCGTGTTGATCCGGAGGAGTCAATTCCTACCATCTTGGTCGTCGTCCCAGATACCACTTCCTCCAACTGGCGGGATGCCACCAAAGCCATCTTCAAGGAATTGCTCGATGGACACCACCCGAACGCATCCGTCGAGATCATCACATCAATCCTACTGCATACACCAGCCCCGATGCCCATCCACTCCGACGACGCCATCTTCTCCACGTGGCCTCAAATCCGAGACACGATCCTGGAGGAACTCGACACCGCGGACTGGACCGGGCTGGAATGCTGGCGATATGGGCGATCCGCGAATTCCCTCCAGAATCCTCCAACTATCATCGTCAGTGTCCAGCTAGACTCAGTCCGCGTCTTCGACGAGGAGATGGCGACCATCATGCAGATTCTCGCTCGTCATGACATCACCGACTGTGCCGTGCTGTTCATGCACGATGAGTTTCGGCACTACGCGTTGACGCATTTCCAGGTGCCTCTTGCGCGTCTTGAGGACTTTTCTGGCTCGGCTTGGCCGGGGATGAGTATTGGGATTCGGGATAGCTCCGCTACCTCGTCGACTCTTGGCGGAGTGGTTGAGATCCAGATGGACGGGGATGCCACCTGGCAGCGATTCCACCTGTCCTGTTTCCATGGACTCTATCCACACTTGCCTGCCCAACAGGCACTACTCACCGATATCCCCGGGGCCAAAGACGCTCTGCACCGCTGGCAATGGACCGCCCCGACCTTGTCCGACAGCATCGTCCGACCGGTCCTACGCGTCGACCAACCCAGCCTCTTCGACGTGCAAGACGCCATTCGACGTGCAGCCCCCGACGAGGAGAAGCAGACCGAGCGGCAACGCTTCCTCGATGAGAACAGACACCATCTCGGCGCCGTCGGCGCGGGGAGTGGGTTATATCGTACGCGAGAGCGAGGCATCAATGAGGAATCCAAGCCCGGGATGTTGGACTGGGCTTTGATTGAGGTGGTGCAGGAGCGAGATGGGCTGAATCAGGTACCTTATATATACCCCTTTTAACTTGTTTGATCAATCTAGCGAGATAGTCTAACATACCGTGGTATATAGGCCTACGAATACAGCAACGAGGAACGAACCCCCTTCCGCACCGTGTGCAATACTGCGCTCCCACCAAACACACCCATCCACAACACGGGCCGCAAAACCGGCGGCTCGTCTGCACCATCCAGCCCCATCGCGCAGGTCTTGATCTCTCGGGCCCGCGACATGCACGGTCAGCCAGTCACCCAGAGGACCTACGAGCATAGCGTGCCGAACCACTCCCGTCCCCCGTTCGCCATCCCCGGCGACGCGGGGTCGATGGTGGTCGCGCCGGATGGCAGCGTGCTGGGTATGCTGGTGGGGGGGTATGTGCGGAAAGAGACGGTGTATTATTCCCATATCAAGGATGTTCTAGATGATATTAAGGAGGTGACGGGGGCGGTCAAGGTTCGTCTTGCGCAGGATTAGAGGAACAGACGAGTGGAGGGCCAAGAATGTATGTAGATGAGGCCTTGTCGAAGTTATATATATGCTGGTGGGTTGCTGGTTCCGTCTCCACTCGACTATCATCCAGAATGTCAATTGTCATCTGGGCAGATCTTTTTCTTCATCTGTATTCTTTCGTGCGTTGCGTACAACTATATAAAACACCCCATTAATTCCTCATCGATATCATTGCCATATTGCTCCCCCGAAGTGTTCTCACCCAGTCACACTCTCCTATCTGAATAGACTTAGCAAGCTAGAGTAGCAGCCGGACAGCAATCCACCTCGACGTCGATGAGCTTTCATTGGGGAATGGCATGGTACGTGGCCAATCCGCGATTGTGAGGTATGCAGGTCATTGGATGCAGATGAGTCTGACGGAGTGGACCGGTCGCAAGGCTGAGACCAGCTTGGACAAGTTTGGGCTGTGAGCAACGCCGAGGGGCCGAGTAGGAAGTCATCGGGTGAATGGTTATGCATGATCTCCTGAAAGTCTAGCAATGACAGGTATCTGATCCTCATCTTGTTGCAAGTTGCCTATTTGAGCGATCAGTCTGCCACACAGCCGACACATCGCTCGCATAATGCATCCCGACCAGATGCCACGAGGCGGAATTCGCACAACAGCAAGCCTTCCGTCTTTTCGACCTTACCATGCAGAATGGATCGATACCCTCCCGCAGAAGCAGGACATTCTCTGAACCGGCTATTTCCTTCCAGGAGCTGCGCGAATACCACATCCCCCCGGAGAGTCAATCACCCGGTCGGGCACTCGATGCATCCTGCTCAGCTACTGGCGACCGCCAAAATAAGATTTCCACGGGGCAGTGGGCCACTGGTCGACCTCTGTCGATCGCTCCATGCGTCGGTCATTCCGCAGTCAACCTATCACCGAATGGCCGACACGGCACTTTTCCGCCGGGTCCAATCACGGTCCTCATCACACGGGCGAAGAGTTGGCTATCCTCACGGATCCTGCCGAGTGGTGTGGCCGGATTGTGCGCCCAACTTAGCGAGCGGGATCGACCGGCGAGCGGATCGCGATCAGGTCCATTGTCCATCAGGCATGGCCGCACGTGCAAGGCTCGACCCACCGATCGCATCGTGCCCGTTTCCATTCGGCAGCGCGACAAGGCCATTCCTTCAGGGGAGGACCGTCGGAGTTGTCGTGACGGGTGGTGGTTTGGGGGGGGGGGGGGGGGGG